GGCCGGTCAGGGTCAGGAGGGGAGGGGTTTCGGTGTGGTAAGCGGGAGCAGGCGGCGTCTGTGAGCCGTGCCTTTTCCGGGCTTTATTGGGGGGCGCCGTGCTGGCTTGTCATCCCCCCCGCGGCTTTAGGTGTTTTTGCTGTGTCTCGCGCTGGGCTGCATCCAAGAGCCCGCAACCCCCAGGAGGAGACTGACGTGCGGACCAGTTTCGCCTCGTTTGTGAGTGGACCGGCGAGGAAGTGGTGGCCACCCTCGGGAAGTGTTCGTTGTTCGTTGCTCGTGGTAGTTGAACAGCTGGCCTTCGAGGACCAGTGTGCGAGTACTCGCTTTGTGTTGGTCTTTTCTGTGCAACCGTGTCTCGGCTTTTGCGGTGTGTCGTCTCAGGCCCGTGGTCCTCCGTGTCTCCCTTGCCTTGCTGGCTGCGTGGGGCCCTGGTTTTTGTGTGTGTAGAGGAGGCCCCCGAGTAGAGCCCCTGCCCCCGGTGGTGTTTTCTTTTTATTCTGGTTTTGGCGGTCAAGAGGGACGAGAGCGCGTGAATAGGCAGGCCAGGCGAAGTGGCGCCTTTCGTGCGGCTCTCGCATAGATCGGTTCGCAGTCTTCTGCGCCGCTGTGTTGCCTAGCCAGGGGCTGGGAGAGTGTCCCGGTTGGCGTGAGTGAGGGATCGAGGCGCGCGCGGAGGAACAGACGGACGTAGAGCCGCACGCCCATCCCTGCGCTGTGTTTCGGCCCGGTCAGGGCCCCCGGTGCTCGTCCTTTATCGGGCGAGCCGCCCACAGTGTAACACCCCATCAACAACAACAACAACAACAACAGGACTCTCTTTGTGATCCCACCAATCCCACCGACGCACTAAAGTAAAGCAGCAATGTGCGGCAGCTCACGGTGGCCATATGGCTGCGCTGGGATCGCTGGGTAATCGCTGAGTTTTTTCTGCAGCAATGGGGAGCTTGAAGCTGGGGGATACACCGGCGGGGGTTTGACCGTAACTTCGTTAATGACACCAGCAGTCAGGCGTGCAGCTGCCAGCGTGGGTCAGCGATGTTTTTACCACGATGTGTACGGGGGCTCCTAGCCGCCGAAGTTTGGGGACATGATGATGTTTGCCTGGCAATTGCAGCGGCAGCGGGGCCGCGGCAGCGCGGCAGCGGCGCGACGTCATCAGACATCGACATGCAACGCAACCGACCGCTCGTAACTGTTTACACCAGCCAGCACGGGTGCTTGAAACCCTAGGCACGTATGTGCTGTCGACAGGCACGATCAGAGGGGCAGCAGGCTTATGCACTTTTGATAACGACGCCTGTACGATGTATGGGTACACAAGGCGAAGGCCTGCGAAGGCACGAAGTGGGATAATTCTACCCTTGCATGCTTCCCCTTTCACGTCCGACGTTGACCCCTGCTTGGCCTAGTTAATATTGTCTATCTCTCTCCTTGCCAAGGCAGCACTACTCGAGGGGCTAAATTGCTTATAAAGTAATCGTTAGGCACGCACCTCAGATACCCCATGATGAAGCCCTCTGGTGGCGCGTTACGTTGGTTGAGTGCTAGTCGTATTCCTGGTAATAAGCTTTTAGTGTAACATTTCCATTTGATCCACAATGGGATCCCATCGGACCCCGTTCCGAGATCCAGTGCTGGCTCTAGTACAGGTTCAGCACTAATTCAGTACCAGCACTGGTTCCGTACTGGTTCCGTACTGGCTCCGTGCTGGTTCAGTATTGGCTCCGTACTGGCTCCGTATTGGTGCCGTACTGGTTTCATTACTGGTGCAGTACTGGTTCGGTACAGTCAACGGGCTGGGCAAGAAAACAACTGAAAACTGACGAACGTTTTAAATCGCAGTACAGGGCCCTCAGATGTCGAATCCGGTTTCCAACTCACCCGTCCGGAAGGATCCGACAGGGCTCCCTCGCATTGTCGCACGGCTTCTTAAGGGGGAGATCATAAACGTGCATACACACTCCGCCTCGTTGTGCTAAGGTCCAGCAACTCGAAACTTCTGAATACTATATCTATCTATAACATCCATCCAATTCCAATGCACCTAACTTCCATCCAATTACTGACTGTCGACATAGTGGACTGTGAGACATCTTATTCGTTCGGGAGATAGGCAGCAGGCATGTGCGAGGGCCGTCTTCCCACACTCTCACCGCTCACTGCACACTGTTGCTCAAGGGCATTCGTTCACAATCCATCGCACAGGATGCAGGTCATAGGTGTGTGTCGTTAGCAAGTACAAGATCACCGCGGCCGTATTGGTCAAAATACAACGCCAAACCCCATGCCAGCGCCAACAGTGCATCAAAGCCCACCCTCACCCACACCATCAGCCCGCAGATATACGGAGGACTGAGAAGCGGAAGCAACGTCACCATGCACGTCCAATGCAAAACAACATGTAACACCCAGCACGCAATGCAATACCACAAAGCATCAACAACATATCAGGATATCAATAACTGTTTCTACGCAGCACCCCGCATGTGCAACGCTACGGAGGTGCAGCCCACAGGTTAACCCCTGTGTACGAATGGGCCGTCTACCACTACTGCAACCAGCGCTGTGACCGCTCAGCACAACGCCACCCTCACCAACATCGCGACCGCTATCCCCAAGGCTGCACTCACAGCCATGCAGGCCCGACCGCCGGCTCGCGAGCCCGACCCACTCAAGGTGGAAACATCCAGAGGTGCCGTACGGTTGGGCGACCGGGGTGTGCCGCTGCTGGGAGGAGGGCTGTGCAGCTGGGAGCTGGAGAAGCCGCTAGGAGGGGTGCTACGGGGGCTGGGTGGTGCAGTGGCTCCTTGACCCAGTGGTGGGGGGCCCGCTGGGCTGGGCGTTGGGGAGCTCCTGTCGGAGGGATAGCCGTAGCTGGTGGGGGGGGACGAGGAGGGCGACGGTGGTGGTGGCATGCCGTGGACGTATGTGGGAGGTGTTGGTAGGGGTGGTAGCGTTACGGGTTGGCGCGGTGCGGTGAAGCCCTGTGGTGGGTAGGTGGGTGGAAGAGGCGGAGGGCTGAGGACCTGGATGACTGGTGCGGCAGGAAATGTTGGACATGGCTGCATCAGAGGCGGCGGTGGTGGCGGTGGTGGCGGTGGTGGCGGCGGAGGCGGCGGTGGCGGCGGCAGCGGTGGCGGTGGCGGCGGCGGCGGCGGCGTGGGTGCCGATAAGGGCACCGGAGGGGTGGACAGCGGCAGTGACGGGAGCGGCCGCAAAGATGAAAAAGGCCATATAGGTTGTGGCGAGGGCAGCGGTTGCTGTAGAAGAGATGGTGGTGGCGCCAGCTCTAATTGCGGTAACGGCATAAGCTGGAGCTGAAAAGGGGCCATAGGCGAGGGACTCCGGGACAGAGGTGGCGGCCGAGGCGGGGCAGGTGGAGATGGCGGTGGAGCGTTCGGTGCGTGCCGAACCGTTGCCACGGCGGCACTCTGGTCGGCGATGCCGGCCGGCAAGTAGAACTCCATGGAACCCCGGGTGATGTTGTTGACGGCGGGGACGAAGTAGCCCGAGACGGACTCGTTGAAGCGCACCAGCTCAACGCCGCTGCTGGAAAGCAGGACGAAGCTGACGCCCATCCGGGCCTCCGCGTCCGGCGAGTAGGCCCTCATGAGTTGGATGTCGTACACACCGTGCGGCAGCGTCAGGTCAAACGGCGGCAGGAGCGCATGGAACCCGCGTCCGAAGCTGTACGGCAGGCTTCCGAACGACCACTCCCATGAGAACGCAATTCCGAAGTCCGGGTTATTGTTGGGCTTGGTCACGCACAGGCTGTAGCTGGGCCAGGGCTCCGAGGTCCTGCCATCGACCGTGCGGTACAGCAGGAGCGGGGTTTGGTGCGGGGCGCTGCAGCTGGCGGCGATGGCGCTGAGCTCCAGGGTGGCGGTGGAGGAGCCACCGGTGGAGGGGACCGAGACGTGGATCCAGATTCCATCTGGGTAGTTGGACACGAGCAGGGGGGTGCTCACCCCCGCCGTCAGGTTGTGGCTGCCGGAGGCGCCGCAGTCGGGGCTGGGGCAGTACCACACCCTGGCATCTTGGCTGCGTGTGTGAGGAAAGGCGTGGGAAGGGTGGTTGTCAGCGTTAGGTCAGGTCGTTCGAGCGCGGGTAGACAGGATAGCACGTGTCTTATCAAAGCGGTGGAACTGGCACGGCATGAATGTTGGTATGCGGATGTACAACAGAAGCGCAAGGCAAAGAAAAGACCGTCGTTTGAAGGACAAGGTGCAATTTTCACTTTTTCCGGTGCCGATCAGGATTCCTACTGTTGAGGTGGCGGAGGTGAAAGCGTATTTTGGATCGGTATTCAGCACACAAGCATTGGCTGCTCAGGTCCCTAGCTAGCGGCTTGTTCCCCGCCTCACCTGGTCCCCAGATCCCCCGTGTAGATCACCATGTTTGAGATGTCGCCATGTGGTGAGATGTGGTAAACGCAATCGTCACCGGGCCGCAATGTGATGCTCCCATAGCTGCCGGACTCAAGAACCTGGGCCGCGGGAACGAACCAGGCAGCCCTCAGGGCTTAGCGCTTGTTGCAAAACATAGATAGGTTTTATGGAATGGCATTACTATATTAGTGCGTTGTTTTGGATGTGTTTCTGTTCAGGGCCAGCTGGACTGTGCAGTGGCGGACCATCACCCCGCCGGATGGCGGGAACCATGGGCCCGCCCATAGCGCAATTCGCGTACCTTCTCCATTGGCGGCGTTTCGTCACAACCAATCAATTCAAAAGACTGCGAGTTTTTTATTGGCGAAAAAATTAACAGCAACACAATAATAAAAGCCAATGCTGGGTCTTCGCCTTGTTGACGGTAGGATGGCATCGTCGGCGAATGTGCCCCACAAAGAATTATTTAGGATATTAGCTGATACTAGTTAAACTTATGTCTCTCAAAGTGCATTGCCCAAAGCTGCAAGCGCAACGAGAGTGCTGTTTGTGGTGAATCGCGATGCAACGATGAAAGTATGGATGAAAATAATGCTGATCTTCATTATCATTATATTTTAAAATAATTGATGTGGTGACAGGACCTCTGACAATTTGGTTCCCTGACGCGACTTCATGTGGCTGACTAAGATATAACTAATTCGAACGGGTTGCATCCTAAAGGGGTGTAAGAAATATACGACCTCAAACGCTAATGGAAAGTGATGTATACCTAGCTAACTATACATATCATATATTATATTTCCTACGCCTTTATCCGTGGGCGCCACGACGCGTCTGCTCGTGCTGAAGCTGCCAAATTCAACCGTCTGATCGCGAGCCTTACATGTCATCAGCTTTCATCTTAGTAATCATTATAGTTGCATGAGCTGTCATTCACTCTGTTCTACACCAGTATACTTTATCTAGATGTCAACATGTCCTTCCGGTGTGAGCCCATTTGTCGGTTTGATTTTATTGATTGGTAGTGTTTAATCATTTTATGTGCTCAGCACGCTTAATTGATTTTGTGAGCACAGTTTGGGTGTCATCGTGACGATTCGGTTCTCGTCCCTGTCGGTAGGCACAGGTCGCAACATCCCAATACTATTAAATCCCATCTTTCTCTCCGCTTTGGAAAAGCTGCTGACGGTCCAAAGCGCCGGTCTCGGCAGGACACATGCAACGGACGGCCTGACTGCTGGCGGAATGTATCCTGACAGGAAGCAACATTCAGACCCTTTAATACGAGTATGCGCGAACTAACATTTGTTGCTCGCCAAGCTTATATTTCCTACGCCATGCTTCCACGAGGGTCTTCTGATCCGCAGGGATTCGCGGGCTTCTTCAGGCACCGCTTGCAACCGCCGCTGTTATGCGGATCGCGGTGGTTTTCCGTATATTTCATCTGGACAGCTGCCGGTTACAGCTATTTTTGGCTTTCCCTCGACCGGCACCGTCCAAGTACAATCCATCTTCCGCACGATTATTACTATGAGCTGAGCATTCCAATAACACGTGTTTTTCATCCTCGACTTGGCTATCGGCACCACAACAGCGGCAAATCCACTGCTCCCTGGGGCCATGGTGCCAGTGCTTATACTTAAACTTCGCCAACTGTACTCCCGGTTCTTTTCCATCCAATGGGTAGTCCTCTGGCAAGACAATCAGACGCGCATGGTCCCAGCCGCTCATCAAACGCTTTTTAGTGCCGTCACCACTGTTCCTGAGCCTGTATGCGCATGCGCATGCACAACTTCAACCTTGCGGAGGGCATGTTCGAAGCCTGTTTGAAGGATAGTGCAGTCCAGCTGCAGATTTTATTCATGAGGCAGGTAGTGGGGACGGCACGGCCATCCCACAGGCTGTTGTATGCGGAGCTGGCTGAACTCCCCTTACAATATTACATGGTGAAGCAGATCCTCCGTTTCTGGAACCGCCTTCAAAAGCAAGTGGGATCCATTGCTCATGCAGTTTTACGGCAGGAGATAACCGATGCCCTGACCAACCCGGAATGGGAGGGTTGGGGAATCTCAATGTTACGACTGTTTTCCTTCTTGGAGTGCAACATTTGGAGCGGAATACCGCAAGAAGTCGTGGGGGTAAAGGAACGTGTTGACTGGTTGTTGAGTAGACCTCTACCAGAAGGAGCGATAATAACGGCATTAAGAGAGCGTTTGATGAGCGGCTGGGACCATACGCGTCTGACTGTCTTGCCAGAGGAGTACCCATCAGATGGGAAGCAACCGGGAGTGCAAATGGCGAAGTATAAGCACTGGATGGGGCTGCCCTTTTCGGGAGCCGCAGCCGTCATGTGGCCAACACATGCTAAGGTTTTCATTCCTCGTTTAGCACATCGTAAGCTAATGCAGTTTCGTTTATGTTGCTGGGCTTTGGAGGCGAACAGAGCACGAAGGGGCAAGTACCATGTCCCCAGGGGGCAGCGGTTTTGCCACTGTTGTGGTCCTAATAGCCGAATTGAGGATGAAAAACACGTGTTATTGGAATGCCCAGCCTATAATGATATTCGTGCTGAAGAGGGATTCGATCATCAACAGAGTATGTTGGAGGCCATGCAATGGGAACCCGCACGTCTGGCGAGGATGTTGGAACGTATGTGGGCTCACCGAAACTCAATTACCCCCTTTGGACGTTAGTCTGGGCTGATGTGCGGTTTTTTTCCTTTTCTCCGTGGCTTTTAGGCGTTGTAGTATTGCCCTTGGGCCCTCGGCTCGTATGGGTAGTCTTACAGGTATGGGGTCACGCACCCCCAACCATGTAACACACACACACACACACAACTTCACCTCAGCCCACTCTGCCACATATGTGTATGTTTTCCTGGTAATGTGGTAATTAGTATAATCACCTGTAATAATGGTCGGATTAATTAGCTGAGTTGGGCAGCGTAGCAATGCCATTAACATTAAAGTTTAGGATAGTAATGTCATCTTTTCTCTTTAAATTTGCTCGTCCCTATCGTATAGTGGTTAGTACATCACGTTGTGGCCGTGAAGACCTGGCTTGAATCCGGGTAGGGACATCATACCAGTCGAGGCACATCAATATTCCTGACATTACGTCTCTATAAACCTGTACCTGTAAAAAATTGTGCGTGAGCAGGAAGAGTGTAGGCGAATGCTTGGCGGGCGATGGGAACGGACGCGGCTGCCGCCAAGGGTGACTTCCTCTTTTTCTAGGGGACATTGCACGGGAGGCAAAGTCCCTTATGGAAGCCCAGTACCGGTTATGTGGGGCGTGTTTGAGGGTACTGATCAGATGGGCATGATTGATTTTATGGAGACTGTTTCGTTTTGGAATGAAGGGGCCTTCAAACCGTAGCGAGCGTTCATCCTGAACTCCCTTCATTCTATAATGAAGAAGTCTTCATTCCAAAATGATAGGGTGTCCTCGATTTGCGTTGTGGAATGAAGGGTCAAAATGAAGGGATGAAATGAATGTGAAACGAATATAGAATGAAGGCTCCGGGTTCCCAGAGTGTGACTGGTAACGAGACGGCACGGTATCTCGGCTATATTACGGCCCAGACACGCAGTTCTCAGCCTGCACCAAACAACTACTACCGGCAGGAAAACGGGCCACGTTTTGGCCTCAGTGCCCTGTGTCGAGATAAGAAAATTACTACCCCTAAGCTGTGCATGTCCCTCTATAACACGCTCGTTGTGCCGGTGTTTTCGTATGGGGCGCAAGTTTAGGGACCTGGTTTTATTGGTGTGAAATTCGAGAGCGCAATGGCGAACCCTATGGCGCAGGAGCAGCGGGCATATATGCGGTCAGTGGTAGGAGCGAAGAGCCCGACTATGGTCTCGCTTTATGATTATGTCGCAAAGGCTGTTCCAGTTCCATTGGGCCAACCTTTTGCTAAGGTTCCGGAACTCAATTATCAAGAGGCCGGGGACACTGTGCCAACGGGCCTGCATTGCCGATGTTGAGCTGGCATTGGGGGGTGTTGCTGAGTGCTGGACGCAAGGTCATAGCTTTCCTTAAGAGCGTGGGACCTGAGCCCCCAGCCGGTTTGCGTGGTGGCGACCTCATAGCGCATTACGCCACCGTTAGGTTGCCAGTGGGAAGCGTACTAGTTCGCTAGTCGGCTCGACGCCCGGTGGGAGTGCCCGGATACCCGAAGTCACTTACTGTCCAGCAAGGTGATCCAGGCACTTTCCCAAGTGGACGTACCGGCGTCAAGGCATGTCGCTATCTGAATTGGACGGGGGCGCCCCCGCTTAGGGGCACGCGGCATAAGTGGCTGGCTCACGCTGAAACCGCCATGCCCCAACGATTGCATGGGGCCGCGCTGTGGCTGTACGTACGATTGTGAAGTTTATATATTGTACACATAGACCTGTCAACCAAGCAGCAATGTTGCATCAGTAAAAGATCGCAGCGTTACGTCTGCTGTTGCACATTTGGAATTGTGAGCCCGATTTCAAAGGAGTCGCCTATTGCCGTAAGAACACGTCAGCCGCCGTGGTACCTTCTAAACATGAACGCACATACGTCATCCCTGTCGCCGAATCAGCTGTACATTGTCATCCATATACATATTCCTGTTTGCGACGGTAAGAAGGCCGTGCATCCTGCAACGCTCAATACGTTTAAAACATCCGTTGTCAAGATCACCGTCGAGCGCCGTTCAATTCCCTTATTTTATGCAGTGGGCTCGTTCGTTCGTTAGTCAGGCGTACGCAAAGGTTCTATTGTTATCACTACTCACAACAGTTACCCCGGGGCGCCCGTTGATCAGGCAACCAGTCGATCAGGATGGCCAACGGGCATGGTTCGCGAAACGTGACATCGCCTAATACCCTTAAACCAATAAACGTTCAAACAACCAAACTGCTCGCCCAACATAACTCTTACCACGCAGAGTTACACAACAAGCAACGCGGAGCATGCCACCAAGCCCCATGCACAACAGCATCGGAAACTCCGCACACATACCGCATACCTGCCCATCTACAAGTTTCTTCACTAGCTCATCACTGCCCATTTCATCTCAGCGCCCGCAATTCCAGTACAACGAGCAAAATAGGAGGCCCTCAGTACGAACGGGCCGTCTGCCGCTACTGCATCCAGCGCTGTGACCGCTCAGCACAACGCCACCCTCACCAACATCGCGACCGCTATCCCCAAGGCTGCACTCACAGCCATGCAGGCCCGACCGCCGGCTCGCGAGCCCGACCCAGTCAAGGTGGAAACATCCAGAGGTGCCGTACGGTTGGGCGACCGGGGTGTGCCGCTGCTGGGAGGAGGGCTGTGCAGCTGGGAGCTGGAGAAGCCGCTAGGAGGGGTGCTACGGGGGTTGGGTGGTGCAGTGGCTCCTTGACCCAGTGGTGGGGGGCCCGCTGGGCTGGGCGTTGGGGAGCTCCTGTCGGGGGGATAGCCGTAGCTGGTGGGTGGGAACGAGGAGGACGACGGTGGTGGTGGCATGCCGTGGACGTATGTGGGAGGTGTTGGTAGGGGTGGTAGCGTTACGGGTTGGCGCGGTGCGGTGAAGCCCTGTGGTGGGTAGGTGGGTGGAAGAGGCGGAGGGCTGAGGACCTGGATGACTGGTGCGGCAGGACTCGGTCCCTGCGAGGGCGGCGGCGGGAGGCCCTCCCTCGAGTCAGATCCGGGGTAGGTCGGGCTGGGCGGCACTGCTGGGTGCGGCGGTGAGGGGGTCTGGTCTGGTTGCAGGGGGGAGGGTGGCAGCGAGGTAGCCGGCGGCTGCAGTGGGGATGGTGGCGAGGATGGCCGTAATGAAGGCGTCGGCGGGTAGGTCGGTGTCGGCGGCGGGGATAGCAGCAGGCTCGCCGGCGGTAGTGGTGGCGACGAAGGCGGCTGCAGCAGCGGCTGGGACTGGGACAGTGGAGGCGACGGGAAAGGAAGCGGTAACGGTGGCAGTAGCAAGGATGGTGACGGCGGCGGGGTCAGCGACAATGGCGACGACGACGCAGGTGTCAGGGAGGGCGACGGCGGTGTTGATGGCGGCGGGAGCGATGGAGGCTGGGGAGAACGAGGCGGCGATGGCGAAGGTGGCGGTCGGAAAGGGACGGGCGGTGCGGGGCTTGGAGGCACGGCAGGAGACGGAGGCGGAGGTGGCGGCCGAGGCGGGGCAGGTGGAGATGGCGGTGGAGCGTTCGGTGCGTGCCGTACCGTGGCCACGGCGGCGCTCTGGTCGGCGATGCCGGCCGGCAAGTAGAACTCCATAGAACCCCGGGTGATGTTGTTGACGGCGGGGACGAAGTAGCCCGAGACGGACTCGTTGAAGCGCACCAGCTCAACGCCGCTGCTGGAAAGCAGGACGAAGCTGACGCCCATCCGGGCCTCCGCGTCCGGCGAGTAGGCCCTCATGAGCTGGATGTCGTACACACCGTGTGGCAGCGTCAGGTCAAACGGCGGCAGGAGCGCATGGAACCCGCGTCCGAAGCTGTACGGCAGGCTTCCGAACGACCACTCCCATGAGAACGCAATTCCGAAGTCCGGGTTATTGTTGGGCTTGGTCACGCACAGGCTGTAGCTGGGCCAGGGCTCCGAGGTCCTGCCATCGACCGTGCGGTACAGCAGGAGCGGGGTTTGGTGCGGGGCGCTGCAGCTGGCAGCGATGGCGCTGAGCTCCAGGGTGGCGGCGGAGGAGCCACCGGTGGAGGGGACCGAGACGTGGATCCAGATTCCATCTGGGTAGTTGGACACGAGCAGGGGGGTGCTCACCCCCGCCGTCAGGTTGTGGCTGCCGGAGGCGCCGCAGTCGGGGCTGGGGCAGTACCACACCCTGGCATCTTGGCTGCGTGTGTGAGGAAAGGCGTGGGAGGGGTGGTGGTCAGCGCTAGGTCAGGTCGTTCGAGCGCGGGTAGACAGGATAGCACGTGTCTTATCAAAGCGGTGGAACTGGCACGGCATGAATGTTGGTATGCGGGTGCACAACAGAAGTGCAAGGCAAAGGAAAGACCGTCGTTTGAAGGACAAGGTGTAATTTACACTTTTTCCGGTGCCGATCAGGATTCCTACTGTTGACGTGGCGGAGGTGAAAGCGTATTATGGATCGGTATTCAGCACACAAGCATTGAGCTTGTTCCCCGCCTCACCTGGTCCCCAGATCCCCCGTGTAGATCACCATGTTTGAGATGTCGCCATGTGGTGAGATGTGGTAAACGCAGTCGTCACCGGGCCGCAATGTGATGCTCCCAAAGCTGCCGGACTCAAGAACCTGGGCCGCGGGAACGAACCAGGCAGCCTTCAGGGCTTAGGGCTTGTTGCAACACGCAGATGGGTGGCCACAGAGATATGAGTCATAAATAATGTTTTCTGATTCAGCATAGCGGGTTTGATCGTTGGGGTGCTCTGCTGTGCATCGCCCCAATTATGCAGGCGCATATATGTAGGGCCACCAGATCCGGTAAATACTTCACGTACCTTCTCCCTTGGCGATGCCTCATCACAACCCATCAATTCAAAAGATTGTGCATGTATCGATGACAAAGAGATTATTAACACGACAAGAGCAGCCAGTGTTGCACCGGCGTCATAAGCTTGATGGTTTGACATTCCTTACGGCGAAGCCCGAATAATGGATTGCGTAGGTAAAGAATTGATACTGAACTTACGTTCTGTTATTTCAGAGGCGATTTGCTAATTGGCAAACGCGATTTTATGCAGACAGTGGTACTTACTGTAATGATGTAACTGGTTGGGGAAATAAGATGTATAAGATCATTAATATACATCATCCTGAATGCGCTTGACAAGACATGTTAGAACTTTGTTGCCTGACACGACGGAGTGCAACTGGTACAGCTCATTATCCGACCACCGACCGATCCCAGCCAACCGCTGAAGAAATTTATCTGATGTGACTCAAATCGGACCTATATGTGAGCCCCTGATATAATATATTATGAACATGAACCCAAGCTAACGTTTGTTTTTTTGTCCTAGCAGCACCGACTGCATGCAACTGCTGTCGGTTGTGCCCTATGGTCGTGCAGTTCCTATGTAGAGATTATCTGCAGGTTTAACAGCATATAAGAGAATAGATTTAAGTGTTACGCTTTCAATCAGTTATTAAGTGGCATCCGGTTGCAAAGCTGGGCCGGCCGAGACCGTATGACAGCAGCGTCCAATCCTTCAGTTCTTCCTTAAATAAATAGCTATCTGATTTCGCCATAAGAGATCGGTTCTCGGCCCTCTTTCCGGCCTTCCCTTCTTTCCCAGTCTAACGCGAGGCGACATGCCAAGCTATTTTTTCGTGGCTTTTAGGCGTTCAGTGTTGGAAATGATCGACACTCATATACCAGTGAATGGTAGCCACAGTAATAGGACCCGGCTGGGGTCCGACGCTTTGTTGGTTTTAACATTCAGATCAATCCCTTGGATGGGGCTGCCCTTTTCGGGAGCCGCAGCCGTCATGTGGCCAACACATGCTAAGGTTTTCATTCCTCGTTTAGCACATCGTATACTAATGCAGTTTCGTTTATGTTGCTGGGCTTTGGAGGCAAACAGAGCACGAAGGGGCAAGTACCATGTCCCCAGGGAGCAGCGGTTTTGCCGCTGTTGTGATATCAATAGCCAAGTCGAGGGTGAAAAACACGTGTTATTGGAATGCTCAGCCTATAAACATATTCTTGCAGAAGAGGGATTCGATCATCAACAGAGCATGTTGGAGGCCATGAAATGTGAGCCAGCACGTCTGGCGAGAATATTGGAACGTATGTGGGCTCACCACAACTCAGTTATCCCCTTTGGGTGCTAGTCCGGGCTGATAGCGCGGTGTTTCCTTTTCTCTGTGGCTTTTAGGCGTTTAGGTATTGCCCTTGGGCCTTCGGCTCGTATGGGTAGTACACACACACACACACATACACACACGAAAAAAACTATCCCTCCTCCGTTCTGTTCACTCTTTCATTACCTCGAGAACTCGATTCCATTCACCGAGTGAAAGCATCTCATCTTCGGGGTTTTGCTCATGCAATTGCCTGGCGGCTTGGAATGGGGATTGGGTGTCGTAGGGTGTAGGCACTTTAGCCCAATTTTATGGCAGTACATATTAAACGGCTGCTCAGGCTTAAGGGGTGATGCGCCCACACCCGGCCCTAATCTATCACGAAGACTGCTTTCATTGCTTGCAGATATCTTCTTTTTTAAGGAAGACTTTACACGAAAACGGGAGCCATCCCTGCCATGCTTTGGTACTTATGGCAAACACACCAATACGCCAGCAAGTCCGCGCATCTGTTACGTATTAACCTTGGTCGCATTCTTAATTTGATTTATGGGATGTTTAAGTTTGAAGGGGAGTTTAGAGGTTGGTAAGGTATGCACTGTGTCTCTACTGATTGGATCGAATTGTTTAACGTGAAATGGAATATTCGCGCAATATTATTAGACTACCGTGTGCATGATTTACTATGTGTCCTAGCTGACACAGTGCGTCGCGTCTATCGCGTCGTGTCGCGTCTGGATAGCGAAGGGTCGCGCAGGGTCGCGTCAGGCTGCACAAGCCCGTGCGCCGGACGAAGGTCACGTCTCAAGCAGTCGACTGTTCCATTATAAAGGCGCTGAACTCAACAATGCTCATTCAACTTGCTGCTAAAAATATAAACTTATTTACCTTGTATGCTTTTGTCTGCAATAGTTAACTGACCTACACTCGCCAGCCCAGACGCTGAAAGGGCGCACATACGTTGAATTGAAGAGGTCGATAAATATAACAGTTGAATCAATATATAATTTATCGTCTTTCATCCTTAACGCAAACTGGTACCAAGGATGCTTTCGTCTCGCCGGCAACCATGTCGATCATCTGTCAGAGCTGCGACAGCGATTTTAACTTTTTTAACATGTTCCTCGCTTATCTCTGCACAAAACTTTGATTTATCTGGCTGTAATTCGACATCTTCATATGGCGAGGTGCGTAAAACCATGACCTACAAACGGCTTATCCATTCGCATGTTCGCAATTGCGGCGATGTCCATCGCTAGATGTTTTGCAGTTCGTTTTAGTGGACATATAATTAGTAAGCAGCTTGTGCTGCAGTGCTATCCAGCGTTTGTAAACCGTCAATCACCAAAGAAACAAAGCGATCAGCGAATTGATTCAGATCTTACACCTTATGAAGCACAATAAGCTAACTTCCTCTGTACGTAATGCAGGACCTGTCGGGGCGCTTCGGGACCATTTATCTGCGATCCGGCGATAGCTGCATACACCACATCATGCTGAGCGGCAACATGTCGAGTTTGGAGCTTCGCTCTCAAGGCCTGACGAACGGAAGGTGAGGCGGCCGATATCGCGACATGCTAATTGCCAACTGCTGCATCACAACCAATACAACCAATGGCTTGGTTTCCACGGGCATCCGTGCTTGGCCGTGGATCCATGCTCGCAGCGGTTAATCATTCGTAGACTGCCATTACTCATGTTTGATTGTAGCCTTATCGGTGAATTATTGGATCATGATACATGCGCTTATGCCCTTCAATGTTAGGACATTCATACGCATCACGCCCCGCCTCCAAGACGCCTTCTCTCCCTTCCGTCCCTTTACATCCCGCTGTGCACGCAGCCACGCGCGGGCAATCTACTGTCCCGCACCAGACTGCGTCGCCTCCAAGGGAACCGGCTTACGTGATGATACCCCAGCCCTCCTGGAGCCAGCGGACTACCCCAACGGCATCTGGATCAACGTCTCGGTCCCCACCATCGGAGCCGGCGGCAGCGGCATCGCAGCCGCCGTGGAGTTCAACTCAGCCTTAGCGAGCTGCTCGGAGCTCGGCACGATCCTGCTGCCGCTCTTCCTCACGCCTCCGGATGACGCCCGCCACTCAAGCCGTCCCAGCTACAGCCTGTGCGTACCCGCTCCCAATAATCACCCGGACTTTGGCCTTTCCTTTTCCTGGTCTTGGTCGATGGCAGATCTGCCACGCGTGTTCGAAGACGGCTTCTACGCGGTTTTGAAGCCCTTTCCACTGACGTTGCCCCTTGGTGTGTACGACATCAACCTATTGAAAGCAGTGGCGCCGCGTGGCGCTATGGAGATCACGCTGGATCTCCTGGCCGGCAATGGCACCGTCCTCGCTTCGTTTGATGACACCACCACAGGCTTTTACATCCCCGCCGCTAACGACATCACGCAGGCTTCCTTGCAGTTTTATTTACCCGCTGGGATTGGAAGCCAGAGCACCGCCGTGTACACTGTACGACATATGCCGTCCGCGCCTCCGCTGCCCCCAGCACCCATGGAGCAGAACTGCACCCCGGCGTCATCGCCGTACATTGTGCAGCGCCGCGGCCGCTCAACTTTTGTCACCCTCAGGATGCCGTACACAAAGTATGTGGATGCGTTGCTGAGGACCAATGTTGGTGACGTCGACAATCCTTCGGTATTAACCGGTGGCTGTGCCTTCAGCTTCCCGGCCACCACTACAGCGGGCGACTCCATCCTTCGCCATATCCTGTCATTCACTTCGGCACCGTCCGCCGATGCCGCAGCACTGGCCTGGCTCAGCAGCTCACCTGCCAGCAGCAAAGTACGGATGCGCCCCGGAACCACTGTCTCCTTACCAGCACCGTCACCTGCGGACAGCCTAACGGTGCTGCTCTCCGGACCTGGGAGCATCTCGCAGCCTCTAGTACTGGACTACATGGCCGAGCTGGCCTCATGCGCAGCTCCGAATACGGTACCTTTACATTTGACAGCCCTTGGACCGCAGACCGCTGGGAATAAGATGACCCTCTCAGTATGCAACGCCGCACCAAATGTCATTTCCAACGACACGCGCACGACGACGACGATGCTAGACGTCAGTATCGGCTGGAACACGTCCAGGCTCCCTGCAGTGTTCTCCGATCAGGCTTCCGTACTCGCTGCGGAGATGCGGAACAGCTCGTTTGGTCAGGGTAAGCGACTGCCCTCCGGATGGTACCGTGTAGCCCTCCTCCACCACCCGTCCATCGTGCTGCGTCTCACCATCGGCAATACCACTACGTCGGCCAACTCCACGATCTTCCTGCCAGACGTAGTGACCAACTTGAGCCTCTACGCGACCGTACCACTATCGCCAACCACCCGAGCGATGAGCGCAGCCGTGCGGCTGGCGCCATTGCCGTTTCCGCCGCCCCAACCAAACAGTCCCCCATCGCCCAGGCCGCCAAGCCCTGCACCGAGCCCAAGCCAGCCCCCGTCTAGCCCTGCTCCTCCCAACCCAGTTCCCCCCAGTCCTGCAACCCCCAGCCCTGCCCCCCCCAAGCCGCTGCCGCCCATTCCACCTCTACCAAGCCCTTTACCACCGAGCCCGCCTTCTCCCAGCCCATTTCCACCTTCAGCGCCCTCGCCACCGGCACCCAGCCCATCGCCACCAAATCCGCTTGCGCCATCCCTGCCCCCGCCCACATACCCTCTGGCTCCGCTGCTGCCGACGTCGCCGCTGGGGCCCGACTTAAGCCCTCCACCTGAACCAGCACCGTCCACGCAACCTTACGGCATGCCACCACCACCGTCGTCCTCCTCGTCCCCACCCACCAGCTACGGCTATCCCTCCGACAGGAGCTCCCCAACGTCCAGCCCAGCGGGCCCCCCACCACTGGGTCAAGGAGCCACTGCACCACCCAGCCCCCGTAGCACCCCTCCTAGCGGCTTCTCCAGCTCCCAGCTGCACAGCCCTCCTCCCAGCAGCGGCACACCCCGGTCGCCCAACCGTACGGCACCTCTGGATGTTTCCACCTTGGCTGGGTCGGGCTCGCGAGCTGGCGGTCGGGCCTGCATGGCTGTGAGTGCAGCCTTGGGGATAGCGGTCGCGTTGTTGGTGAGGGTGACGTTGTGCTGAGCGGTCACAGCGCTGGATGCGGTAGTGGCAGACGGCATCCCGATAAGCTGGATAAGCTGAATGGCACAGCTGGAAAACGAGCTGGTGTATTCCATCGGGCCTTAGGGCTTTGCCAGATTGTCTACGGTTATGGACGGATGACTGCAACAGGAATCCCATTTAGTTTGAGTGATGACTTGCAGGATGGGAATGCAGGGTGCATGTGTCTGCCAGCAGAGGGGTCCCTTCCTAATCGGATACATCATTACGGCACTTGTAGGATTTCATCCCAAGCTCGGTCGCTTGTCCCTATGGCAATGAGCTCGTTCCTATTGTGAATGGATAACGCATGTACGGCGCCCATGTACGGCATTCACCGGCATCAGCCTGACGTCATCCGTCGTCCTGTGACCTCCAGGATAGCTCCAAAGGACGACAACGCAAATGGCGCTTTGCAATCTTAGATGGCTCAGTGTCATCCAACCAATGACGTAAACTGTCCACATGGATGGTTTGTGATTGTGGTCGTGTGTATAATACCATTTCATTGAGATCCTTGAAGGACAGTGAAGGGGCAGCCGCAGGGCCCTATAATCGGTACACAGCTACCAATTGGCCTTCCGAGCGACTAGCCCCGCGACTGCTTGCCCCCGAGCGAGAGTTTGCTAGGACCGGTGAGCGTGTGTATGGACGGACCTCGCATCTGCCGAACGAATGAGTCAGCTGCTTGCTTAGTTTTCCATGAGGGAGGTCATGGTTGCCGCCCGATAATAAGTCGATGGTGAGGTGCATCGGTGGGCTCGGTTGACTTGTGGCCAGACCTGGACGTTGCAAGCCTTGACTGTATTAAACATAAGTGCCGGCTACATTGGTGCGGCTAGCCCAGCGGCGATATTGGAGTACATGCATGTCTATGGGCAGGTGAATGCGGCAGGTGAATGCGGCTGACGTGCGTGCACGATGACACAGTTTTTTGTGTGTGTGTGTTACATGGTTGGGGGGTGCGTGACCCCATACCTGTAAGACTACCCATACGAGCCGAAGGCCCAAGGGCAATACTACAACGCCTAAAAGCCACGGAGAAAAGGAAAAAAACACCGCACATCAGCCCAGACTAGCGTCCAAAGGGGGTAATTGAGTTTCGGTGAGCCCACATACGTTCCAACATCCTCGCCAGGCGTGCGGGTTCCCATTGCATGGCCTCCAACATACTCTGTTGATGATCGAATCCCTCTTCAGCACGAATATCATTATAGGCTGGGCATTCCAATAACACGTGTTTTTCATCCTCGATGACACAGTTAAAATTGAGGTGTGGTTAACGGTCTATTACGTAGCTGCAATTGATTCCATTAAGTAATGAGAACGTTGGATGCGGCTGCGCAGGAAGGACGTGTGTGTGTGTGTGTTACATGGTTGGGGGTGCGTGACCCCATACCGGTAGAACTACCCATACGAGCCGAATACCCAAGGGAAGGACGTGGCTGTGGCGGCGGCGACATCGATGCCGCGACACAGATGCATATAAACCTGTAAGGAATATCAACAACAGGCTGCTGTCGCGAATTATTAAGGAAACCATGAAGAGCAAACAGCGCAGAATGCGAAAGTGAAGTCATTCCCGGGGTAGGGGTGCTTCGAATGACCGAATCGTGCTACTGTGGCAACGCGAAGCGGCCTTAATCCGTCAAAGCGCATTACGATAATACACCGCATGCATTCCGCTACGAGGAGTAAATTACTCCGAGTAATAGAGTAAGAATAGCAGTACATACGGAAATTTTACAAAGTTGCATTGGCATTGACAGCCCAATGTCCGCGTGGTTGGATACGAACAGAGGAAGTAACGGAATAACGAATACCATTGGTACCGCAACTAACGCAACGTAGTCACAATCCTCCACACAGCACCTGAATTATATGTGTATGTGTTACATGGTTGGGGATGCTTGACCTGTACGGTACCCTCAATTACATGGCTTTTAGGCGTTGTAGTATTGCCCTTGGGCCTTCGGCACGTATGGGTAGTTTTACAGGTATGGGGTCACGCACCGCCAACCATGTAACACACACACACATGACGACACCGTGACGTGGGCGTCGAATGAAAGGGAATCAGGACAAAACAATTTGACCATTTACAGTCATAAGAATATTATATTAATGATAAAACCAAACGTTGAAATTGTAGGATTGGACTCTGCTATTTGACGATTAAAACCAATACGGTAGATGGTCTACACCCTGCTCTACCAATATGGGAGGGCATCTTGTTGACTAAAAAGATACCGGTATAGAGCAGGTTGAAGACAAATCTTGCGACTTGTTACTAAAGCTGGCAGCTGTCTACATAGAAATTAGACGACTTAAACTGAAGTCAACTGAACAGCGGTTGCAAGAGCTTTGCAGCAAGCAGCTGGCAGCGCCTGGAGACGCCCACGCACAGCATAGCGTAGGAAATGTGACTTAAGAAGCATAATCTATGAAATTACTTCGCGAAGTATCCCAATGGCGTAGCGTCCTGTCAGGTCATTAGCTGGTCTGTTAGTCAGCCCACCGGTTGCACGCGCAGTCGTCGCGTCAGGGAGTCACCGAGCCGTCAAAGGTCTCGTCAGCAGCAATCAAAAAATTCATTATAAATTAACGTAAGCAATACTTTTCCTGTCAACGACATTCAACAACAATACCGATACCTCTTAAAGGTAGCTCGCTAGGTTTGCCGCTTAGGGCAATGTGCCTTTGAGAGACAAATCACGGGGATTTACTACCTGCTCACTCATCTCAATATATTCTGATCAATTCTTTTGTGGGACACAATCGCGTAAAATGCTAATCTACCGACACCATGGCGCCGGCACAGCATTGGCTTCTCTTACCATAATGCTAATCTCTTCGTTATCAATTTATGCACAAGCATTTAAGCTAATTGGATGTGGCGAAACAATCCCAATGGAAAAGGTACGTAGATTGCACGCAAGGGGGATTTACGAGGCTTACTCGGCCTCGGCGGCGGGCAGGGCAATGCACGGCCCGCCACCGCACAGTCCTGCCGGGCGTGTGACAGATACATCAGCCGCCATAATAAAGTCGTACTAATCTCTTTTTACCATTCCATAAAACTTATCTATGTTTTGCAACAAGCGCTAAGCCCTGAGGGCTGCCTGGTTCGTTCCCGCGGCCCAGGTTCTTGAGTCCGGCAGCTATGGGAGCATCACATTGCGGCCCGGTGACGATTGCGTTTACCACATCTCACCACATGGCGACATCTCAAACATGGTGATCTACACGGGGGATCTGGGGACCAGGTGAGGCGGGGAACAAGCCGCTAGCTAGGGACCTGAGCAGCCAATGCTTGTGTGCTGAATACCGATCCAAAATACGCTTTCACCTCCGCCACCTCAACAGTAGGAATCCTGATCGGCACCGGAAAAAGTGAAAATTGCACCTTGTCCTTCAAACGACGGTCTTTTCTTTGCCTTGCGCTTCTGTTGTACATCCGCATACCAACATTCATGCCGTGCCAGTTCCACCGCTTTGATAAGACACGTGCTATCCTGTCTACCCGCGCTCGAACGACCTGACCTAGCGCTGACAACCACCCTTCCCACGCCTTTCCTCACACACGCAGCCAAGATGCCAGGGTGTGGTACTGCCCCAGCCCCGACTGCGGCGCCTCCGGCAGCCACAACCTGACGGCGGGGGTGAGCACCCCCCTGCTCGTGTCCAACTACCCAGATGGAATCTGGATCCACGTCTCGGTCCCCTCCACCGGTGGCTCCTCCGCCGCCACCCTGGAGCTCAGCGCCATCGCCGCCAGCTGCAGCGCCCCGCACCAAACCCCGCTCCTGCTGTACCGCACGGTCGATGGCAGGACCTCGGAGCCCTGGCCCAGCTACAGCCTGTGCGTGACCAAGCCCAACAATAACCCGGACTTCGGAATTGCGTTCTCATGGGAGTGGTCGTTCGGAAGCCTGCCGTACAGCTTCGGACGCGGGTTCCATGCGCTCCTGCCGCCGTTTGACCTGACGCTGCCACACGGTGTGTACGACATCCAGCTCATGAGGGCCTACTCGCCGGACGCGGAGGCCCGGATGGGCGTCAGCTTCGTCCTGCTTTCCAGCAGCGGCGTTGAGCTGGTGCGCTTCAACGAGTCCGTCTCGGGCTACTTCGTCCCCGCCGTCAACAACATCACCCGGGGTTCTATGGAGTTCTACTTGCCGGCCGGCATCGCCGACCAGAGCGCCGCCGTGGCCACGGTACGGCACGCACCGAACGCTCCACCGCCATCTCCACCTGCCCCGCCTCGGCCGCCACCTCCGCCTCCGTCTCCTGCCGTGCCTCCAAGCCCCGCACCGCCCGTCCCTTTCCGACCGCCACCTTCGCCATCGCCGCCTCGTTCTCCCCAGCCTCCATCGCTCCCGCCGCCATCAACACCGCCGTCGCCCTCCCTGACACCTGCGTCGTCGTCGCCATTGTCGCTGACCCCGCCGCCGTCACCATCCTTGCTACTGCCACCGTTACCGCTTCCTTTCCCGTCGCCTCCACTGTCCCAGTCCCAGCCGCTGCTGCAGCCGCCTTCGTCGCCACCACTACCGCCGGCGAGCCTGCTGCTATCCCCGCCGCCGACACCGACCTACCCACCGACGCCTTCATTACGGCCATCCTCGCCACCATCCCCACTGCAGCCGCCGGCTACCTCGCTGCCACCCTCCCCCGTGAAACCAGACCAGACCCCCTCACCGCCGCACCCAGCAGTCCCGCCCAGCCCGACCTACCCCGGATCTGACTCGAGGGAGGGCCTCCCGCCGCCGCCCTCGCAGGGACCGAGTCCTGCCGCACCAGTCATCCAGGTCCTCAGCCCTCCGCCACTTCCACCCACCTACCCACCACAGGGCTTCACCGCACCGCGCCAACCCGTAACGCTACCACCCCTACCAACACCTCCCACATACGTCCACGGCATGCCACCACCACCGTCGCCCTCCTCGTCCCCACCCACCAGCTACGGCTATCCCCCCGACAGGAGCTCCCCAACGCCCAGCCCAGCGGGCCCCCCACCACTGGGTCAAGGAGCCACTGCACCACCCAGCCCCCGTAGAACCCCTCCTAGCGGCTTCTCCAGCTCCCAGCTGCACAGCCCTCCTCCCAGCAGCGGCACACCCCGGTCGCCCAACCGTACGGCACCTCTGCATGTTTCCACCTTGGCTGGGTCGGGCTCGCGAGCCGGCGGTCGGGCCTGCATGGCTGTGAGTGCAGCCTTGGGGATAGCGGTCGCGATGTTGGTGAGGGTGGCGTTGTGCTGAGCGGTCACAGCGCTGGTTGCAGTAGTGGCAGACGGCCCATTCGTACACAGGGGTTAACCTGTGGGCTGCACCTCCGTAGCGTTGCACATGCGGGATGCTGCGTAGAAACAGTTAGTGATATCCTGATATGTTGTTGATGCTTTGTGGTATTGCATTGCGTGCTGGGTGTTACATGTTGTTTTGCATTGGACGTGCATGGTGACGTTGCTTCCGCTTCTCAGTCCTCCGTATATCTGCCGGCTGATGGTGTGAGGGTGAGGGTGGGCTTTGAGGCACTGTTGGCGTTGGCGGACGTTGCATGGGCAGAATTCACGGCAGTGGCGACGCTACACTTGCTCACCCGTGCATACCCGTTGACCCTTTGACCCTCCCGAGCGTTTGCCTGACTAATTGATTGACCCCCGTGATCTGTCCGGATCGTCGTGGATCGTATTTATGGTTGTGATTCTGCGAAAAAGCAAATTTCGAGGAGCCGTTATCTTCTGAATAGAAAACCCCCATGCATGTTCTTAACTGCACATACCATTCGTGGTGTGATTGATTTACTGCGCGTGTGAGCCAAAAGAATCTGGTGGTTGGTATCGTGTTGCTGACTTTGCGGCGCAGTCGCCGTACATTAAAAGGAGGTGGGACGTGGAGACTCGCCCTCCAGATAGGAACGGTCAGCGAAATGCAAGCTTTATGCAGTTTAGGCTTTACTGTTGGGCGTTGGCGGTCAACAGAGCGCGCCAGGGACGGCGTTATGTACCTAGGGAGGAGCGAGTATGCCCCTGCTGCGCCTCATCATGAAGATGAGAAGCAGGTCACGCTTTGAAGTGGGAACCTGAGCGTCTGGCGGAGATGCTGGGATGCACGTACGGTGTAGTCCCGCCGCAACTCTATCGTTTCCTTTGGTCGTTAGCATCCTTTATCACTTGCTTTGTCTTGAGTGCTAGGTAGGATGGTACTTATAGGCGATCTGACAGCTCTTGGGGCCTCGGCTCGTATGCGCCGGTTTGCAGGTACGGGGTACACACCCCCACGACCATGTGTAACACACACAGGTGGGAGCGTTAATAAGTAGGCGTAAATGCGTCTTCCTTACGCAGCTTGCCTTGCATGATACGAGCATTGTTGCGTTATATATGTGTAACGGTATGTTCCCGGGCTCTCTATGAAGAGTTCCCGCCATGTCACATTTGCACACATGATGTCCATGTGTACTATGTTGGATGGACAATTTCAATAATGTTGTGAACAACTATGTGAATACACCTAACCTATACAGGTCACCGCCATACACACCGATAGAGCAGGGAATCCCAACCAAGCGGGTCTGGCCGCCTCAGCAAATCTTTACAACCCATCAAACACGCACACCAACGCCCACCTTTGAACCAGTCCGTCAGCCAAGCTATTATCCCCTGCATAACTAGGTAAGCTGGCGACTATGCAGTGAACCGGCACTTGACGAGGCGCTGCTGCTTCAATAACATGCTGCATCCTAATTAAGCAACCTCACCCACCAGAGCGTTGCCCGCTGAGGAGTTGTTTCCCTGGTCCATTCGTCTAATAGAAAGAAACAGCAACACAGTGCGGCACAAGCAGCCCTTCCTAACCCAACCCCCGGTCAGTGATATGCACGAGGGCACGCACTATTGGCTCAGTTATGACCCAATCGCCGGACTTGTACATGCAAACCTTTTTTGTTGTACCCCTCCTACTGTGCCGCCAACGTAGGTCCCCTACGGACGGCCCTCTGCCGATACGAGTGGGTCTGAAAAGCCTTCCAATCCTGGTCCTTGGCTCATTCGTGACACCCATCCCCCGAAACGCCCTGCTATCCTGCTCTAGCTCGCCAGCCAACTCACTCTCCCTCTATCCCTCCGCTTCCATCGCTCCCAAGGGACAATTTTGCCGCTCTGTTATCCGGATTATAACCCCTTAAATTAAAGCGTACATTGTAGACCACGTATGCAGATGTCCCCGCCCTTCACGGCTTCCTGGACTAGGCGTGCCAACGGCTAATCCTTGACGGTGGTCCTCCCGCCCCGTCCTAACACGTCCTAAACACCATAGCTACTCCCATTGCGGCTCCACGTGTGTGAGGGGGTTGCGCCCGATTACCGTGTCTCCGGCAACAACTTGCCAAGCTGCCGCACGCCACCTCGCCCCACTGCGGCCGCCGCCGCCGCTACCTCCCCTGCCATCTCCTGCTCCTGGCGCAGCATGTCCACCGTACGAGCCAGGTCCTCATCCACTAAGCCGCCGTCAGGGTCGGAATCGCACTTGCCGCCGCCGGCCCCGTTGCGGCCCTGCACCCGTTGCCCCCCCGCTGCCTTCAGTCGCTGCCGCCGGAATGGTAAGCCGCGTATACCCAGCGCCGCGTACGGCGGCGCAAAGCCTGGAGGCAATGGCCCAGTCGCGCAATGGCCCAGGCTGCCGGCCTGCTGTAGGTGCGGATGGCTAGGCCCAGGCGGCAATAAGCCGTAATCAGCAGCGGACGCCGCCTGGTCCGTCAGGTGGCTTTGGCGCGTAGCGGGCCGCGATGGCGGGTTCCTAGGGTGCACCAGGTGGGCACGGGGCAGCTGTGCAGACTGCTGTTGGAGGTGCTGACTCTGCCGTTGCGGCTGTTGCAGGTGCTGGCTGTGCTGTTGCAGGTGCTCGCTGTGCTGCAGCGAGTGCTGCTGTTGTTGGTACTGTTGCTCTTGGTACTCTTGTTGGCACTGGTAGTATTGTGTTTGGTTCAGTTGGTGGTAGTGGTGGTTCTGGTATTGTTGGTGGTGGTAGATATGGTTTTGGTATTGTTGGTGTTGTGGTTGGTTCAGTTGGTGGTAGTTATGGTTTTGGTATTGTTGGTACTGCTGCTGGTGTTGGTGGTAGTTATGGTTTTGGTATTGTTGGTGTTGTGGTTGGTTCAGTTGGTGGTAGTTATGGTTTTGGTATTGTTGGTACTGCTGCTGGTCTTGGTGGTGCTGATGAGGCTTGGCAAGCTCGGTGGCATCCATTGATCGCAGCGGCGGTGGCGCCTCGGTGGCGCCCGCAGCAATCGAGGGCTCCAGCAACTGTCCGGTGCTCTGCCGCTGCAACTCCTTCGTGCTCTTGAACGACTCCCGCCGCGGCGCCTCCTCTGGCGCCCCTAGCCCCGAAGCCATCGGCGCCGCCGGCACTGTCCCTTCCACAGTCGGCAAGCTGTCCGTGCGGCCGAGCTCGCTTGCAAATCCATCCCCGCTAGCGGTGACGGTGGCAGCTCCTGCGGAGTAGTGAGAGAGAAACGCCGCCATCGGCCCCGTCGCTGAGGGGCCCTCTTCCAGCCCGGGAGGTACATGGCCGCCCGCACTTCCGGTGCTCCATTGCGATCTGGGAAAGTCCGGCTGAAGCGCACGAATGGGACCACCAGGTGCTTGTGGCTGTGGCCTGGTGTCATCTACAGAGGCCTGTTGCTGCTGTTGTTGCTGCTGCTGTTGCTGCTGCTGTTGTTGCAAAGGTTGGTGTGGTCGTTGATTCTGATGCGGCGGCACCTGGGCCCTATGCGGCGGCCGCGGCGTTTCCAGTATCACAACGTCTGGCGAGCCCTCCTTCTCCTCCTCCTCGTCTTCTTCCTGTGGTTCTGCCGCTTCGCCCGGAGCAGGTGGCCGCTTCGCGGCGATAGACGCAGGTTCAGGGACTGGCATATTCGGCTCTGACGCCCCGTGGCTGCTATCTGGGCCCGATACCGGGGCTGCCGTCTCAATCCCCGCTCCTGCAGCTGATTCCGCCACGGCCGGCGCTGCTTCTTTGGCAGCTGTGGTTGCGGACGGCGCCGAAGCGACTCTTGTTGCTGTTGCTGCTGTGGTCTCAGCGGAGCAGGCCACAAAGTCAACACCATCACCCTCGCCCTCACCCTCACCACCGCCATCCCTATCACCATCATCACAAATACCGTGATCGCCAACTTCAGCTGCATCACGAACCTCTACCTCAGCTACAGCATCACAGCCATCGCCGCGACCCCCATTACCGCTGCCTTCATCGTCCCTAACCTTGGCTTCCGCGGCGCCGCCTACACAACCACCTGCTCCTGCAGGTTCGACCGCGCTGCCGGCCTCCCGGCTGCCCGCAGCAGGTGAAGGTACCGCCGTCGCAACTGCTAAGCCGTCCTGCAGGGGAGTCGTCGTGCTTGCATCCAGCGGCCCCGCCCTCACATCTCCTCCTCGGTGGTCCTCCTCCTCCCGCGCCCTACGATCCGTCTGCTCTGGTTCCGGCTGCGGCTCTGCGGCTGCTACCTCGGCCGCTGCCGCAGCCACAACCGCCTGCGCTCCTTGATGGTGATGCCGGCCCTTCTTGCGCTCACGTGGCGGCTTAAATGCGGGCGGAGGGTTCTCAGGCGACTGCCCTTGCTGTTGCTGCTGCTGCTGCTGGGCAGTTTCTTCTGCAGCTTGCTTGCGCGCCACCTTAGACTTGGTGTTCGCCTTATGCTCCTTGCGCCGCTCTGCCTTGAGCCGCTTCCGCTCTGCTGGCGTGGCGTCCGACTTGCCGGCCTTGGCCTCCTTTCGTTGTTGCTGCTGTTCTTGCGGCGGCGGTTGCGGCGGCGGTGACGGTGGCGGTTGCGGCGGTGGTGGCGGCAGCGGTGGCGGTGACACCGAGTGCCGCGGCGGCTGTGTTTTCGAATGTGCCTGCTGCGTAGAATTTTGCTTGGGCTGCTGCTTCGGCCGCTGCTGCGGTTCCGAATGTGAGTGGGGTTGGGGCTGCCGTGCCGGGGACGACGGCCGCAGCTGCGTCGACACCGTTACGGCCTCTTGATTCTGTGCAGCGGGTCTTGGCTGACTCTGTGTTCTCGACGACCTCAACTTTGGATACTGCTGTTGATGTTGTTGTAGTTGTTGTTGCTGCTGCTGAAGGTATCCATACCGTTCCTCTCTCAACCGCGCCCGCCGCTCCTTTTCTTCCTTCTCCCGCCGTCGCTGCGCCTCAACCCGCGCCGCCTCTTCTTCCTCCTCCCGAGGGCATCGCTCAGCCTCATCCTCGTCCTCGTCACTAGACGGCTCATCACCCTCCTCTCGCACCTCCATGCATTCCTCACCGTGCATCGAAACGGATACAGCAGGTCCCTCCACTGCCGTCGCAGCCGTCGCTGGCGCCGCCACAACCACGGGGTCGCAACGGGCAGCAGCAGCAGTCTGCTGCGCGGCCTGCCCCCTTGAGCCAGTAGCGGCCTCTGGATCTGCTGAACTTATCTTGCCGCCTGGCTTGGCCTGCCGCGGCCGCTGGTGCCGCTTGGGGTTCCTCAGCGACGCAGCCACCTCATTGTCCGCATCCGCCTGCCAGTCACAGCTTCCAAGCCTGCAGGAACATCGCGAATCCGGCAATTTTATAATTCCATGTATAAATCAAGGCAGTGACGTCCGAAGCAAGAAAGGCAGGGCAATTAAGAGTTCCCAAACGAGCTGAGCTCCGACGAACGCTTTGGTACACATCGGTGCTCTACTCCCCGTTGTGCTCTACAGCCATAGCTGTTGGTGCGGTCGCATGTTGTACGGATAGGAAATACTGAAGACCGTCGCGGTTTACCCTACCCTACCCTACCCTGCGCGACACAGCCTACCACAGGCAAAGCCCGATGGACCAATGTCACTATCGGTGCTTTCCTAACCCCATAATGCATAACCCATAACGCCACAAGGACACTCACCTGCGGTCGCTGAAACCCGTCTGTGCTGCCGCCGCAGACGCCAAGGAGTTCTGCTGCCAGCCCTTCTCGCCCTCCCTGCCCCGCTTCCCCAGCTGCTGCTGCTGCCACCCGGAAGCGAACCAAGGAAATCTCCCCCGCGCATCACCCCCGGCTTGTCCCTTGTGCGCCTGCACCGCCCGTGGGCCGGCAGCTTGATCCGCTGCTGCTGGTGCCGCACCTCCAGCAGGATCACCGGCCCTGGACACAAACGGCACGCTTGCAGGTACGGTGGCGACAGCCGCCGCTGTGGTTGACGCCGCCATGCCCGCCTTGACTGTGGCTACTGCACCCCCAACTGCAGCAGCAGCAGCAGCTGCAGAGGCAGCGGCGCCTCCGGGAGCAGCAGCCGCGGCAGGATCCATCGGGGCGGTGGACGCAGGCGCAGACGCGGCGGCCGCGACCGGTCCTGGTCCCATACTCAGTCCGGCGGCACCCGCCTCGCCAGTCACATTAGAGGCTCCGCGGCTCGGGGGCCGCAGCGGCGGCGCCGCGCACTCCCCGTCGCCGCTGCCGCCGCCACAGCTGCGGTCCTGGCCTTGACGGTCATCGCCTCCCCTGGCGTCGTAATCCCTCTCCCGCCACTTAGGAGCGACCTGCCGGTCGCGCTCCCGCGGGAGCTGCTGCTGCTCCTCCCGAGGGCGCTTGCCTCCGCCTTCCCGGTGATCCTTGTTCCTGTCTCTCTCCCTGTCCCTATCCCTGTCCCTGTCCCGGTCTTTATCTCGTTCCCGGCTAGCGCTGCGGTCACGGTTGCGCCGGTCCTTATCTCGGTAATCCCTGCCCTGCGGAAAGCGCCCTGCGGCAGCTGCAGCCTCAATGGCGCCGCCTGCCAGTCGCGTCGATGCGACCCCGACGGCGTCCGCTTGCGCGGCCGACGCGGGATGGCCCCCTCCGTCATACACGTCGGTGTCGGTGCCGTGATGCCGCAGCCGCTGTGATGTGGGTCCGCCGCCAGCGGGCGCGGCTGTGACAGGGCCCAGGCCAGCACCGATTGCTCCCCCAAGCTGTGCCTCGAGCCGCGCTGCCAGCAGCCTACGCATGGGGAAACGGCAGCAGCGTTAGCGGCGGCGAAGAGGACGCCGGCCTTAAAAAAAGTGGCGAAAAGACGGGGGGGATAGCGAGTATGCTAAAGTCGCAAGGCGGGTTCCATTGGTCTGCCTGCCTGCCCGCCAGCCTGCAGTAAGAAACTCACACATGCAGTGCACTGCTGGTCATGGGTGCTGTGTTACTAGCAGGAGCCGACTCCAGAGGAAGAGAAAGAGCGCAGCCAGAGCCGGACCCGAGCGCAATAAGCCACAAAAGAGCGCAACAAGCAGGATCTCTGCGGTGTTGGCCACGCAGCACCTAGCAGCGACTTGTGCGCACGGGCAGATGCTGCCGCATCCGTAGCAGGTTAAATGTGAAAGCAGGTTAGGGCCCGCACCTTCCCTGGGCCCCCCTGTCCCACCGCTGTCGACCCCTCTCCGAGCCGCGGGGGCGCCGTCCTCGGGCCCTATGTCCGGCCCCACACAATGCTTGCACCCATGGCATGCAAGGCGGAGGAACACACAGCTGCTGCTGTCCATGCTTTACCACTGGGACGCGGGATCCGCCCGGACTACGCGGCCCATGCAAAGCGAAGGCGGCCGATTTGTAGTAACATGTAAGCTAGCAAGGGCATCCATTCGGGGACCGGAAACCAGCACCGCCCGCCGCCCGCTGAGAGCTCACGTAAGAACTGCCAGCGGTTCCTACTCGACTCGCGTCTTGGCGTGGGCGACATTCCCTCTCCATCTAACGCACTGGGTACAGCCCAATCTCCTGTTTTTCAAACGCTACTGGAAACGTGGTTTGGTCAAGGGCTCTCTACGATGATGAGGCCCCCACCATGTAAACCGAACATGTGGAGGATGTGTTATAAAAACCGCTACTCGCCTCTCCTGCAGCTCCTGATGCACCGCTCGCAGCGTCAGGTACTGCTGCTTGCATTTGGCCTGTAGCGCTTGCAGCCGGGACTCGCTCTCTGACAGCGCCTGCTCCCGGCCCGTCAGCGCTTCCGACTCCAAAACCACCTTTTTGGCGACCGGACATGGGGCCGGACAGACGTCTGTTAGCGGTGGGCTGGAAGGCCAGGAGGGTTACATAACGCAGAGCGAGAGAGGAGCAGAGAGAGCATAAGGGAGTGGAGAACCCAACAATCCATGCCACCTCCATTTTCTGACCCAGATAATCGCTGACCCGTAACTGGCCTCCCCTTTACACCCATGCGAGACCCCATGCAAAGCACGGAGGGCCCTCACATGCGTGTAGACTCCCAGCTCCGTCAGCTAATGACTGGGAATGGCGAGTGGGCCTCTATCCCAGCGGGACAACGCGCATGGGTCGGAATCGGCATCGTGCGTCTTTGTCCAGATAAGGGCCGCGGAAAAGAGCTCGGAAGCAGTTGGGTCAGCAAATATGAGATAACGAGAACTGGTGCATATGCGACGTGCAACGGTTCCTGCCATAATGGCGACCCACAGCGACTGCAACCCGTAACGCCTGGCCATCCCTCCACGCGCTCAAGCGGCTGCTTATGAGAGGTTCCTTCGTTTCTCTCCAAGTACATGAAGGCTCCCTAGTTAACGCACCTTGCGTTCGCGGCCAGCGAGGTCATCTGCCCGCCGCTGCAGCTCAGCCGCGCGCTGTTCCAGGCGCTGTCGTTCTGCCGCCAGCTCGAGGAGCTGTTTGCGTGCCACTTCCGTCAGTTGCAACACCTCCAACTGCTGTTGCGCCAAAAGCGCTTGCTGCTGAGCAGCTTGACGCTGGAGAACGTTGAGAATGGATTCGCTGGTGTGCGCGACCACTGCTGGACTGGAAGAACCCGCAGGGACAGATGTGGCTGCCGCCATTGCAGGAGCAGGTGCTGCCGCTGGTGCCGGAAGTGTACCGGTAAGGGGATGTGCATCGTGAACGGAAGCCATGATGGCCACACCGTCGGGGGATTCTACAAGCTGCACTGCCGCCTCCGGTCCCACGGTGCGGGGGAAGCCCAACGCAGGGTTGCAGCAGACCGGCTTGCCTGCGCAGCGCCTAGATTCATGCTTCTAACAGATAATACAACAAGGCACAGGTAAAGCTATTCTATCATGAATGGATATGAACGCATCGCGAAATGAAATGTAAGTAAATACTTGGACATAAAGGCAACGATTTGTACTAGAGCTGCGAAGCACCAAAAGTAAAAAGTGCTGCTTGAGAGGAACACACTCGCGAGGATTTCGGAGCAAACTTGCGGACAAAGCTGTCAAGATGCAACGCATAAGGGATAATTGGCGCATAAGCAAGGAATTCTTTGCTATCGATATGTCATGTTCCTAGCGTTCGTTGTGACTTCTGACATGTAGGTACGAATATGCCACCTCAAAACAGCACCTTCAGCGACAATTTCCCGCAGAAAGCCATGCTGTGTGCATCCAATTAATAATTGGCTGTGCTCCTCTTGGAGCTTTACATTGCCAAGTATTGTTACAGCAGGCCGTAGGGTGTGGGTAAAGGCCATTTGAAGATTTTGGTAGTATGCCCGCATTCCAGTGTGATCGAATGATGAAATAGTAACCAGGTGCTTTCCAAGCAGGTGCCACGTAAGGTTTCGGGTTGGCGGGGCTTGAGTTCGTGTTCGTTTGGCACGTTTATTTCCCCCTATGAGACCGCAAGTAGCAACGGCATTTTTACTATCATGTGCACAGGTACAGCCTTCTAACAGCCTCCTAGGACCATGAGACGCTTGCTTAAGTTGTTTCGCGCCGCGACGGATGGGCACGCCAACCTGCCCAAAATCCGCATTGGCGTCTGCGCTATGGACAAAAAGGCGCGCAGCAAGCCGATGAAGGAGATTCTTGAGCGTCTCACAGCATGGGGCGAGTTCGAGGTTGTTATCTTTGGGGATGATGCTATCCTGGAAAAGCCCATCGAGGATTGGCCGCACGTGGAGTGCTTGCTGTGCTGGCATTCAGACGGCTTTCCCCTCAAGAAAGCACAGGAGTACATTAAATACAGGAGGCCTTTCCTGGTGAACGACGTGTTCATGCAGGTGACGCATGCTGATGGGAGTCGGGAAGGGGTTTGGAGTTTTTTCCGCATCTTTTCGTTCGGGTAATTTGGCCGATCCTGTCATCAACCTTAGCGTAAACTTTCATATTAAACCTCATATTTCTCCACATCTGCAGTCCGCACTATAAACGTTCCTCTTTTGCCGGAAGAAACCCAACTAACCAACACGGCGCCACACGGCGCATGTCCGCCCGCACAGATCAGCTGGGAAATCAAATCGGAGTGAACCATGAACCATTGAATGGACCATGTTACAAGTATCCTTCATGGCCTTGAACAGGGTTGTGATAGACGCCATAGACCCTGGCGCCCTACACAACTTACACCGTCGAACCCCGACCGGCCCCTCCCAATGCCCCTATCCCCGGTGACAGATTTACTCGTCTATGGCTCTCGTCTTTCCCCCATCCATATCCGCAGCCGTTCGTTACTGCCGCGGAACTTTTCGCGTCGGACTGCGTTAGACTAACTTGACTCGTGGTGCACTCCTGTCTATGGTGCTCCCATGGCGTTGCGTCTCTCGCTCACACACGCCCTGGCGCCCACCCCCACGTGTGGTTTTGGTCTTGTTACGTGGTTTGGGTCCGCTCAAATCCCTGCATACTCCTCATTTCTCCTGGTCTCCTCCGTCTGTGTCCTTGACCCACATCAACGGGGCTCCTGCCTCGGCCATCACCCCGCGTCATCCCGCACAGGACTTTCTGCTGGATCGGCGTAAGGTGTACAAGTTGTTGGTGGAGCGGAGCATCCCGGTGCCTACACATATCATTGTGGAGCGAGACCACTTGCCAGAGGGTGAGGAAGTGAGATATTTTGAGGCGCGAGCGTGTGTGTGTTCGTGTGTGGACCGGCGGGTGACGCCTGGGCGGCCCAGGGAAAAAGACGATGGAAGAGGGTTGTTAAAGGCTCTAAGTGGATCGGATGCAATAGTGATTGCCAGGGCGTTACAATAGCAACTAACGGCTCAGCTCAGCCACAACTCACTACTCTACAAGCACACCAGACCAAAGATAAACGCTCGCTCATTCCTATTTAATGTCGAGTTCGACAGTCGATCAGCAAGTACGGAAGATGGCTCCGAACCACCACAGAAACCAACCATCGCGTACGCAACAGGCGTCAGACTGACCAGACAACATTTTCCCTAACAAGGGTAGCTAGCAGCAGTAGCAACAGTAGCAACAGAAGCAGCAGTACTGATGATGACAGTGGTAGGGATTTCAAAGAAGTTTAATCCAGCTAAGGCTATAGGAAAAATAGGAAAAACGTGGACGCCGACCAGGAATGCAACGGTGAAAAAAGCGTTTGGTTGGACAGCGGACACACATTTGCTTTGTATTTAAATGCTTGGCTTGTTGGAGGGAGCTAGGTTGAGGAGGGTGGGGTATCAGGAAAACCCCTTCCTCGTGCTAATATACTGGCTCTCCAAAAAACATCTTACCCCTAAAACACCTTAAAACCCTTTGCCGATACGGGAGCGCGGTTCTTTCGCCCGTATGTGTTACTGCCCTCATGCTACTGCGGCTTTTCCGCACATCCTGCCATATGTACGGGTCCTATCACGTGTTGTGTTCATATTAGTGTGTCCGTACGGCGCAGGTACGACCGACCCTCCTGGCTTTGTTGAGGATGAGGACTATGTGGAGCTGAACGGGCAACGCATCGTTAAGCCCTTCGTGGAGAAGCCCGTCAGTGGGGAGGACCACAACATCTGGGTCTACTACCCGCACTCGATGGTGGGTCACAAAGAGTGTCGATGGGTTCGGGTTGTCGATGGTGGCTATAGCTCGCGAGCGCGACTTTCCCTTGTCCCCGGATCGGTTATCGATGGTGGGTCCAAGTCCGACCTGTTAAGTCTTTTTCGGAATTGAGGGCGGAGCGTCTGGGCGGGGGTATCAGGAAACGCAGCCACCTCGGGCCGGGTCGGCGCCTGGGTAGCGTCGGGAGCATCGTGTGCGTGCGTGTGTGTTTTTACGTGTGCGTCCCAAACCCGCATGTAGTAAGGCTTAGCTGGCCTATGTAAGGACGTGAAGCAGCCGACGCAACCGAGCATGATTCCCACGATAACCAACCAACACAGCTAACACAATCGTCTCGGTCAGGGCCTTACGAGAGGGTTTGCTCGTGCCTACTAATATACTGCTCGCGCACATACACACACACACACAAACACACACAAACACATTTCCATCGCATGCTCCAGGGTGGCGGTGTAAAGTACCTCTTCCGCAAAGTCGACGACAAGGCCTCCAAGTACGACAGCTCCCATGACGGCAAAGTACGGCGGGACGGGTCGTACATTTACGAGGAGTTTCTTCCCACTGGCGGTACCGACGTCAAGGTGTACACCGTAGGGCCCAGGTGGGCGGGTGGGCGAGGAGGGCTGGCGGTTGCGGGGTAGGGGTAGGGGTCGGGGAGGAAGGATCCGAAAAAAACGAGGGAAATGTAAATTGGAGGGTAAACACGCTTTTCAAAAGGGCGATGTAAGGAATGACTTTTCAGGTTCTGACGGAGTCCCGAGCGGGGCGCAGAGTGAGAAGAAGTGGAGTGGCGAGGGTTGCTCAGTCATTTCGGGTTTTCCAACCCTTTCATGTTTCACACTTCACCGCAGAAGTCACGGCACGGGCTGCCAATACCCTGCTCCGGTTGTTGGTAACCGCCTTGTTAAGACCTCCCGCCATCATACATCAAATGCACAAAGACATCCCGCCTGCCCCGCCTTAACGCATGCGTTCCCAGCCGTCCCCACCTCGCTCCTCCCGGCTTCTGGTTCCATATGCACACATACATACTTACATTCGTAGAGTGTTGGCAGTCTGAGTCGGGGTTGGGAGCACACAAGACTAACCGACTTGCGCTGTGCTCCCGACCCTTGCGCTGTGTTTCGGCTTTGGCCCCCGGCTCTCGCGGCCCACAGTGTAATCTAAGTCATACATGCATACATGAATAAGTACTGAAGTATGTACATACATACATGTACACACTCAGGTACGCCCACGCTGAGGCCCGCAAGTCCCCCGTGGTGGACGGGAAGGTCCTCCGCAACGCCGACGGCAAGGAGATGCGCTTCCCTGTGCTGCTGAGCCCCCAAGAGAAGGAAATCGCGCGCATGGTGTGCCTAGCGTTCGGCCAGAAGGTCTGCGGCTTCGACCTGCTGCGCTCCGAAAAAGGCCGCAGCTACGTGTGCGACGTGAACGGCTGGTCCTTTGTCAAGAACTCCAAAAAGTACTACGACGATGCGGCGGATATCCTGCGGTCCATTATTTTGTCGGCTCTGGCGCCTCACCGTCTCAATGTGCAGCCCAACCTGCCTACGTACACGGGAGCTCTGACGAACCCGGACACGGGAAGCAATTTGGCGGTGAGTGGGAAAGGGGCTGGGTGGGAGGGGGGATGGGGGTGGGGTGACTGGGTGGGAGGGGGGTTGACGTGGGTGGGCGGGAGCCGGGGTGGATGTCGAGCGTTCGGCGGTGCTGCAAGCAGCACCAAGCAGGCGCGGAGGCGTCCAACTGGAAGCGGTGTCCGAGCCTGGGGAATGGGTGAGAGAGGCAACAGAAAGAGAGATAGGTTCAACATGAGGAAGGCATACGACGACATGAGGGAGACGTGAGAGGACATGAGGGGCGGCATTAAGGAGCTGTGGGCTTAGGAAGGAACGATTGTCAGCAATGTGTAAAAGGATGTACTCGTGTGTGTGGGGGGGGGGGTGAGGCCGCGGCAAGCTCCCTGCTACCGTACTGCGGCCTCTCTAAGGCCTTCGGGGAGGACCTTTCTCTCCCACACCCCTCTCACCCCTTAGCTGCATCCGCCAGTGGTTCGTCTTATCTCCCACACCCCTCTCAACCCCAGTACAGTACAGTCCTGTGTCGGAGATCACGATGATGCACGGTTGGATACACCTTCATGTTGATTCATTTGTTTTGTGCTTAAAAGGAAATGTATCTTCACATCGGCGCTACACATTAACATTGTATTTTGCCAAGAGACATGCTAACGCTGCGAACTAGCCGTAAATGTTGGTAGGATGCGTCTGTCGCATGCGAATATCGCTATATGTTATCACATAAAATAATTAAAACGCTTATGCAAACTATTTGCGTCCTCCGCTTGTGGCCGTGGTGGTTTCAGAGCGACGACGAGGACGACGAGTCCTTGGTTCCTGGTATGGACGTGAGTGAGGTACGGCACACAGCCAAGCGAATGCAGAAGGAGGAGCTTCGCTGCGTGTTGGCGGTGATTAGACACGGAGGTAGGTGGTGGGTGAGGAGTGGGGTGAAGGCGTTGAGGGCGTATGCTTGGGTGCACATTTGCGTGAGGAGGAGGAGGAGGAGGAGGGGAGATGGAGTCGGGAGGGGGAAGGGAGGAGGGTGCTTCCTCGGGGAGGTCGACTTCGGCAGTTATCTCTTGCTAAGTTTTGAATCCTTGTGAAAGTTTTTGTGTGTCTTCACCAGCGGCCCTCCTCCTCCTGCTCCTGCGGGTCTCCCCCGCTACCGTTGCCTGCCATACCGCCCATCAGACCGGACTCCCAAGCAGAAGCTCAAGGTGGTGGTGACGCAGGAGCCCCTCCTGAACCTGTTCCACAAGTACAAGGACGCCAAGGGCAAACAGGCCAAACTTAAGTCCCCCCTGCAGATGCAGGAGCTCCTTGACATCACCCGACAGCTGGTCAAGGTGGGGAGAGGTGGAAATGACGAGGTGGAGGGGCGAGGAGGAGGATGTTGAAGATGCACTGGAGCGGGATGATAGAGCACCACCAGAGAGCAGGGCGGGCGGGCGGGCCGGCAGGTGTTCCTAATCAAGCTACTTGGCTGGGCTCTGCCTCCTGCACTGCTTTGGTGCTGTTGTTATTGCTCGTGGTGGTGGTGGTGGTGGTGGTGGTGGTGGTGGTAGTGGTAATTCTTCCGGCATTCCGCTATTTGATTTCTTACTTCCCTTACTCCTACCCCTAACACCCCGCACGCATATATTCCCGTCGGGGGGAGAGATCTATTTACCGCACCGCCAAAACTCACGCAGGATTTTGAGCGCCGTGACGATGAGAAGGAGGGCGGTCCCGGGGCCGGCGCCCTCAACGACGAGGAGCGGGAGGCGGCTCAGGAGGTCCGCGGCAAGCTGCGCATCATGCAGACGGTGCTGGAGAGCGGGGGCCAGTTCTCCGGTATCAACCGCAAGGTCCAGATCAAGCCGCTGCGATGGGGCATTGCCGCGGACGGGCTCGTAGGGGTTGCTGGTGCTACTGCTGCTGGTGGCGGCGGCGGTGGTAGCGGATCTATCCAGAGTGCGGCCATGCATAGCAATGGAGGCGGAGGAAATGGTTCCAGTCAGAACTTTGAGGTTGCGAGTGGTTCGGTGGATATGCTGACGACGTTGTCATCAACGACACCGGGTGGGTAGCTGGCGGAGGGAGAGGAGGAGGGGGAGGGCGGAGGAGGGGGAGGGGAAGGAGGAGGAGTGGAAGGAGGAGGAGGGGAGGGCGGGGAGCTGGGACTGGCCTAGGCTGGGGTGGGTCGGCTTGGCTTGGGGTCCAAGTATCCCAAGTTCCCTTCCCTGCAGCAAGTGCGGGCGTGTGTGGGTACGTGAAATGTCTGTCTGTCTGTGTGTCTGCCTGTCTATCTGTCAGAAGTATGATGCATGCCGGCAGGCGCGTCCCGTTTCCTCGTCAGGCCCGCTTGTCTTGTCGTGTTCCCCTGATCGCACCACCGTCCACGACCTGGCGGGATTTCATTGGCGAGGCGCGGAATTCCCCATACCGGAATTCCCCATTCCCTCCTCCCTCCTCCCTTGCTTGGGACTCGTGCTTTGGACGAGTCGGCAGAGCACATACTTTCCGCCCTCCGCTCCCGCCTCTCTACAGATCAGCATCCGCTCCCCACCAGCGCCAGTGGACCCCCTCCGAGCGGGGCCCCGGCTCCAGTGCTGGAGGAGGCGCTGCTCATCCTGAAGTGGGGCGGAGTGCTGACGCACGCGGGGAGGCAGCAGGCGGAGGACCTGGGCAAGATCTACCGCATGGTCATGTACCCCAGGTAGGGATGCGGGGTGGGGTATATGGTTCGGTTATGGGGTTTGGCGGGAATGGGGTGTTTGGGGCAACCAGCACCCCCAACCCACCTTAGCCACCAGCACCGCCACCGCCTTTCCTTGCGCTGCCTCGGTGTTGGGTCTTAGTCTTGAGGTTTGAACATTTTTGGATTCTTCTTGGTTTCTGAACTGAACGTATCTTGAAGGGGGTATGTGTAGGAGTCATGCAGGGTTGTGCAACACCGGTAGGCTGGCGTGTGTTTCTTTCCACGCATGTTGACGGAATCCCCTTGGCCTCCTGATTCGAGCTCCGCCCTACTGCCCTGTCCTTCCCCCTCCTCCCCCTCCCCCACACCGGGGATTGAGGACTTCAGCAATTTCGGACTGTAAGGACTTTGCACGCCGGCAGTTTATCTCTAATGCGTTTCTCACGTATGATTGCCCCCACACCGGCCGCGCGTTCAACCCCCACCACACCACCGGCCGCCCCTGAACCTCTTTCCTTTGAATAACTTATCTCTGATGACGCACTCTCATCCTAGTATTACTTGGTAGTACTACTAATATTACAACTCCTACTACTCCCCTATGCAGTGGGGGCAACGGACTTCTTCGGCTGCATTCGACGTACCGCCACGACCTCAAGATCTACTCCTCAGATGAGGGACGAGTGCAGGTGGGTAGGGTGTATGTATGTTTGTATGTTGTTTTGTATGTATACATATATTTTTGTCGGCCTCTGGGCAGAGAATTGCAGGGCGGGGAGATGTGCGTTGTTGGAGTGGGAAAGCAAAGTGTTTCAGGATGTCATCCGTGTCGTCGGTGCGAAATTAAATCTGGATGGAAGGAGGAGGAGTTGGGAACAAGAACACATAGCGGAGCACCACGCGCGTGGCGATCGCCACAACCTTTTCATCCCCACTACCTTTTTCCTTTGATGCCACCTTTCGCTCTTCAGCTCCCGTGACCTCCCTCCTTCCCCCCGCTGCTCGACCCCCTTTTTGAACTCCCACAGACCTCTGCTGCCGCCTTCACCAAGGCCATGCTGGACCTCGAGGGCAACAGCCTCACCCCCATCCTGGTGTCCTTGGTGAACAAGGACGCCTCCATGCTGGAGGCGTTCGGAAAGGGGGCCTCGGATGACATAGCGGACGCCAAAGAGGCCTTGTATCAGGTTGGGTCGGGTGTGTGGGGGCCCGGAATGGGGGGAAAGCCGGTTTTAGAGGTTTTAGCGGTTTTCCTTCAAGGGTTTTCCTTTAGTGCTTTTCTTACGGTTTCCATAGGATTTGCCAGGATAGGATGGCTTTTTTGGATCTCGAGTGGGGGCTCCATTCTTTGGGTTTAGAAGGGGAAAAGACAGTCGGATCTGGGGGTGAGGGTGGGCGACCCGCGGCCGGCTTGGGGTGAGGGTGGTGATGGGCTGCAGGGAGGTGAGTGGTGGGAGGGACTGGGCAGGTGAGCTTCGTTGTGGACTTACGGCAATGATGCGTTTCCGGGGGGCCTTAGAGGTCCAAGAGGTGGCAGTCCTGTTTTCGGGGGTTGGGGTGGGGATATCCTTGGGGTTGTTTTTTCTCTCCGCAACCGGCCTGCTGGTCCTGGTGCCCCTTACCCCTGCTTAGTGAGGACACAGCTTCCCGATTGGTGAGGCTGCTTAGGAACGCCGTGCCTCTCCCTAGTTCCGCCCGCATGTACCATAACCTTCGCAACCATAACCGTCTCCAACACGATTGCAACAGAACAGAACAACCCTAGGAACTCGAGCACCTAACCGCCTCCCCCTCATCACTCCCAGCAGCTAGCTACCCTCCTTATCCTCCACTCTGCCACGTAGGCTATGACCTGGGACCCAGACAAGCCCTCGATGGCCCCACTGGCCGTCAGCAAGCGCTCCCACACGCCCATGATCAGCCCACCCATGTCGCCCAAGGTCAGTCGTACATCGTCCTTCGCAACGAAGGGCTCAGGACTGTCGGCGGCGGCGGCCGTCGCCGTGGCGGCGGCGGCGGCGGCTGGTGGTGGTGGCGGCGGCGGCGGCGGCCAGGGCCTTCTGCAAGGATACAGTTCTGGCGATGCGAGCTCCGTTGGAGGCGGCGGCACTGCCACGCCGCCGCCGTACGTACTGCCTGTACTGCAGCGGATGGTTGACAGGCTGCAGGCTCTCAAGGCCGCGGCGCGGCAGCGCGAGGAGGAGTTGTTGAAGGAGCAGAAGAGAAGGGAGGAGGAGGCGGCGGCGGCAGCTGCCGCTGCTGCCGCCGCAGCGCAGGGGGCCGGGGGCGAAGTAGAAAAAGCTGGACAAAAGGAGGGCCAGGACTCGAATGTCGGTGCGGTGGAGGATGGCTGTGACGGAGGCGTGGAGGTGGAGGTGGATGCAGCGCAGCAGCCCGACAGTGCCGAGGAGACAGCTGCGGCGGCAGCGGCGGTTGCCGGCGAGGTCGCCGCCGCCCCCGCGGGTGGCCAATCCGACGCTCCAGCGCCGCCGCCGCCACCAGCCCAGCCGCCCCTGCCGCCGCCACTGCTGCCGTCGCATCCGTCACCGGCGGCCTTCGGCTCTGTGACTCGTATGGAGCCCCATCGTCCTAGCCCGCTCTCTAAGCGTTCGTTGGACCCATCCACCGCCGCTGCCACGGCCTCCGCCGCCGCCGCACTGTTCTCCGACACGCTGCTCCGAGCCACCAGCGCGTCGTCCATCATTGCCCGCCTGCCGGACACGCCGTTGGGTCTGTTGCGGCGGTTGGTGGAGTTGTTGCGGCGGTTGATAGATCGGTTGCGGCAGTTGGTACGGGAGGAGGGCGCAACAGCACGTGGTGGCGGGCCGCCCAAGTATAGCTCCCTCAGCATGGACCCCAAGGAACGAGTGCATGACGACAACCAGCCCTGTGGCGGAGAGAAGATGTTGCTGATGTTTGACAGGTGCGCCTGTGTCTTGGCCCGGTCACTGGGCCGAAGCCGGGGGCTCTCGCGCTTTTGGCAACGATTCTCTCCGCCAATTCTCAATTCTCTCTTTCTCTCTCCTTTTCTCTCCCTTACGTTTCGTCCTTTCTCCTTTGCGCTGCCCTGAGCGCCGCTGTGTTAACCCTTCTACGCCACATACCGCGGGAAGAAAGAATTCAGGCAGCGGTTCTGGAATCCCTGTACACTCCCTTTCTCACTAGACTCGCTTTCTAATACGATTGTGCTGTCCGCTGTTCGCTCACCTTGCTTCCCCCAACCACTGGTTCTTGGGCCCCTCAGTGCCCCAGGCATGTATGAGCTCGTTACGGCTTTGGGGAAGAATGCAATTCCAGGAGGTGTCACGCACACAACATTCTCAATTTCACACGGTTCATCTTTTTACTACCAGTGTATATCTCTGGACGCTCTCCACATTCCCCTGTGTGTTCCAACGCTAACACCGCAGGTGGCACAAGTTACTCAAGTCGTTTTACAACGAGAAGAAGGACCGGTTCGATATCTCCAAGGTGCCGGATATTTACGACTCGGCCAAGTACGATGCCATCCATAACGCGCACCTCGGCCTGGACGCTCTGGAGGTGAGGCAGGGGGTGCAGGCCTGGCGGCATTTGCTTGACGGGGGGTTAGTCGAGTGGCATGGCCGATTCTTCGGGGCCGGGGGAGGGGGAGGCGTAAGACGAACCACTGGCGAATGGAACAGATATCAGAGATATCGGGGGGGGGAGGAAAGTGAAGAGGAAGGAGGACGGCTGTGGACGGGGAGCGGTCTTACGTGGGTGTTGCGGCTAGGGTCGACAACTTGGTTAGTTGTGTTCACTCAGGGTTCCCGTTCGTTCCCAAGTTGGACTGAATCCAAACTCGATCTACCCACCCTTTCCCCGCACCTTCCCCCCTCAACCGCGGCCATGGCCCCACACGCCAGGAGCTGTACATTGTGGCCAAGCTGCTTGCTGACGTGGTTATCCCATGCGAGTACGGCCTGGATCCAGGCGGCAAGCTGCGCATTGGATCCAAGATTGCCAACGAGCTGCTGGGGAAGCTGTTGGTGGATCTTGCCTCCATGCGCGAGGAGTCCATTGTGACGGCCTGCATGGAGCCCCACGGGGCCCGGGGTGTTGGGGGAGCACCCGGCTGCGGTGTCAACTACGACCAGCTGGAAGGGGAGATGGGCAGGTGGGGGCCAGGTGGTTTTGGGGAGAAGGGGGGCGGGTGGGTAAGGGGAGGGGAGAGGAGGGAGGGCTATGGTGGCCCCAGGTATGTATGGGCTATAAAGCACGTGGTGGAGTGGGGTGGGGATGGGTGTATGGCCTGAGGCCCGCACCGTATTGACGTTTCATCATGGCGCTTTTCCTAACCAGCGCGGCCTCCCGGGTTGTGCGCGACCTCCCGTCCCGCGCTTCCCGTTACGACTCCTTTTTGCCAGCCAATGAGGGAGTTTTGCTTCGCTTTCCTCGGGCGCGAAGTGGATCTGTCCCAATCCTACGGTACCATCTGTCCTTGTTGATGACGCTGCCTTTGCGGAACGCCCTTTTAAGGTTAAAAACCCCGGTGCACCCTTTCATTGGTTCTTCTTGGGCTACATCAGGGTCTCGCTGCAGGACGAAGCCATGGTGAAGCACGGCAGCGGAGGCAGCAACGGACCCACGGGTCGCGAGGGCGACCTGGAGGGCGGTCCCGCCGGCGAGATGGAGCCCGAGACGGAGACAATTCATCGGCTGTGCCCCACCTACGCCTCTGACATCAACTCTCCGCTGCGTCACGTGCGCACCCGTATATACTTCACCTCGGAATCGCACATGCACTCGCTCGTGAATGTGTTGCGGTGGTGTCATTTGGGGGCTGACGCGGCGGGCTGCTGCGCCATGCCGCCAATTACGCCGCCGTCGGGCACCGGCGGCACATCCAGCCCTGACCTGCGCGCCTCCGCCGGTGGCGCGCCGACGGCGGCGGCTGCCGCTGCCGCAATGGCGGCGGCGGCGAATGCCTTTGCGCGCGGCGGCGGCGGTGGCGGGTCCGGGGGTCTGGACAGCGCCAACTCGCCGTTGATGGCGGCGGCGGGAATGGCCGCCACCGCAGCGGCGGGGGGCAACGTTGGCGGTGCATCGTTCGGGCGGCAGTACGACAGCTCCCCGCTGTTGAGTGAGGGTGCGTGCGCGCAGCTGGACGAGATGACAGAGCTAGACTACTTGACGCAGGTGAGAGCCGACAACAGAGGGGCTCGCACGCGCGTGCTTTTGTGTTTTTTTGTGTGTGTCTCTTGTGTGTATTTCTTGTGTGTCTCTGTGTGTGTTATATCTTCTGGCTGGCTGCCAAGCCGGGGCTGCCTAGTATTCCTTATGGAGCAGCCGCCAGTCAACAAGCCCCCGCAGGATTACACTTCAGATGCTTGCACGTCAGCGCGCCATGTCCGTCACCTCTGTCCCGCACGCTCTTCTCTCTGCGCTTGGTTTTCCCCAGCCCTGCTTCCACCCTCCACTTCCGGCAGTTGGCGCCTTGGAAACGACGTTTGGCACGTGTTTTCTCGACCTTTGCCCCGCCAACATGTAACTCCACCCTCCACCCAACCTTCGCCGCCGCTGGACGCCCACCTCTCAAACCCCGCCGCGTACACCACACGTCACAGGTTGTCTTTCGCATGTACGAGAACAAGACTGTGCCGGTGGAGTCTCAAGAACGATTCCGCGTGGAAGTGCTCTTCTCGCCGGGCGCCAACTACAACCCCTTTGACTTCGCATCTACCTCGCTCCACAACAACCACGTGTTGCCCATCGTGCCGCGCACCGCCCTCCACAAGAACGACGGCATCACGCTGGCAGAGATGGAGGAAAAGTTGATGCCCTTCTCCTCGGTGAGTTTAGGATTTCAGCAGCAGCAGCAGTAATAGCAGCAGTAGTAGTAGTACTACTACTACCTTGACGGCAGCGATGCTGGCTTGTGCCGCTTGCCCTGTCGTTGATTGAATCAATGGTTACCTAGGAAAACCCCCACAGTAACCACTTGGTCAATTAAAAATTACCACGGTGAAAATGTTTTAGAACCACTGGTTGATTCTGCGCTCCGTCTGCTCCATTCAGCTGTGCCCTGCTCTCCGCGCGTGATTCGGTGACATTTTTTCGCAACCCTTTTAAAACCGCTAGCCGGCTTTCGGCCGGCTTTTTGTCGCTGCTGCTGCTGTTGCATCTGCAGTGGACTGTCTGCATATGTATGTACATGTGTGTATGGCTGTCTGTATGTACATGTGCGGTTTTGTGTTTTTATCAATGAATTGAGCAGGGAGGAGGAAGTGCTGGAGATGTCACTTCAACCACCTGAACGCACGCAAGAAGTCCAGCATTGAAGTGATAAGTGTTTGTGCATATGAATGCATGTGTGTGTGCATGCATCAGATGTCGCAGTCCTTTCCAGCTCATCGCCCCCCTCTTGCCGCACGTCCTTTCCGCGCAGACGCGCAAGTTCACAAAGTGCAGCTACGCGTTGCAGTACAGCCTTCGAGCGCCGCACCTGCACATTGGCAGTCGCTACGGCAGCGGCGGCAACCTGGTTCAGCCGCCGGGAGCTCGCAACAACGTGTCCATGCCCGGCAACGACAGCCAGACGGATATGGCCTCCAAGCAGGCACCACAGGCACCACAGGCACCACAGGCATCACAGGCACCACAGCAGCAGCAGGTGGCCGGAGCGGGGACGGGTTTTCAGCCAGGTGCCCCATCCGCTGAGACACAGTCGCAACCTTGAGTGGTACACACCACCATAGCAATGTGGTCGTTCTGGACCACCTTGCATGTGGCTGGTACCGAGCGTTTCGCCTGCCAGCATTAGTCCCTGAGACTTAGATGTGGGGATGGGTGGACGGGGAGTTGGTGGTCTATTTGTTCATCAAAGTTTGTCATTCTAAGTGCTTGCGATGGCAGATGGCATCGGTGGCGTCTGAAGGGGGTTGTTGTGAGATTAGCTGGACTGGTGGGGGGAAACCCGTGCGTGGACAGGCGTGTGGCGGATGGGAGGAGAGTGATGGGAGGAGAGTGCCTCGCGCTTGAGTGGCTGGAGGATGAAGTAGAGGATGGGTTTGGAGGGCCGGAGCGTGTCTGATTGGTTGAAAGCTTATGTTTGCTTGTGTTCCTGCCGATTTCCTTAGAGAACGTGATTCAAGCTGCCGTGTTTTTGTGCTGCTTTGTTAAGAGGTAGTTCAGGCGAGTGCGGTGCGGCCGCGTCTCTGTGATCTCCGACCACGCCTCTAGCGAGGTACTTGGCCCGCACCGATCGTGTTCGTGCACCCTTAACGTTCCGGCAGGATGCATGTGAAGGAGGCGGGACGTTGCATTTGCTGAAACCCGGGATCTTTTAGCCGCCCTGCCGAAGTTAAGGGAATTTTAGCTTCCCGCGCATCTTTCCTTGTGGCGATGTTTGACCTCGACCATTTGTGCATGCAGCGGTGGCCACGGCCAGGCTGGGGTCGAGACACGCGTTGGGATAGCGGAAATACGAGGTAGCGGATTATGACGAAAATCCATCGTTTCGAACTTTATGCACAACAACTCCTATAAGCGGGGCTGTGATGTGAGTAATATGATATATGCTGAACCCAAGCCATTACAGTCTCCGCCTGACGGATTCAGATCCATGCGGGATTTATAAATAAAAGCATTTGTTTCTAGATGTGGTGATCATGTTATGTACTGATTATTATCGAATGAAATTGGACTGGTACGAAAATTGTAGCAATGGCCTTGCCTGACTTGCACATTGCCCACCCGGCATCCCATCTTAGTAACACAGATTCACAGCAGATGTTTCTTTCGTGGCATTGCACTTTCCTTAAAATTTACAGTTGAAAGCATTGAGTATCTCCACCATAAACTCAGAAGTATATAACCTCAACAAAAACCCGACGCGACACTATCTCTTATCGCTTTCGGTTACTCGTAGTCCTCACTAGCCATTACTCCACAGGTACGCGCACACACACACATCATAGCCTGAGCAGGTTATACATCGGTCAAATCCAAGAGTCCATACGCGCCACCTTGAACCAGATGCGCCAGGAACGTATGCTCCTTGTCCGATGCATCCATCCATCACGACCACCACCACTACGTCAGTACAAAACGGTCTTCAATCATCGTAAGTACAACCACAAACTTGGCCGCCTGATAAAGGCGACCACCAAAACTGTGGTTATTGGCGAGTAAGCTCGGCTTGCAGGACGAAGGGTCGTTTACGCGGTCACCTGGCTGAAGCGCGGTGAGTTGCCTGCACGACAAGTTCCACAGATCTTCGTCAGTGCCAATACGGAGGGTGCGAAGGGATTATCAAAGCGGACAAAGTCTTTGACTAAACCGTCCCTGACCCTTATTCTAAGATTGAGTTAATCACCGAACATGAGGACTCACCGTACATGTACTCCTCGAACCGGCGAACCTCGCCGATTGAGCCGTAGCAGATTTGCGTGCGCTGGTCGCAGTTGAGGATCGGAATGTCCAGAGCCGACACGCACTTGCCATCGCAGCTGGAAGCACCGCCAGCCTTCTCAACCTGCAGGACAGGAGGATGTGGGGATCAGAGCAATCCATTGGCGCTGACAACTCCCGCGACATTCACGACTTTCTATTCCAGAGAAAAAGCTCCCGGGGAAAGATGCCTGTCTTGCCTGTCGAACGCAACTCAGCAACTAAACCCCCTAATAACACACCCACGCCCACACACACTCTCTTACCAGCAGCGCCAGAGGTGCCACCTCGAACAGGATGCGGAGCTTGGCCTTGGTGGTGGGGGAGGTCACGTTGGTGAACACACCCTTCTCCTTGACGATGATCTGGAAAACATCGGGCACCATGCCGCCAGTGTAGCGCAGGGTGTACTTCTCGCCCAGGTAGAAGTTGATCAGGCGCTCGTAGGCCGGGTTGTCGAAGGTGGCGCGCAGGTTGCCAGGGGCGAACATCTTGCCCTCACCTGCAGATGAGAGCACATGATGGCCGATTTCAGGTTCCCAGGACTCTCAAGAACCAAAGAAATTAGGAAGTTGCAAATAATTTCTTGTTTCGGAATGTAGCAAAACAAATCGACTTGTCAACGATCCGGAGACGACCTTGTTCAGAAGATTTACACACACCCCTTCCTCGCTTCCGTTGCCCGAAATCCACCGGGTGCCTTCCTCTCCTGCAACGAGCTTTGGCAACCCCTAAGCCTCACCATCTCAACCCCATCTTTTCTGTTCCATGAGGCTCGGAAAGGAAGCCGAAAGGAGGCGCGATACTCACCGATCTCGGTGGTCTCCTTGACGTGCATCCACTTGCCGTCGTCCATGAGCAGGAACTCGTGGGTGCCGGGGCAGTCCTTGAGGGCAATGCAGAACACTGTGCGCGGGCCGTAGATGCCCATGCCGGCGGCAGCCTGCCAGTGTTGGAAAAGGTCAAGACATTGAGACGCAGTGGTGAGCGAAGAAAAGGAAAAGGTAACCATGTCAGGTATTAGTCTAGATAAGCTGTCGAGACCCTAGCTGTCGAAGCGAAATTTCCGAGGCGCCGGGCTCTCCGGTCTACACGCGGCAAAGAGATGTTCTCTTGCGAGAACCGGACAGACCACAAAAGCTCAAGGAATACTTTACCGCCTGCACACACCGTGGAAGTAGCATCCGAAACTGACACATCCAAGATCCAATTCTTCTATTCAAAAACAAAAAAGGTTCTGTGAAATTCCTCTAAGTAGGCCCAGCGCGTGCGGATGCCTTGACTGTTACTGTACCAAAAGGAGTTATGCGCTGCAACTTGAAAATCAGTCCGCGACGCTGTAGAGACTCTAGGAAGAACGGATCCGCTAGCCGTGCTGTCATGCACAAAAGCTTTCAGGCCCTGCAAGTTCAATCACATTCCATACTGCCCCTCTTGCTCTCGTCCCCATCACCTGGGCCGAAGGCACCAGACGATTTCGGACACCGCGGGGCGCCACGAATTACCATGAGACCTACATGCTACTCCACGATGGCGCCAAGCTTGCAGATGCAACGTGTAAAAGAACGACCAACCAGAAGATATCACTCCTTACTAGCGCGCATGTTCATGTTGGGCGTTGGCCCCGATGCGGCGCATCCGAGACACGCGCTCCGCACACGCACCTGCTCGCGGCCGGTGATGTTGACCAGCTTGTCGCCGGGCCAGACACCGAAGATGGTGCCCACGGAGAAGTTCGTGTCAACGATGGACGAGCCATCGAGGGGGTCGAAAGCGACGCAGAAGCCCTCCCCGCCCATGTCCACCGGCTCCGGAACCTCCTCAGAGCAGGCCAGCTTGCACACGTGCTGTGGAGGACATGAATACGCGAACAGGCAGACGACGCTTACAGCATGGTGATTGGTTCAGATAGTTAAGCCGAAATTGAGATTAGAGTAATAAGGAGTGCCGAAGCCGGATCGCACTCAAGCTTTAGGGTTGCGGGGCTCACAGGAACGTTGCGAGTGGGGGAAAAGGCACAACAGCACAGGTGAGGAAAGACAACGTGCTAGAGGAAGGCGGGCCCAACCGGACAGCTGAAGAAAGACTCAGGGCGAGAGAAGTTCGCTTAGAAAAGTAATCCATACCCACGCGGACTGGTCAGGTGCAAAGGACAACGAATACGGTATCAGATTCATGACTTGCGTGGCTTTTGGAAAATGTTTTACGTACCGAGTACTTCAGCGCCTCGAACAGCAGCTTATCAGCCACCATGTCAACGGCGAGCTGCTCGTCACCGAAGCTGTTCACGCAAGCAGTGCCAGCGCACGACGCGGTGCGAACCTGGTAAGAAGTCAATTTGATGTCAGATAATCTGTAGGAAAACTTGGATTTGCCATTCAGCGCGTCTTTTATAGCCGAACCCACCTTGTGACCAATGGTGCGCACAGCCTCAGCCATGCTCATCATCAGCTGGCGCAGCTTTGGGTCCGGAGTAGCCTCCACCAGGAACTCAGCCAAGCTGTCACCGATCTGCAGGTGCCACAAAAGAGCTCAATCGTAACGGCCATCCTGCAAGCATGAGACTCGAGCGCCAACTTGCCTTGGCCTGGGTCATGACAGCCGTGCGCCGGGACTGCATGCGTGCAGCGCGAGTCGAGCGCTTCACGCGAGCGGCCACAGTGGCACCCTTGAAGGCGCTGGCGTTCGCCGACGCAACGACCACAGGGGCGGTCGCTGGGCGGCCCATCTGCGAACAAATTGACAATTACCACTCATAAGATTGAACTAGAAGTATTCTAGTTGCCATAGCGCTGTCAGCTCAGTAACAAGGCGCAAGCAAGTTGCACACCTTTGGAGCCACCACGGCGCGACGCTCGGTGGCGACGGCACCAGCAACCTTTTGGCGCATCATGGTAGCGGCCATCTTTGCAATTGACCCTAAAGCAAGGATCTATGCTGCTGCACCCCTCTTGTTCTTGCCGCTTCAGTCTATGTACGGCACCTTATCTGCTATAGTACCGCGGTGCGCATTCCTACTAAATAGGGAGACTCAGACTATTACAATATTTAGTCATATTATGAAAAGTTTCTTTGCATAGTTTTATTGCACATTACTTGTGAAACAGGACACTGTCCGCTGCGTATGGGTCAGGCAATAGCAAGCCTCTTGCAGGGAAGTCAGAGTTTAAAAGACCATATAGACTACTCAGGCGATGCTGGCAAGGAGCTCCTTTCAATTGCGGCCTTGCAATGGGACATCACTCCATCTTTAAGGGCGCATTTCCAGTGCGGATTAAGGCCAGGGATTAGGGCACGGAAGTCCTTGGTACGAGCTTACCACATAGTTTTGTTCCATAAGGGAACCAAAGGTTGAAAAGTCGAGGTAAGTTTGCCAACAACTTAGCCGTTTGAGCAAGTATCGATGGAGGACAGAGGGTTAATCTTTGGCCTTAATCCGCACTGGAAATGCACCCTAAACCCGCGACTCCAAGACCTTTGAATTCCCCCTCTGGAGCTGCAGTTGTCCGCAAGTGCACCGATAGCATCTGAAGCTCCGAAGCTTATGGTTTGTCCTCAAGTCTAACCGCTTGACACGTGGGTGTGTACGCATACCCCATCTTATGATTTGCCAAACTCGTCAACATGGGCTCACTGCGGTCGGGGACATTAGCGGATTACGTCAAGCTGCAATGAGGAGGAGCTGTCAATTGGTTGTGCATCATGATTCGCTACCATGATGCAACTTCAAATGTGACCCCTCGATAGCATGTCTTGCTAAAAACTTCCAAACACAACCCATAGATATAATAGCACGCAACCGTACAACATTATGTGTTGATGGGAGCATCCGTGTTGATGGGAGCATTACCAAGGCATCTTCACGCGGCTCTTCACGCGCTTGTCCGCGCGCCTGCGGCGCAAAGCTCAGTTGCTAGGGCACCGGTTCACTTCGACTATACGGCACCGTAAATGCATGCCAAGCATCTTCCTACTGAGCACCGGAAACTCCATTCTCTCTTGGATGACAATATCTAAAATGACGGCACCGGAAGGCAAGCACGGTGAATCTTACATTAGTAGCAAAGCAGTTCAAAATCTGAGACCTAGGCTACAATGCAGCCTAGCCTACGGCCTGCCGCTAGTATATCAACCCGGGTCGCAGTATCGCTGCGGGGAGGGCATGTAAGACCTTCCTCCAAAAACATGCAATCTTATCGCAATACAGTGCTCGATTGGCTGGTACTCGGGGGTATACGGCGGAAGAAACAGGAGTTCCAAACCATTCGCATTGGCGGCTTCGGCAATGGTATCGCTGGCCAAGGTTTAAGTTCTTCATGCATTCATTTGTCTAGTTTCTGAATGCATTGACCTGTAGCGGCTCTGTTTGGGGTTCTTTCTTGTTACCCTGACCCATGGGTCAGATTGCCTGCACTGGCGAGTACGACCATATTTTCCACGTATTGATATTTTTATCGTATACGTACCCTGTAAGTACATACATGCTTGTTCAGGAGGTCACAGTACATCAGTCAGCGGGAAGCAGGTGGCTGACAGGTACCGCAGTGAGGCAGCTGCCTTCCGACAGCAGCAGGAGGATAGAATGAAGGTCCAAAAAAGCTCCTATCCGCCGCTGAAGAGCTGCAGGCCGAATCGATCACTGCAGTCAGCTGCTGCCGTACACGAGCTGTAACGTGCAAGAGCAGTTACATATCTCTGGACGATTCTCTTCAAAGGGGTTCAGGTAGCTATTCTCAAGACTATCCTTTTTACGACGTCGTGCATTAGTACGGGTCGTTCACTGGATGGCTACATCTTCGCTGGTGTATCGCATCCGGTGTCTTTTGACACCACCTGGACTGGTTGTGAAGTTGTGATAAGGACTAGTTGTGATAAGGATTAACGTTACACGAGCAGTCAGCTGCGCAGATAGAGCAGAAGGAAAAATTTGATGCGCACCAGCTCTTCCGCCAGCAGTACGAGCTGGGGTCTTCGTGTGCATCGGATACACGTGCCATTTCACCCTCGGTGCTGGCCTTCTTCAATACGGATTTGCTTAATGCACGGACATTTTTGGAGCAGCGCTTGCGTGCAAAGCCTCAGCCAGCAAATCGGCCAGGAGCAGCCGTAAAGGTCGCAGATGCACCAGACCTAACCCAGGATAGAGTTGCATCCAGGTGTGCGCGTGTGCTGGATGAAGTTGTCGGCATGGTGAAGCCGATGGGTTTCATCAATCGGACACCTCCGCCCACCCCAAACCCCAGCAAGACACGTGGACTGGGCGACATGGTCGACGGCAGCACTGGTGCAGAAGCCGCTGAAGCGCTGGATGCAGCTGTGGACTGCCATGGTGATGTTGAGAACAACGGCACTGGACAAGTTGCGGCACATGATGGCTGTGCAGCTGCTGTGCTCCCAGAAAGTGCCTAGCTGCCATGTGGGTCGCCCACCGGGACGTTTGTTCCGTCTACGCAGCTGGGTGCTAGCGAACGTAAGAAGTAGCTGGTGGCATTTGCTTTCCGTTTTAAGTGGCCATCCTGATCGTCAGCTGCATTGGCTAGCCTGTGGGGCTGCCGGGAGTGAAATATTGCATTTATCTGGTTCGCATTTTAGCGTGTAGTGTCCAAGCGAGAGCCGATGGGCTTGGTTGGCGCCCTGGTCGGTTTGCGTTCCCGCCCAGTAGTGTTACATACGCGATGCCATGTGTTTTGGTGAGGTGACGCGCCTCACAAGTGTGCCCATCGCCGCGGTCGTACTCATGTTGGCGCGGGATAATCAAGGACGACGTGCTTCGTACTACGTGCTGGTAGCAAACGGGCATGCGTGATGTGCAGGAGATATTCGTTGTTTGGCGTCATATGTTCCTAGGGCTGAATTTAACATAACGTTTGGCGGGGCGTGCAGTTGGGTAGCCAGGTTCGGAATCGGTGAGGTGGTGCGATGCGCGAGGTGTGACATTAGTAGTAAACTAAAATTACCCTAGACACTTTCTGTATACTGGAACGGGGCTCTTTAATTTATCAAGTTACTTTATCATCAAAGTGTCCCTCATTAATTTGTAGTGCTGCTAGCCAACCAAAGATTCGGCCACTCATTCGTGACTGCTACTAGCACAACATCCTGGCCGGCAGACTCTTACCAGGGTTGCCCTCAGAAGATGTGTACCTTTACGGAGCACATGCTTGCTGGCAGCGTGCCGAATTGCGAGCAGGAGCTGCGCAGACGCCAGGGTATGGGGATCGTGGGGCACATTTGTGCCGGCACGTCAAAATGTCAAAAAATGATGAAAAAGTGAAAATCTTGCCAGGGGGTACGGTTACTGTTATATTCGAGCAAAACTATTTCGACATCACGTTTCCTGTGTGAACTATCTGGGTAAGAATGCCTAAAAGGGATGTAAATTGGTTTTTGAGGGTGAGGATCGTGAAATGTATTCTGTGTGAAGTATTTGGGTAAGATGCATAAATGGCGCGCAATCAGTTTTGGGTGAAGTATTATTTGAATTTGAATTATTACATTAGTACGATAGTTTTGTGTGAACTTTATCTTAAAATGTGGGGTGATGTATGCGTTCTTATACGTTTTCTGTGAGAATTCTTATGGCTACTTTGGCATGTTTTGTGCAGTGGTATGTGTGTGGTGGCTAAACCCGTTAGGTTGTAAGCTCCAATAGGCTTCTAAGAAACCTTCTTTGTTCCACATCACCGCTACACCCATTCAAACATGAGTCTTGACCTCCTAAACGCGACCCTGAGAAATTGAAAAATGTGCGTTCCCAAGCAGTGCCTTCGACACTCCAAACATTGCTCCAGGCTGCCAAGCACCGCACAGTCCTGCAAGGGAGACCACGGCCGTACAGCATCCAAGCACCTGGCCAGCAAAGAGACGTCCTACCGTCGATACATGCATCGTAGCTCTTTAGCCCCTAATAGCTTCATGCCGTCCCTCCCTCCCTGCCTCTCGCCTTGCATTAACATGTCACCACACCACCTACAATGCTCCCGATCACCCTCTGAAAGGCATCAATCGATACAGCTCATTCTCTGCACTGGCTGGCTCGCAACCGTCATCCTTACCGGCTCTCCGATTTCCAACAAGGGCCGCACCGCTTTCGTTGGTGGCCACCACTGTCGGTGGCTTTCGTTGGTGGCCACCACTGTCGGTGGCTTTCGTTGGTGGCCACCACATACATACACGCACAGACACAGGCAAGGCACACGGACGCACAACCCGATTTCCCCACTGAACCCATTCATTGCAGCTCCAGAGCTTCACAGCTTCACTGCGTATAAATAAGGGACACGCAACCCGGAGGCCATTTAATGGAAAAAAAACAGCAGCCCTAGAGCCAAACTGTCCTTGGGCGTCATCTTCGCAGAGAAACCAATCCACTCAATACACACCGCCCATATTGATCATGTCCAGCTCCCTCTCCGTCAGCGGCCGCCTCGGGGGACCTCCCCGTCCATCAGGTCGCGTAATGTACTGCAACTTGTTCTTCGTGACCGGCGGCGGGGCTGCCTTCGCCGCCGGAACAGGGTACTGCGGCGCTGCAGGCGGCGACGGTGGCGGATCGCTAGTCGCCGGCCCCGGTTTTACCGGGCCCCCGGCTTCCGCTGCTGCTACAGCCGCGGTGTACTCTGCCTCCGAAAGGTCGCTGAGACGCGTCCCCGATGCCGTAACTCTAGGCGGGAAGTGGATATGGGATTTTCGACCTGAAATAGTGGTGGCTGGAGTTGCTGCAGCTGCGGTGGTAGAAGCTGCGGCACCACTGCCTGTGGCCGCACCAGCAGGCGCTTCCACGCCCACCACGGCCACCACCTGGCCTGCCACGACCACGTCCGCGGGCTTGACGTGTAACCGCTGCAAGAAGCCCTTTGCTGGGGCCTTGATGTCGATTGTGACCTTGTCCGTCTCAATCTGCGCAATGACTTCATCCTCCTGGACTGGCTGTCCCACCTGCGAAGGCCAAGGGGATAAGCAATGACGAACTGACGAGGGACACGGTTACACAAGACTCATAGATCCCCTGCAGCTCAATTACTAGTAAGGACTCATAGTCCGAGACCTGGCGAAAAGCAGTAAGATTCAGGAGTTGCGAGCCATAGTGAAAGACCGGGACGACGCCCAAGGTTTTGCCAAAGCAACCTCTGCGCGAGCTGTGCTGAGAGAGACGTAACGCAGACCGACAGAACCATTTCGCGTGAATTGCACGGTATTGGACTCCGTACGCAGCTTCGCCCATATTCTCATAAGCTTGACCTTCCCTACCTGTCGAACGCAACCACCGTAACCCCAAACTCACCTGTTTGAGCACAGCAGCTATGGATCCCTCTTTAATTGACTCTCCCATAGATGGAACAATTACATCTGGCCACAGGCGGGATGTTGACGCGCTAATGAGCCGTGTAGCTTGCAGGGACAGGGCACAAGTCGACGGGCAAGGACTGGAGAGCCATAACAGCTGCAGGGCTTGGCCTAAGGCGTAGCGAGAAGCCATCGTTGGGAAGCCGCCACTTTGGGTTCTCGAGGGATTGTTCCGGAGGTGCTAGCTATAATACTATTATGACATTGCTAATGTGACCGACTTTGACTTTATTTATGCCTTCCTCTATGCATCACTCTCTATCGGACCAGTAAAAACTGGGTAATAGTCAGTATGTCAACTCGCAGTACGACAATTACGGCACTTCGATGGGTTTTGGATACCCAAGATACCTTTGTTCACGTTGAAAATTGCTACGGTTGGGTGTCCCTGAGACTTAGTAGCATGAACCTGTGTCGAGGTAACTCGGATACAATGAATTTCTTTTACAGTGAAGGAATGCTTTCGCGATCGCAGTACTGATACATTCTTACATTATATAAAATTATGGCTGAGGACCAACAGGCCTTGGTAAGCGTTACAGCCTTTTTGAGACTCGATGTGCGGACGAAATTAGAGGGCCGCGCCTGTTGACGGGTACTTGGACTTCGGCCCAATGCTTATGTTCCCTCGCAGTCCCTTAGCTGGGTCTTTGGCGCCTCAGCCACCATCAAGCACAGCGTAGTCAACCTTTCCGATGGGTACACGGACAAAATTTGCTACTTGGCAGCCAATACCGCTGTCATTTACGACAAGCGGCTGAGGCGACAAGTATTCTTACAGGTGGGGTACTCGGAGTTCCTGATCAGCGGCAACTCCTCAGCGGGCGTGAGGGTCGTCTCCGTGGGTCGCGGGAGTCAAGGGCCCTACTTCCGTTTGCCAACAGCATCCCGCAGCAGGCCTTCGTGTACATCCTTACGCACAATCACACGTAACCGCATGAAACACAACTTATGCACCACAATTATACCACCTCCACGAATACGTGGTATCGAATACGTGGTATCGAATATGTGGAATCGAATACGTGGTCCTCCAAACTCACAACCCCTCTCAACCCCCTCTCCCGTGCCGTACATTCAGGGTCACACCAGCCCCATCACATGCATCGCCACGACCGACGACCGCTCTCACGTTATCACAGCTGACCAGGGCCCAGAGTCCCTGCTGGTGGTATGGAACGTCCGTACAGGTCTGCCCACCTGCACCGTACAGCGGCCCCACCGCCACGGCGTGTACTGCATGGACGTGTCCTTGGACGGGCTGTGGCTGGCCACCTTCAGCGCACCGGACCCGGAGACCAGCGAGCAGGAGGTACGTGGGAAGTTACGGGTGGGTGGGTTGGGAGGAGGCGAGGGGTCGGAAGGATTGGGCGGTAAGAGTAGGGGAACGGGAAGCAGAGCGAGCAGGGGGAGAGGGCCACGGAAAGGCGGGAGGATCACCATGAAAAGGCGCGTGGGAAAGATGGTTGATGCTTTTATAGGGCATAGTTATATGGGCATAGTTATAGGGGCACACGAATCATTTCCCTAGCTTGCGGCCCTCCTCTGGTCATCTCCTCGGAATTGATGGCCTGGGTTATCCTTGCCTCGCTGAGTACCTGTCTGTTCGCCTGGCTAGGTGGAGTGATGTTGGCTTGGCTGACGATGTCGCTAACCGATAGGGGCCCGGTGGCGCCCATGCGCCCATGCAGATATCCCTCTGGTCGCTATCGGCGCTTTTGGACCCAGCTGCAGCAGCCATGCAGGCGCGCCAATACCAGCAGCAGCAGCAGCAGGCGGGGGGTACTGAGGGGAGCGCCGGGGGCGGTGTCGCCGCGGGCGGGCCCAACCCGCTGCGTCCCATTGTGACTACGGTGATGCCAGTGGGCGACATCCAGTTCTCTCTGAGATTCAGTCCCAACAATCCCCAAGTGGGTCTTAAAGAGGGGGAGTTGAGGGGGGTGGAGGGGGGGATGGGGGGTTGGCGTGTAAAGGCCCCCCTTTGCGTGTGGGGTGAGGTGGCCAGCCTTACGGCGGCGGGAGAAGGCCGCAAGGCTGCCAGGGTGCTGAGCTGGTGCGGCGGCTGTGGCTGCGGCTGTGTGGCGGCAGGGCCAGTCAGCAGCAGGAGCCGGGGGACAGGGTGGGGGGTAGGCTGGCTGAGAGCTACTGCACAATTAGATTCGCATATTTCTTAATAAGCTCATCATTACTGTGTAGCTATCGTGTTAGTTACAGCAGGCTGGCTGGCAGCTGCTGCCTGGTAAGCTGACGGAGGAGGGAGGACGGAGGAGGGAGGAGGGAGGTGACAGCTGATGAGATGTCCGATCACAGCAGCTGTGGCGGCTGTGTGGCAACCGAGGGCCAGAACTGAGAACCCATGTCGTACCTGCCGTGTCCGGAGCTTGATAATCCACTCACTGCTCGGTTGGCCCCATGCCCCCTTCCTAAAACACCCACCCCCACCCCGCAGGAGCTCATCTCCAACGGGAAGAAGCGCGTGTACTTTTGGAGCTGGTCCCCGGGGGGATCTCGCTTCCAGTACTACTCGCCGCCGTTGCGGTCGCGGGACTTCAAGCAGAAGAAGGTGGCGGATTTCGTGAGCAGTGTGTTCGTGCCTGGTACGACACAGGCACTGACCGGTACGGAAGACGGTGACCTGCTGGTGTGGGACGAGCAAGGAATTACCGCCCAGGTGTGTGTCTTAGTGCGTGTGTGTGTCTGTGTGTGTACGGATTAGGGGTCCAGGGAGGCGGGTGTGCCCCTGACGGAGTCGTAAACCCCTCAGGAGAAGGTTAGTTACAACTTACAACTTACAACCCACAAATTCCGTACAAGGGGGCGAGGTGGGGCGTCCGTAAGATGTGGAGGATCAGGGGGTCAACGCAGTCCAACACGAACGGATCATGGGCAATAAATTGGTGGTGGAGGGTGGTGGTGGTGGTGGTGGTGAAGGACCTAATGATGACGGTGGTGATAACTACGGGCGCTTTAGTCTTCCTTGCCCTTTTACTCAGGGGAGGGGAAAAAGACGTCACTACCCCGTCTTCCTCTCCCCCCCTCACTGACCCGCTATGACCCGCGGGTCGCTGATTCCCCTTCCCTCCCCGGCTGTGTGCACCCCTCACCACCCTCATCTGTTCCATGCAGGTGGGCACCAGCGCCACCGACAGACGAGCCATCAAGCTGATGCGCATCCACTCCTCCCCCATCACCCTGCTGTCCACGGTGGGGGACTTCATCGTCAGCGGAGGTGAGGACGGCTACGTGAGGTTCTTTGACCCGCTGCTGCGCATCGTGGCCTGGTTTGAGGACCTGGCGGCAGGTGAGTGTGTGTGTGTGTAGTGGTGGTGGTGGTGGTTTTTCAAGCGTGGGTGAGGCCTGGGGTTGCAGTAGGTGGGTTGCGGAAGGCGGGGCGGTGAGGGGGGCGGTGAGGGGGTTTCATTGACGCGGCAATCTAGCAGGTGATGGCGGGGGCGGCAGGTTGGGCCGTGGGGGGGAACACGATGAGTCGTACATGAGTTCCCGAGCCGCGCTCACACGTACATGCGCACATGCACACGTACGATACCTTATCTATTTCGGACACACAGCCTTCTCGCCCCATCCCTCGGGGCCCTTGCGCCCCCTGGTCCCCCAGAGCTCTAGGTGTGTATGGGCCCCCGCGTTGATACACCTTTTTGGAGGATTACGCACCGACTGCGGAATGTGGTGTAACAGTGTAACACACGCACATATACACATACAGAGACACACATAAACACCCAACCGCTCTAAATCCTCCTGCTCCCCCTCTTCCTCGTCCAATCCCGCGCGCTACAGGCCCGGTGACAGCAGTAGCCTTCTCTGCCGTACTCCCCGACCGCATCGCCCACGCCGACGCTGCCGACACCCTGAACCGCTTCATGGTCCCCGACTTTGTCGTCGCCACACGCCAATCCAAGATCATTTCCGTACAGTCCGCCACCTTTGAAGAGTACGACGCTGACCGCCGCCGCGGTACTTCCGTACTCGATTCCCTTCTCGCCGACGTCGTCGACATCGCCGCCCACCCCACGCGCGCGGAGTTCTCCGTCCTCGGCCGCGGAGGCGGTCTCCAGCGCTGGGACTCCATCGCGCACTGTCTCGTGACGGCTCGGAGCTTCGCCAATGGACCCAAGCAGGAGGGTCGGTGCTTGTGCTACAGCCGTGACGGGTCATTGCTGGCGGTGGGGTTTGGTACGGGACATCTGCACGTGCTGGACGGTGATACGTTGGCGGATACGTACGTGCTCCGAAACACAGCTGTGGGTTTGAGTCGGCTGGCTGTGTCCTCCACCGGAAACCACATCGCCGCCGCGGACGAGAACCACCAGGTGGTAGGGGGGTCTTTGGTGCTGTAAGGGTGTGCCGTCTTTCCTCGTTTGCGTGTGTGTGTGTTTGTGTGTGTATATGTGTGTATATGTGTGTATATGTGTGTCTGTGTGTGTGTGTGTGTGTGTGTGTGTGTCTGTGTATGTATATTGGGGGAGGGCGGGAAGATTACGTATCTTGTAGTACGGCCAGTAGTAGTACTACTCGCGCATTCTCGTTACCTCTTGACGTGCCGGGATGCCTCTGAAAACCCAAACCCTGAAATTCCATTTCCCCCTACCCTACCCTTCTTCCCGCGCCCACGCACCCCTACTTGCCAAACCCTCCATCGCCGGGGAACCCATGCAGGTCCTGTTGTACGCCTACCTGCCGTACAAGCACACCATGCGATGGGAGTTCCTGGGTCGCTGCCGCTCCCACCACGGCCGCATCGCCAGCTTGGTCTTTGGCGAGTCGCCATCTGGTCAGACGCGATTGTTGACGGTTGGGGCGGATAGCCGGGTGGTTGAGTACGACTTAGCGACGTCGTCGGTGGCGGCTGGGCTGCGGCCGCTGTCGTACTATGACTTCCCGCCCGGCGGCGGCGTTCCCACGTCGCTGACGTTTGCGCCGCCTTTGCAGTACTTCCGGGCGTTTGCGGCGGAGACCCACTTGTTAGTTTCAGGTGGGCAATGTATGCGTGGTTGGAGGGATGTGGTGGTGGGAAGGGGGGGGAGGGGGCTCGCGAGAGTGAGGAAAGGGGCAAACCGCAGTGTCCAGGGAGGGCGGGTTGTTGGAGGGCTTTTTGCCAGAGGCGGTGAGATGAGGGAGCAAACAGACCATCGATGGTGGGTGGGGTTGGCTGGAGTTGGCTGGGGTGGGGTGGGGGTGGTTAAGAACTGCAAACCCCTTCCAATCATCTCCTCTTCCCCCCCCCTCTTTCCCTTTCTTCGCCCCTTGTAAACTCCTTTCAGATGACGGCTACAAGATCCGGGTTTTCAACCCCGACCGACCTGCCGTAGAGGCTACCTTCCTGGGCCCTACGTTTGGCGGCCCCATCTCCCAATTAGTCATGTTTAAAAGTCCCGCAAGCGATTCGGCTTTCCTTGCGTACCGTACGGCAGAGAAGGTGGTGGGCCTTATCGCCTGGCCGCTGGACGGCGACCCAGCTCGTACGATGGGCCTTATCGCCCACCCGGGGGAGGTCCGAGCCATTACTATATCGTACGACGGCCGGAAGCTGCTAACAGTAGGTGAGATCATGGATTGCTACGATAGGTATGATCAATTTGGACAGAGATGATTTCTTAGCGATGATTCTTCAGAAGTGCAGGAAAAAAACACGTTTTTCATGTGTATGTGTGTGTTTGTGTGTGTGTGTGTGTGTGCGTGTGTGTGTGTGTTTGTGTGTGTGTGTGTGTAAGCTCCCCCGCACCTCCAAACCCCAACATCAGCCTCAACCCGATCCGCCCGCTCTCCCTCCCTCCCTCCCCGCCCTTGCCCTATTCCTACAGGCGCTGACGGCACCCTGGCCAGCTGGGACATCAACACCTCCCCCCTGGAGCGATCCGCCGCGGCCGTCGCCTCCGAGGGCGACGAGGCCCGGTGGTCTGAGGTGCTGGGGGACCCCGAGCTGCTCAGGGAGATGCGGGACTACTTCGTGTACGCGCAGATCAAAACACAAGGGGAAGAGTCCTTACAGCCCAGGGCCGTGCCGGGTAAGGGCGGCGGAGGGGGGTTGGTACGGAAACGCGGAGATGTGCCTGAGGCGGTGTGGGTGTGTGTGTAGGGGGGGGGGGAAGAAATGAAGCGGCGCGGATAAATCCAGGTTATAGATTCATGCTTAGGGTGGCTAGGGTTGGTTGGCCTCGAAGTATGGAGGTATGGAGGGAGGTTCAGGATGGGTGTGTGGGAACCTGGAGGGTGTGTGGGAACCTGGACATGGTGCAGTTGGGAGGGGGGGGGTGTTGTCGGAAGGTTTGGGCTATCGCTCCACTCCCCCTCCCGCCCAACCTTACACGTCCCAGGACCCACACCTCAATTCTTCCAACCCCACCGCCATCCCCCTGCAGGTCTGGTCCCTGTGGAAATTGTTCCCGACTTGTTGCGAGCTGCCGGGTTCTATCCCAGTGAGGCCGACATCGACCACCTGACCAACCACATCCAGTACATGGCGCACGGCCGAGATCTAGACGCCATGCCGGGAGTCAGCTTCGCCGACCTGCTGTATCTGTACGTCAACCACCGACCCTTGTTCAACGTCACTCACGCCGACATTGTGCAGGCGTTCCGGGACCTTCAGGGCGCAGGTACGCGTCTGTGCGTCCGTACCTTTGTGTGCAAATACGTGTGTGAATATGTTTGTAAATATGTGTGTAAATATGTGTGTAAATATGTGTGTAAATATGTGTGTAAATTATATTTGTAATTATGTTTGTAAGATATGTGTGTGAGTATGTCTGTGGGAGGGGATGTCCCCCGAGGGGTGTTTGGGGTGGATTGCTTGGGTTTGCTCGGGTTGGGTACGAGTGCGTGCAGGGTTGCGTGCAGAGGTGGTTATAGCGCCCGTGATGCCCAGGAGGAGCGCGTTCATATGCGGTGCAGACGCAGCCCCAGCCCTCCCTGCAGCTCCTGCCGGCAATCCTCCGCGTGCCGACCATGACATTCCCCAGTCCCACGTGCGCACGAAACCAATCGACGCCACCAAACTGGCATCACATCACATCTTATTGTCATGTGACATCACATCACACGTGTCACACCTCGTGGCGCAGGCTCTCCCGACAACCCCCGACTCACTCGAGAACAGCTGTTGACTCTCCTGCGCACCGCGGGAGAGCAGATGGGCGCTGATGAGCTGGCGGCGGCGCTGGCTGCCCTCACGGGCGCCCCAACCCCGGAGAAGGCCGTCCCGCCGGTCGTGACGGCGGCCCAGTTCAGTTCGGACTTGCTAGGGTTTGAGCTGGAGCAGGGTGGGGAGGGTGCGGCGGCGGTGGCAGCGGAAGCAGCGCAGTAGGGGGAGAGGGGAATAAGAGGGGGGGAGAGGAAGCAGGGGGTGGAAGTGGGGTCATTTGGTGGTGGGGTTTGTCAGGAGGAAAGGAGAGAGCTGTGCAGGGCTTATCGGCCCTTAGGCAGGGGTCGCTGGATAGCAGCTGTGGAGGGGAGCTGACGGGCAGGCGTGTGGAGAGGACCTCTGCAAGAAGGGAGGTGGGAGGAGAAGGAAGAGAACAAGGGAGGTCTCCATTGCGGAGAAGAAGGATCAGAGCACGGGGTTGAGCAGCGGTCGGTGTGGGGCTGGGGCGCCACCACCCCTCAGCCGCGTGAGCCTGTGGGAGGTGCTTCTGCAGGCCTAGGTGCAGCAGGTGCACGCACGCATGCATGGATGCATTGCGTTGTGCGTTAGTCAGTCTCTGGTGGACAACTCAACTTGGCTGTAGTGCCAGCCTTGTACATTCCGTACAGGCTCGGATGCCCGTGCCAAACCCCTTCTCACGTTTTGATGTCGCCATGCATGCTCATGACCATACACAGGACCAGAGCAGCATGTTTGTGAAGAAGTCGTCCTGTGCATGGAGGAAGGGCATGAGGGCAGAGTCAGCAAGCAAGCAGGCAAGGTCCTAGCCGCGCACGCACAACAATAAGCAACCTATAACAAAGCATCCTAATGATGCGCGCCCCATAACAGCCTTGAAGTCATTCCTATGGTATGCAACCTGGCTAAGATATACATCGGCACTTAACACCGGTCTGCCTGACGGCTGTTGGCTAAAAGCAGAAATGGGACTACCTACCAATTTGTCTGGTTCCTTGCGGGATTTAATAAACCCACTCGGCCTCAGTCTGAGCTGAGAATTGGTTCTGCCGCCTCTTCCCTTGGCCCCCCTCCGCTGCCGCCTCTTTCCCTGCCGCCTCCTCCCCTGCCTTAATCTCCGTTTTCGATGTCGTCGATGTGAACGCCCATACCGGGTCCCATATGGCAGCGTTGTTCAGTGACGTCCCGCGCCAGCAGGGTACGACGCCCCGCGCCGGTAGAAATTTCGTGGCTGCGACTGCCACTGGCCCACATGCACTGCCGCTTGTGGCGGCTTTGGCTGTTTCTGCGTGCGTGTGGGGGAGCTGGATAGCCTTCCACGGCTAACCTTCCTACATACTACCGTCCAAGGGCGGAGGGAAAGTGCAGGCCTTGCGGGGTGTCGTTGGTTGGGCAGTGCACTGAGACAGTGCTCGGGCAGACGGGTTTCCGTGTCCTCATCCACCTCACCTCCATGTAGTACTGGTGCTGCAGAGAATCTGCATACATGCACACATCGCTTTGCGACATTTCATTCACCTCTTCCTTTCCCTAGCAGAAAATTTTCCGATAACATTCATCGCGTCTTCTTCACGTGTGCCGCTGCTGACGCCCCGAGCTCCTGGACCCGTGGCATCATCACGCATGCATTACAAAACGTGCTTTTATCTTCAGTATACAGTCGTTGTACTGGCGCAGGTCGGTGCCCATCTGCCGTGGCGGGATATTTCTAAACACCATCAGCATCGTTGACTCTGCCGTGCTGCAACCTTCGCAAACCTGAGCATTTATGCCACGTCTACCGCCATACCCCACCTGACCCAACCACATCCGTCCGTAGATGGCAATCGGAAGACTCAGGCCCGGGGACTTTCCCCTTTTGCGGTGTTGGGGTGCCTCCCTGGGCTGCTGCTGCGGTGTTCCAGGAGCGTGTATACGTCCTCCGATCCACACCCTTCCTCCGTTCAGAGATGCCGCGACGGGGCAAATGAACAGTCCAGACAGATCCGATACCAGACCCATTTTAAGTCCGAGTTGGGAGCCCCGGGGGAAAAATGATCGAAACATGTGTCGAAACACTTCTTGACCCACATGTCCCTTCTATCGTGCCCTGCGACACATCGTTCCACGATCGCACCTCCTGCTACTGCCCTCCAGTACATGCCAGTACATGTAAATGCGTAAGTATGTATGTACACATGTGCGGCGAGCGCGTGTCGGCATGCACACAGTACTACCCACACGTCGTCCTAGTGCACGATGGCTCCTGGTGCTCTCTTTTTCCATAACCCATGTTAACTATCCAACCCCAAGTGCTACCCCTGCAAAACCCTGCGGGAACATTTTCAATGCCACATCAGGACCAACCCACCACTGCCCATCAGCTCAAATCCACCAAATGGGGCAGCAATCCACCAAATGAGCCCGAGCCCGACCCTCCGCGGCCACCATCACCACCACGAGAACCAACCTTCAACGTGCCCGCCTTCCCCGCCGCTCCCTCAAACCCTCCCACCGCCTCGTCAGCTAAATGCACAGTGTCCGCAGTCACCTCCACCTCCTCCTCCTCGAGCGTTTCACGCCCAGGACCCCCTGCAGCAGCGACCTCCCCCTGCCCTCCTCCTGTTGTTTCCCCTCGCCTTCCACCTCGACCCGCCCCTTCAGGTCTTCCACGTGCCCAGATCTCAGCCTCCTCAGAGGTCCCCTCCTCCTCGTCGTCATCCTCCTCTTTCTCCGTCCCCCGCCCCTGCAATTGCTCCTGCGGTTTTTGCTCCATCTCCGAATGCTGCTGTTGCTGCTGCTGCTGTGACGACTTTTGCTGTCTCAGCCAGCGCTCGATGATGTCCCTCAGTGCCAAGTTGGGGTAGAGGTCGCCCTCCGCCAGGGGGGCGCCATTCACCGGGTCGGTGTTGTGCCGCTGAGCCCACCTAAGGGGGTGCAGGACAGGAAATAGGAGGAGGAGGATAAACGGAGACAAAGCGAACCCTTGGCGTTATCATTCGAACGCGAGAGCACGCCAACGCCCGCTCGCGAGCGCATGCTGTCGGTGGAGGGGTAAAGAGGTGGCGGAAGAAGGTGGAACTGGGTGGTCCCAGGGGGACGGGAAACACACATGGACCCTCAAACCAGCTAGATCCGGGAATTACCAGGAACAGGCTCGGTTGCGACACCACCATTAACTCTTCTCAAGGGGACCTCGACTTCACCCCAAAACCCTATGCCTGCAAGTTCTCCTCCCCGGCTGTCTCTCCGTCCCCGGGGATTGCCCCAACGCCATCCCCCTACCTGCCCCCTACCTTCGGATGCAGTCGTACTCGAATGTCGTACCACTGGGCGACACAACGGGCAGCCGCATCACGCTGTGGGAGATGGGGCAGCACAACGGCTCAGGTGCTGCGTCCAGTACGCCACGCGGACAGGTGCCCAAGTCCAGCGGTGCAGGCAGGCGACGGTGCAGTACGGCTGGATTGGCGAGGCGCCGGCGAATGAGGTACTCGACGTGGAGTCTTAGAATGAATACCAACGCGGGCGGTTCGGGCAAGCCGTGTGGGCTCTGTAGACACACACACACGGGTTTGGGCGGGGATGCAGTTTATCGGCCGGGGGCCGGGGTGGGGGGGAAGACGAAGCGAGCCACGAGCGTGTGAAGATGATGCCAAGGAAAGAGTGATGCGCCAGAAGTAAGCAAGGCATAGCTAACCAGTCGGGGGAAAGGGGGAGAGTGTGGGGATTAGGAAGCGCGAACGTATGCATGTGTGTGCATGCGCGTGTGCACACGTACCAAAAACACACACGCACATGTGTGTTTTGTCAGGGAGGCTGTCTGGTGCTCTACTCGGTATCGGTGTGTGGCCTTTACCCCTCTGACCAGGGACAGCTCCCCTTAGCAGTCGGAAGCTTCCTGAGGTAGAAAACCTCACCTCCCGGACGTTGTCTGTTGCGAACCAGTGCTGACCATCATCACTCCATTGCCAAGCTCCCGGATCAGCCTCCGTGCCGGAACGTCGAAAGAGAAGGGGGTTGTAGCTGCCCGGCGCGTACGAGTACACGCCATCAGGGCTGGGGGTCAAGTCCTCGAACTCCTGTGGGAGAAACTCCAGATCTGTCGTACTCGTGCACGGAAGGTTACGGGATGAGGACACGGTAGTGAGTGGGCGTTAGCCTGAGGGCTTGGTGATAGGTAGGGGGTTTGATGGAGTTGGAGGGTAACAATGGAGTTCTGGAAGGGAAAAGCGTTCTGGATGTATGATGCAAACGATGACAAAGGACTGAGTTTGGAGGAAGTCTTTGGTTAAGGACTGGAAGAGCATGGATTTCCTTGTGAGCCCACGGAGGGCATGCAGGAGGACGGGAAATTGTAGTAGGCAGTTGGAAAAATCTAGAAGGCTGTAAATGGCTTGTTGCAGCTTCTAGCTGCTAGGGAAAATACTGCAAGAAAGGTGCTTTATTTGAATTCATGATGTACCCACGCCTTAGGCTTACGGGCTAAACTCGTCTGCCGCAAGATGCGACCCCGGGGTCGACGTCTGTGCAACGCTCTGCTAAGGGTTCAACAGGTTTCACACTGTTCTTACTCTTAGGCAGTTAACGATCCGTTCTCCTTGGGCCGCCAATATCATGTAAGTTGACTCACCAAGGTTAGGCCGGTTAAGCAAAGCCGCGATGACCTTTACGAACTTGGAGACTTCCGATGAACTTAGCTCGAACAGCTATGCGCAGCAAATAGTACAGCATTTTAGAAGCCTCACTACTACTTATCTGCAAGGCCGGCTTTGGCACATACCTGTACTATAAAGCTAACTGTGTTTCCAACCAAGTAAAAAAGGAGGGTTGCAAAGCCTGCGAAAGCTGCAAATCGCAAGACTGTGTAATGCGTTTTCTTGAGCGTGGGTAGTGCTCCCCAGAGCAAAGGCGAAAGTTTCATGGCTTGAAATCTATCATGGGCATCATCTATGTGTACTTTTGCAATGGCTGCTTTGGGTTCTTCTTTAGCTGCAACGCAAGATCCACATTCCAGAAGCCGAATCGTCGCGTAATCGAACCCTGTTTGATATAGCCGACCTGACGAAGACCTTTCTGTACACACACCATGTGGATAAGGAGGGGCGCATGTGCACAGTTAAAATTTTCCAAAGAGCAACCACGCAGCTGTTGAACCCCGCAATCCTCTCATATCGTAATTTGTAATATGTTTCTGTTCATATATACGCAACTTTCCTCGGTTGCATGCGGCCATTCATTCACAAAACGTTTGTCATTACCTTGCAACGGATCACAAAACGGCGAGAGATCACAATCTCTCCAGCTACCCTTGCAAGCTCCATCGCACACATCTACCGTACACAAAGGAATCAGTACAATAATTCATGACAAGCTCCCAGCCAAACCCGAAGAGCTGTTGGTAGAGAATGCCTTCTCGTTTTTAGCCACTCGTACTTCCCCGCCTAGGTCCCACACCGCGTAATCAACACAACCCTCAACCCCTCCCCCAATCGTGTAGCTCTTCTCCCGAGTACAACGTTCCCCCCCCTTTCCCGCACGACGCCCCATGGAGGAGGAGTTCATCCCCATTCCAACACGCCGAATGGGTTCCCGTCTCGCCGTAATCCCCTCACGTACTGCGTCATGTCATACATACATACATGCATACGTGTAAGCTGTTTTCCCATAACATGTAAATCATAAAGATAATAATAAAAGTCATCATAACAAAAAGCTTGCAGCACAAAAACGGCGGCCCCCAACCCCCTAAGCATTCCCCCCAATCCGCCTCCTCCTCCGCCGCCGCCTCCTCCTCCTTCTCCTCCTGTTCCCAACCGTTACGTGTGGCTCTGCACAAAGCTGCGCGCGCCAGGTTCAAGCACAATGACAGTCATTCCCAGCATCATCAGAAATACGTACGGCAGCCGACTGCCAACACTTTCCCGAAACACGACCGCCCCCAACACCACACTAAACAACACGTTGCAACGCTTAATCGCCACAACGTACGACACCAGGAGGTGCCGTACAGCCAATAGAAAAAAAAGCACCGACGCAAGCTCCAGGGCCGAAATAAAAAGCAGCAGCAGCGGGTGGTCTCGGAGCAGCAGCAACAAGCGCGGCGAGGTGGCCAGGATGTAGCCGAGTGAAGCCAGCCCGATGACTAGTCGTTGGGCTGCAAAGTAAACCCAAATGGAGGGTCCCGTCAGCACCCCCAGCTTGTCCAGGGAGGCAGTCACGGACCAGATGATGGCCACCCCTGAAGCAGCAGCAGCAGTAGCAGTAGCAGCAGTAGCAGCAGTACAAGGGGATGCGAGAGGGGAACGCCATATGGGTCTTATAACTACTTTTGGGGAAAGAGACAACTGTCGACGGTTTGGGTGGAGGGTGGAATTCATGGTGGCGATGCAGTCGGGTCCATGGGGAGGGATTGATGAAGGGGGGGAGGGGAAGACCAACCACAAGGGGGCCGGGGGAAAGGGGGGGGAGGCTGACGCAGCATGAGAAGAGGGATTACGATGACGGTGCTCCTAGGAGCGGGGGAGCGGGGGCAGCTTAGCACAACCGAACCGCACCGACCGCCATTATCACCACCACCGTCATCCCTCGATCCCCAGCCCCCCCTCTAACCGCTGGCTATAAAACCATTCTGCTCTTTTAGCCCCAGGGCTGTGGACCCAGGGCCCACCAACCAACCCAACCACCAACCCAACCGCTAATCCAGCTACACACCCAACCACCGATCCAGCCCCCGTACACCAGTTGGCGGTTTTGCTCTTTTCCCCTTTTTCCCTCACAGCTCCCCGCACGCCTGCCGTACACTCACCTATCATTAGTAACGTCCCTGGCTCCTGCTGCCAGGACGTCAGTATCTGCTGGTGGTGGTACGACGACCGCAGCATCAGCAGCTCGGAGGCGCTAGGCAGCCGCCTGTGGTGTACGGAAAGCCCCTTGCTGCCGCGCTTGCCGCCGCCGCCACCCGGGGCCCCTCCGGCTCCGGCTCCCCCCACGCCACCAGTCTCTAGATCAGAAGTTGTGGCGACGGACGCCGATCGCTGCATCAGAAACCCGGCGGCGGGGCCGGCGGCGCCGCCGCTAGCGGAAGAGGTGGTCCCCGAACCCATTGACGGCAACGCCGTCGCCGCTACTTGTACGACAACGCCAGAGATTTCCGCTGACGCAAGGGCGGATAGGGAGGAGGACGCGGTCAGACCTGAGGCTTTGCCGCCGGCTCCGGCGGCTCCACCACTCGCCGCCACGCCGCCGCTACCGCTGCCGGCGGCGGCGCTGCCGCCAGCTCTGAGGTTGAGGAGGTAGCCTCCCATGGCGACGACACAGACACCCACGAGGCCGGTGGGGCTGGGGAGCTCTCCTGGGGGTTTACCACCCGATTTGGGTAGCAAGTACGAGGACGGGTGAGGGAGAAGGGAAGCAGGAGGTAAGACGCTGTTAAGACGTGCGCTGTGGTACTACTTCGCACCGTGATCTAAGCACTGTGATCCTCCTGAGGCCCGAGGTATCCGTTTTCCTATTTGAATTCATGATGTCATATTGGCAGCAGTACTCTGAGCAGTACTCTGGGACCTAGCGCGGCCCTTTTGTGCGGGAATGAGACCATATTTTTTGGGGGTACACACACATACACACATACGCACACACATACACACATACGCACACACATACACACATACACTCGCCCAAGCAGCATTTTTCCCGGAGTGGGCCCAGAAGTGCTCACCCAGGAAGATGTATGCTGTGGCTATGAGGATCGCTGGGGTGAAGGCCAGGTAGGGGATAGTGAGGCTAAGCGGGGAGAGTTGTATGGCACGCTGGTACATGTAGCGGGAGACCAGCAACAGAAGTGAGGAGGTGATGGTAGCTGTCGCGAACAGCGTGGGATGCTTGATGGTACCTCGCCATCGACCCGTCAGGGCAACGCCCGCGCAGGAAATGACCATGTCCAGCAGCGCTGGCACGGTGACTAAGCCATCTGGCGCAATGCCAATGATACTTGCGGCATACTTGCGGGTCGAGTCGATCGCCGTGTGCGTGAGGGCTGCGCACGCTGCAAGCGCCACGCCTGTTAAGATCATGTGTCATGTACGCTTGATAGTAGGTTTATGATGCAAGGGTAGCGGTGTTAGGCGTGCTACGGAGAAGTAACAAACTGACGATTCGATTCCACTACGCTGCAAACCTAGACTTACAACCCATATTATGCAGCAAAGTCAAGCTACAAGTCCTTGTAATAATTTTAACTTTTTTGTTGTTTTAATCTTTCTGTGCCATGCACCGAATTGTGACAAGCTTTAGGAGATTACAGGGGCTGAGGCAAAATTTTACGTGATGCTAGGATAGCCATTACAATAAAATAACTTAACATGCAGCTCCACCTCCTGTCCGACCTGGGGCCAACTTGTGACAGCTGTTGCGGTAGCCACCTGAACCACCTGTACGGTGTACGGTTAAGTAGTTTTGTCGCCACGGGCGACGAAGGTTGAGACTACTCAGAGCAACTATCATCTTTGTTCTATATTTCATTCTGACACATTACAACCATGAGGGCGCATTGCCGTTGCGCTGAGACTGCCAGCACTTCCCCGCGGTGCGCGGTACCAGCGCCGAATAGAATCCTGCGGCGCGTCACGGCGCAGCGAGGATGCACGAAACAGCTCATGTGCATTCATCCAAGGTTAAACAGTATTAATGCAGCCGCTGCTGTCCCAATTCAGCAACCAGGGACACAGCCGACTTCTTTTGGTCCACGGCCTGATTTGACGTCGGGCTTCCAATCAGATATCCTGGGCCTTGGTCAGGCAATTGTGGACTTAAGCTCTAGCGTGTCCGACGACGTCTTGTTCCAGTTTAACGTGCCGAAAGGAGGCCGGAGGTGGGTGGATAGATTGCGGAAACTCATCGTTTGCTAAAAGATGGAACTTGAAAGAAAACACGTTGTAAAGAAATTTAAAATTTCGGACTCCTCATGGTGGCTTTGTGGTGGCGGTGGACCACGGCTTGCTTGTGGTTAATTCTGCAAGGTGGCTACCGTGCTCACCTTTCCCATCCGCGCCCTGCAAACGTGTAATGTACTATACGCAGGGTAATTACAGTAGATGAGCGTGCCTCGATTATGGAGACCCTCGACGACGTCGGCGCACCCAGCCAGGTGAGCGCATGCTCGCTGTCGCCACCAATCACAGTCAGTCATCCATACATTTTCTGTTCTCATAGTTATTGTCATATTCCAAAACCCTCATTGTATAAGTTCAAGCTGCACTTGGCGACGGCAGCAGTCCGCTGCTGCAGCATCTGGTCCTTTGCATGGCAACCACATCCCCCGATCGTTAATTACCAGAACCGCCCTTAATTTGCACATGTATGCCCTGCTTGAGCGTCCCATCCCAAACTACCGCGTTATTTGGATCTCCCAATACCTTCAGGTTAGCGCCGGTGGTTCCCTGGCCAACACGCTAGTCGGCATTGCGAAGCTCTCCCGCGCGGCCGCTAAGGATGTCCGCGTGCTGCTGGGCGGCAGCCTTGGCACCGACACTCTCGGGCAGTTTTTTAACAGCCAAATGAAAAGAGCTGGAGTACGCTGCCTTCTGGAGACCCAGCAGCACCATTACCACCACCATCATCACCCACATTCCCCGTATCGAGAAGACCCAGAAGAATTGCGGCATCAGCATCAGCAGGACTCAGAAGCGGCGGCAGCGCCAGCCATAGCCAGCAGCAACGGCCATACCGGAACCGTCATGGTTTTGACAACGCCTGACGCCCAGCGCTCTTTCCTATCCTTTTTCACTTCGGAGTCGTTGGTGCTTTCGGAACGAATACGAACTGCCGTACGTGCCAGTCGTATGGTGGTTGTGGAGGGCTATTTATGGGAGATGCCTGGCGCGGAGGAGTATATCCGGCAAGTGCAGGACTTGGCACATGCAGCAGGAGCGCAGGTGGCCATGACAGCGGGTGACCCAGGGGTCGTTTCACGCCACAGAGAGGCTATGTTGCGGGTCCTCTCACACGGCGTTGACTTGCTCTTCACCAACGAAGACGAGGCGTCGGCGCTGGTGGGTCTACAAGCGGAGCAGGGCAGCGGCAGTAGCAGCAGCGAAGAGGCCGTCGTGAGTAATGGCGCTCGCGTCGCGGCGGCGCTTGCGGAGCTATGTCCCATGGTCGTAGTTACGGCAGGATCCAAAGGGTCGTACATTGGCGCCATGGGCGAGATTCATGCCGTACCGCCGTACTGGTTGCCACAGGGTCCTGTGGACACGTGCGGCGCCGGTGACGCTTACGCGGCGGGATGGCTCTATGCTTTATTGACGGGGTACGACATTCGTACCGCGGGGGAGTTTGCGTCGCGTGTGGCGAGTGCGGTGATTGGCCAGTACGGCCCGCATTTGTCAGATGACGACGCGGAGTTGCTTGTACGGGAGCTTCCGGAGCACCACTTGGGGGCTCCCTTGCGGGCGAAGCTGGGGGGAAGCATGGACTTGGGAGCTGGCGGGTTTGCCGATTTCTAAACGATTCCCTCCGTCTCTTTCTTGGGGAGGACAACTAATCTATTGATGAATAATCCATCTTGATTTGCGGAAAGGATCCCGGGCGGTAATGGACCGGCTTTATGCTGCGGCATGAAACGTTACATCTGCGGAGAGTTGACACGTGTGTACGGAGGGGGAGGGGGGGGTTGACGGCGCCGACTGCGGTCGATGTTTTGCCCTGTTGCAGCTTTTACCTCCCTAGCGATGTGTGAGGATTTTTCGTCACTGCACTCCCGAGGCCTGCTGCTGCTGCTGCTGCATTTTTCTATCTGCTTTTTTACACACACATGCACACGCAGGGAGTACACGCTCGCATGCTGGGTTAGGTTCCTGTTCTGAGAGGAAGCTACAGCGGCCAGGCATTGGATGCGCGGGCGTGGGCTTCTTCTTGTCCGTGGGTTTATAGGGCTTAGGGTATCGTGAGCCCTGAGGTAAACCCCAAGATGGATGCGGCCTCCGCAGGATCGTCTGAGGCTCATTGGGTTGTGTCTGACAGGCGTATGACTGAGTCGTGCCAGTCACAGGAGGAGGAAAATTGTGATCTGGGTGTGACGTGGCTTTGGGGTGAGCTGAGGCAGCGCTGATTTGGGTTTGGGATCTAGGTTGTTGATTTTGGTCAGCAGCACTTGCGTTGCACACGCAGTTTATGCTGCATTCGGCGCAGCAGGCGGCAGCGCAATACCGCTGCGGGGTTATGTCTGACGTCTTACGTGTGTGTGGAGAGGCGCTGGAAGCCAGGTTGGTGAAAGCCAGATGGCAGATGGCGTGTTGTGGTTGGCTACAGGTTTGTTGTATACTGCTCTCATAGCCTTTACGCGCCATCGTGTTCTGAGCTGAATTAAAAAATTGACTGGACTGAACTTGAGTGGATTGAAAGACGACTTCTCCAACTTGACATGGCTTTGATTCTGCCGCTGAGTGCGGTGGCGGCTTTCAGGCATCCTAGGCTGCACGTTTACTGCATGGTGATTGCATCTGAAGGCCGGAAGCGATTCACAGCCGCGTACCATGCACATGTATATTATCAAAGCCATTCTTCCTTGGACCGGACAGCCATTATCACAAACGCTTGGATTTTTGAGCGGGGCATATCCCCCCAGGAATGCGAGTCGTGCTTCCTGGGAGGGCGAGAGAGTGCGCGCCTTGTACTTTTTTCATTTTGCAGCTGCTATGATATATGTCACTGTAGAGCCATTGGTCTACTGTCTAAAAGTCATGAGAGGGACAGTAAATGGTTGTGTTGGCGGCCTTCGACTGCTAGCGATAGTTTTGCATTGTCACGTTTCCGCGAGGTTATCAGCTAAGAGGCAATAGTATTAAAATGTGATGTTTTCGCGGGAGGCCCGGGAGCTCCTTTAGATAATGCTATTAGCGATTGAATCTTACATTGCTGCATGTTGCAAGCGGTGACGCATGTTTGGTTGGAGCGTTGAGAAAACGCTCGAGATGTTTCCTTGTTCTCTTTCTGTATGTTTTGTTAAGATGGGCCGCTCAGGCGGCGAGTCGCACCCTGGGCTGGATTGAGCGTGTGAGTCGACGGTTGACGGGCCTCCATACGCTTTGTACCACTATCTTTCTGACGTTTCGCTCTGCGAGGCCTTACGTACTGACACGTGTGCTAATATTATAAAATGCAACCATAGAACATTAATCCTACCTAGAACTCAGATATTACTTGTGGCTGTTGCATTGATGTAACGGCTTATGGGGATTGAAATAAACCTGAATAATATTCCCTGCTCTAACGATAGTCGTCGTGGCATCCATTTTACTTATCGGAACCATCTGGGCGCCGATCAGCAGCAGCAGCAGCAGCGCAGCGGGGTAATTCGGCCTGGCATCCGGCAGGTGGTGTCGTCCGCGAGCAGCAGCCGGCAGCGGCCGTCACAGCCGCGAAATTGCCAAGGCATGGCCACTAGCGACCTCGGCAATTGTTCTCCTGCCGGCCCGCAATCCATCTCTGGAGCCTCGCCTGAACAAATATACCAGCTTTACACCCAGGACAGGCTTGTTGTTCATTCTATTCCGCTGTTTAAGCTATGCGAGAGACCTTGCTGCTTCAAGGACAGGTGCGGGGCTGCTCAGTAAGGGGAGCCTGACCCTGCCAGTGACGGCGACATATAAGATACAAGCAGAAACCAGAAGCAGGAACCGTGAAGCTGATTTGCGCAAGACCGAATAATTTGACTTGATGGAACAACTGGATGGCAAACCAATAGTCATGCCGCGAAGTAAATTTAGGCTTTTATGCGTCACAGCTGTTGGATTTAAAATTAACCAACAAAGAAACGTCCGTCATGTCACTATACTAGCTGCTGTATACTGGCACGATGCGCATATGCTCAACTAATGTGTCCTTGCAGTCACACGCTGATGAGCGGGAGCATTCTTTTCTACAAGGGCCTGCTACACCGACCCACGGGTCGCCGCATCCCCAGCGGCGTAGCGCGCTTTGGTGAGGACGCGACAGACAAGGAATATAATCCTAAATAAATTACTTACAGCAAGGACGTCATGTGGAGGCTTCTTCAAAATTAATCTAAGGCCGTACATGTTAACATATTACTGCCGCACAGGAACAAACCCGCATTTAAAGCTCGCTTCCCAATTATTATTATTATGGTACAACCTTGTTGTTTGGTAGGCCTGATTACAAGCTGAGAACTTTGTTGGCACTCAAGGGCCAGTCCTTGCACGGGGTTGGCGTATATTCCTGCACCTGCTCCCCGGCCAACACAGGCCCCTCGCACTGGCCTCACAATGCTGCTGCATAATTGGGTCTTCAGCACCGCGCAAAAGTAAAAGATGCAGCAAAAGAGGACAATATATAAAATCTGCGCATCGCGCGGAGGAACCACCCAGTCGCCCACCGACCATGCATGTGTCGGCCACCCCCCCCTTACAACAAGCCACACACGCCACCACGATACCGCCCTCCGGGAATTTTCAATCACCAAAGACCAATCACCAGCCCCTTCCCTTCCCTACCCTTCCCTTCCCTTCCCTCCCATCCCGACCGTCATCACCTCCTGGCCTGCCTCATCTCTCTCCTGGCTTCCCCGCCAACCCTTCCCCCCTCACACATATCCCCACTCACACACATCCCCCCCTCATACACATCCCCCCCTCATACACATCCCCCCACGCACACGCATTACACGAATCCCAGGCGACTCGGGCCGTGTCCACGCCACCGTCTTCGCATCACTGCACGACCTGGAGCTGGTCTGGCAGTCCCACGCCCGGCTGGAGGCCTCCAAGCCCCCGGAGCGGCGCTGCCCCAGTGGCCCCTTCGTCTACTTCGCCCACCACGATATGGCGGATGTCGCGGAAGAGGCCGGCGGCCAACCGCCCGTGAGCTACTGCGACTGCTGGCCCGCGGGCCCGGGCCCCTCAGAGCTCATCCGCAGCGGGGACTTCGACTTCCGCAGCCACTGCGAGAGCCAGCCGCCGCCTCACTTACCCACGGACGCGGAGGCCCGCGGTATCCAGGTAGACGGGTATGTATGTCGTTTTAGGTGGAGGAGGAGGTTCCGATGTTCGGGTTATAACGTTGCTAGCTAAGTAACATTGTAACATGGGCTCCGTTCCAGACCGCAATGCGTGAGAGATACTTCGCATCGAGAGGGATTGGTAGAGAGGTGTGTGGGCGGGGGGGATTGGTTGAGGCGAATGAAAGCAGGGAGGCGTGTGAAGGCGGGCAACTGGCTGCTCATCGACGTCCCTTCCCGCGAGAGCCATCAGGAGCTCTCAGGAGCGCCAGCTTGGCGCCATTTGAATCGCCTTTCCGCCGCAGCTGCCACATGACATTACAACAGCTAATACACTGGATGCTGTAATTTGTTCGTTGCTTCTGTGTCTGCTTATATACCTTAAAAAATGTTTGCGATGATTTTATGTATTGTAATGCTGCTGCTAATCGTTTATTTCTGCGATGGTGACCGAGGTTTGCCCCGGCGTTCTGCCACGTATCGTTTACCCCTCACTCACGATGGTGTGTCTGCTTCATTCGCCAGTGGTTCGTCGTACGTACGACCCTATCGACCTGACGTGACACCTCCAGTCCCGCGTTCTGCCGTACTTCCCCCCACCCCGCCTCCCGCGGACATTCCGGACCACCGCGCCCCCAAGTGGAACGAGCTGCGTGCGGCGCTGTCGTACGAGAACATGGTGGGGTTGGCGTACATCCACGACCCGTCCCGTGACCCTCGCCACCACCTGGGGGAGGCGGAGGAGCTGCGGACAGCCGTCACGCAGGCGGCGGCGGAGGCCCTGGCGGCAAATAGCTGCCGTACTTGCGGCGGCAACAGTACGGCGCCGACCGAGTACGGTATTCGTTGCGAGGGTGCTGCCGCTGTGGACAATCCCGGGCAGGAGCCGCAGCGACAGCCGGTGTGTGCCGGTTGCGGCGGCGGCATCGGCATCGGCGGCGGCGGCAGCGCAACTGTACTATCAAGACGTCTTGAGATCTTCGTATTTGTGTTGGAGCAGGAGCGCGGCGTTAACGGGCATTTGCTAGTAGAGGAGGAAGAGGATGGGGAGGAGGGAGAGGGGCGGAGGGAGGAGACAGAGGGGGACGGTGCTAATGGTGATGTCGGAGGGGTGAGAGTGCGCCCTACGGGTGGGGTGAAGCGGCGCGGCAGGGCGGTGACGTTGGAGGAGTACGTGGTCGCCTCAGAGATTTGGAGCCGGCAACCTAGGAGCTGCGGCACCAGCACCGGCAGCATGGAGCGAACGACGACTCGAACGGGGTAGAGTAGTGGAGAAGTAGTGGAGGCGGCCCGTCCGTGGCTGTATGTATGTCGTTACAGGGTGGTTAAGCTTCACCAGCGGGCCCCTTTCCCGAGGCAGTCCCTGCTCTCCCCTGCGAGAGGGGCACCCTAATCCGTTCACCCCATCCGACTTCAGAATGTATTCGTTGGGTTCAGCAACTCACCACCAGCATCCAACCAATTCTGTATGTGTGGGCTGCCTGTATGTGGTAGTGCGAGTTAACTGAAGCAAAGGTGGAATTGCGCGCTCTCTGCATGAGATCTCTGCATGAGCTTTTAAGGAGACATAATTAGACAGGTCATGCAGATTGTACGACTTGTCCCAAAACCCTGTTCATAAAAGGGCTGCCTGGATCGAAACGGAACCAAAACTGTTCCATAACAAGTTGTATTGTCGCTTTGAGAGTTGTTTGTAAAATCCTGTGATGCCAGCCAACCGACCCGCGCCTCGTGCGGGTTGGTTTGGTTGGTTTCCTCCATATGGATATGAGCTACTGCGTTGGGCTTGAGGCGTGTCCGACCGGAGAAGGCGTGGCAGCATATGCTGGTACGTCAGCTAAAAAAATGCTTCGATCGTCTTTTAAAGCAGCATTCAATTTTTCATGCGCGAGTGCTTTGCCTGCTGTGATCTCCCTTCTGGTTTGGTTGCATTTGCAATGGCGAGCATTCGGCTTAGTGGTCATGGTGCAAGTTTTAAATTGTGAGCGCCCAGCGGCACGAAGCCTCATCCCGCCAGCAATCAGTCCATCCGACGGAACTCTTTCCAGTGTTCCAGGTTCATCTTCCAAACCTCGTTCGTTAAAACCTCGTTCTTGTTTCCCTTCCCGTTCGTTCAACCAAACCACTCCCGTACGTTTCGGAGCCAAGGGCATATTGCTTGCACGAGCTCTTGGCCCTTGGTTCCTGCGCTTCGACACATCAAGGCATCAAGGCTCTCGCCGACAAAGACCTGCTGGCGCGCAGTAAACAGTTTGGGCAGTCAGCAAATCTCACTGCAGCCCACAACAAGCACACTGCAGCACCAAAACCCCACCACCACATACATCATACAGGCAGGCGGCTGGCAGAGGTTAAGGCCTGACTTCTGCTCCCGGTCGACCCGGGTTCAAATCCGCCTGCCGACCTCTCGGGTGTTTGAGAGGTGGTGAAATGGGAGGTGGCCCCCCATCTTGTGGACGGTGTAGGACGTGATAAAATCAACTTGCGAGCTGACCAGGAACTAAGTTGAGGCGCCGTTGATCCGCTAGATTTGGTTGGATGCTGGTGGTGAGTTGCCAAACTCAAAGAGTACACTCTGAAGTCGGATGGGGTGAATGGCTTAGGGTGCCCCACTAGCAGGGGAGAGCAGGGAATTGCCTCGGGAAGGAGGCCACTGGTGAAGCTTAACCACCCTGTAACAACATCAACATACATCACATCATCGACATCGACATCGGCCGGTGTTAAGGGCGAAGAGTTCCAGCACATTCACACGCCGCCGCGTTCCTGCTACAAGCCCCACTTCCCATCACTCCCTCGTCGCGCAGCGCACCTCATCATGGAATACCGCACATGGAATTACACAATATTCGCACCCACACGTAGCTGCGAATCAAAGGACATCCAAACCACGCGCATCTGAATGCAGCGCGCACAATAAAAGCCAATAAGGCGCAGCAAGGCGACAAAAAGGAATCCACCGTTCCGCAGCAGGGATCCATCGCTTTCGTTTTTCCCCCAGCCCCCAACCCTAACAAACCCTCCCGATCAGGTGTCCGCCACGCGCGCACCGCTGTGGCGATACGAGTGTGGTTATAGCCCCCGCTGTAGCGCCCCTCCGCTAGTTAACCAACCGCCGCGCGCTCCGAAACAACAACCAACCACCCTAACCAACTCACGCGTGGTGAGCCGACGACATGGGTAACGTTTCGCGAGATAGTACCCACCGTTGCTCCGAAAAAGGTGCCTGGGTCGCTTATGTGGGAATATATGTGTCTGTGTGTGGATCATCGCGTGATCTTATCTTATGCAATGAACTGCGAGGATATTTGCAAAACGCCGAAGAAACGTAGGTAGAGCACTGCAAGAAGCCTTGAGGAAAGGTCGGTGTGGCGGCGGTATCACCACCTCGGAAGCGGCTTGCTGTCCGGCGCTCCTCGCCCGGCGCCACCAGCTGTGGCGTCGGTCGCGGACAGCCCCAAAACGAACCGAAGAGGTCAGGACCGGGTCCGGGGGGTGCGGGGGATGAGTGGGAGGCGGGAAGCGGAGGCAGCATAAGGATAGATAGATAGATAGATAGATAGATAGATAGATATACAGATAGATAGGTAGATAGAGGGTAATGGATTGTACGATGGTACCAGGTGCGGATCCAAAGGAGCTATGAGCGGGTGAGCGGGCCCCGGCAGACGTACGGCAGATGTACGACAACGTCTGTCCTATCTTTACCGTTCCCGCTCCTTACCTTATCACCCCTTCACCCCCTTCTCACGATCGCCCATGTTGTGTGGTGTGTAAATCTTCCGAGCCATATGCAAAATACCCCAAGCCCTAAAACCCTAAAAAAGCTGAACCCGCTGTGCAACTTTTAGCCCGTCCCGGAGCACACACACTCACTTCCTGCTTTGAGGAATTTGGGCTTGGAAATGATGGAAGCGCATCGCGGGATGTGCCGCTCAGCTGCCTGGTGGTTGAACCGGCGGCCGCAGTTGGGGCACTGCACCAGGCTCGGGTCAGGTGCGGAGGGCACGTAGGGGATGTTGCGGATGTCCTCCCCGCGGGCGAGGGCAGCGCCCACCTTGCGCATATCCCGCATAGCTTGTCGCAGCTGGTCGCTCTGCAGAGTAGTTTGGATTTTGGCGGGGGGCCCGGGCGGGGGGAAAGGGTTTTACTTTGGGGTAAAGAGGAATTTTTGGAAGAGGCGAGGAAAGGACTTAGGGTTTTGGGGAGGTTCCGAAGAGTTAGGGAAGAGGAGAGTAGGGACGGGAAAACATGAGGAAAACGGGGCGCCGGGTACAACCTGCTGTACGACATTGTACTGCACTAGATTCCGAGTCCGCTTGGGCCTCCTAGCGTCGAGATCTGCAAATCGTGAGATCGACCCCGCAAACTGCCCGTCCGGGTTACCTGCGCCTTCCACTTCGGCTGGCCACCACCAAAACCCCGACCGCCGCCACCGCCGCCGCCGCCGCCGCCGCGGCCCATGGCGCTCATCGGTCGCGACCGACCGCCGCCTGACGGTGCCGGGCCCGCCGGCGGCACAGGCCGCTGTGCCGTACGAGGATTGTAGTACGCCGCGGCTTCGGTGCCGGCGACTCGTTTTGCTGCGCTGTTGAAGACTTTGCGCTTCCCAGCAAATACCTGATGCATCGGTGACGCATCGGTTGGTTGAATAGAAGGGGGGATCATGCAAGTTCTCAAATCCTACAATCATCAAATCTTTGCTTTGAACTAGACGTTTACGTACGGCGCTGCAAGCCGGGTAACTAGCACAAGTCCTGCCTGCAGAGGCACACAGCCTACTTCATAACAGATATGCTCGTTGAGCCTCCGTGATTGACTTAGGATTTGTTCACCGATCGCCCTCAACAACGGAATATCATCAACAGAAAATATAAAGCAACAAATGCCCGCCGGAGGACGATGCCCCGGGAAGTGGAAGCCGACCGAGAGGAAGTTTCCTCGGGGGGACACCGGGGGTTGGGAATTGGGTTCCTTGTCGTACCTTGGAACACACACGGGCGTGTTTGTCGTACGCCTGCGGCAGGAATCGCCGTCCGCAGGTTCCACACTGCACCCTGGCCTGAGTGGGGAGTAAGGAGGGGGAAGGAGGGGGAACAGCTGGGGAGGCGACGATGGGGTACAGGGAAGGTATGACTCTTGTGTGTTTGACTGCCAGCCTCAGCCTCGACAGAGTCGAACAAAATAATATTTCATGCATAGTGATGTAGTTATATATGTACCTACTACTGCATATACCACTAATATATAATATATATATATAATATAATATATATATGTATATATATAATATATAATATATATAATATATATATATATATATAATATATGTACATATATATTGTATTATATATGTACACGTTTATAATTTATATATTACATATGTATATAGTATTATATTAAGTACATCAAACCTCCAATAGTACACCACACGAAGAAGATAAAACTACCAAACAAATTATTTGAATAATATCAAAAAAAATATCATACGGTGGTGTTGTGTTACACGAAGCCCGCAAATGAGCTCGTAAAGCCCAGACGAGCCAGAAGGCTTCTGATTCATGGACCGCGAGTCAAAAAGAGGTCAAAGCGAAAGTCAAAAGAGGATAAAAACCGTTTGGAGGATTCGAACGGACCACCTGTCTTCTGTGCACCGTACGGCATCGCGATGCGGTACTCACGGGACTTCTCTCAGTCCCCATGGCCAGGTTTCCCCCCCCCCGGCCCCCCCCCCGCGTACCTCCCCTCCATCATCATCGTCGCCGTATCCCACCGCGTCAGGCGGTAGGTCGTACGACGCCTTGGGCGGCTCCGGCCCGTCGGCGGCGTAGGCGTCGTACTCGTTGGCCGCGCCGCCGCCACCTCCCTGCAGTCACCAAACATAATCATGATCAGGAGCGTGGAACACCCAGCAGAGGAGCTCACAGACAGAGCAGCCGATGAACCGGGCCGGGGGTCTTTATTCCGATGACGAGTGTGGTTCTTTTAAGGAACCACGGCACGTGCCATATTGACTCGCAGTCGTACACTGTCGTACCCGTCGTACCTGGTTCCTGTGCATCCCGCCGCCACCACCACCGCCGCCGGCGGCGGCCGCCCTTCCTGCTGCCGTCCCCGACTGCACTCCTCCCCCCCCCGGGGCCCCCCCTGCCTGCCGCAGTGGCTTCATGGGTTTGTCTGCCGTACACATCCTCTGGTGCTTTGCCAGGGCATCCGGTCTGTGCGGGGTAAAGCGGGGCAAGCGAACGCGGGGGGGTGTGTGAGGGGGTTCCACCAGGGGGAGCACCAACTGAGGTACAGAACACCGCCCACAAAGACAGCACACGACGTGAAGGTAGGTAGGTAGGTAGGTACGACAGTACGACGGTAGAAGGATGTTGCAGACAGTTGCAGACAGGAAACGACAGGCGACGTATGAAAGCAACAAGCCGCACTGCAAGTCACCCTTGCAGCAGCCAAGGTTTCATCCACCTCACTACCACCCGCCACCAGCACCCACCTCATCTTCCGGCCGCAGTTCGCGCACATCTCCAACTCCCCCGGGGAGTCCATCTCCTCCGGGTACTCGGACGGACCGCCGCCACGAACACCGCCGCCGGCAGCAGACCGACCGCCGCCGCCCCCACCCATGCCGCCGCCCCCGCCAGCGCCGCCCCCACCGCCACCACCGGGCCTGGCCATGGGCTTCTCGGCCGTGCAGGCGTTCATGTGGTGCCGTAGCGCCTCCGGTCTGCAGCAGCAGCAGCAGCAGCAGCATTGTAGCAGGAACGACAACAAGAAGAACCAGAAGAAGAAATGGACGCGTTTGTGTGTGTGTGCGTGTGTGTATGTATCTATGGATGTGTACGTGTGCTCATTCCGCCGTAAGCCTCCCCTGATGCGCATCCCCTGTGCACTCCTCCCCCCAACCCCACTTTCCCCCCCCCCACCACCACCCACACCCCCTCAACACACCTCATTGTCCGGCCGCAGTGGGGGCACGGCATGAGGCTCGCTCCGTTAAAGTACGAGAACATTCGGGAGTTGAACTCGTCGATGGCCTGGGAGGTGGTGGGCAGCGGCTGGTCTAGCTCCGGGGGGGGCGGAGGCGGCTGACGGCGCTCCTTGGGTGGCTTGGTTGCCTCCACCTTCGAGGTGAGGGTGGGTTTGGGTGGGTGTGCCGGGGTGGACGAAGGGGAAGAGAAGGATGCAAGAACGGCGGTGGAGTGAAGATGGAGTTGGAAGTTGTGAGCTAGTGGGGAGAGACAGATAGGGAAAGATCGCCACCGGCGACTCCGAAATCAGTCCCCCCCCTCTCTCTCTCTCTCTCTCATTCCCACACTGAAGCACCACCGGAACAAGTCCAAGGGCACGCTTGCTGAGGCGCACCAACCCAGACGCAGGCAGACAGACAGACAGACGGACAGACAGACGGATAACAATCCGTACACTCAGTAGGCAGACAGACAGGCGACAGGCAGACAGACAGGGACGGACAGATGGACAGACAGACAGACAGACAGGGCTTCCATAGGGCATCCAGGGCTACCTCCACACACCGGCCAGTGAGCCCACCTTGAGCCACTTTTCGTAACACCGCGGAATGTGGATGGTAAGGCTCTGACTGCCAAACTGCTGCCCGCACAGGTAACACACATAGGCGCGGGGCCGTTCGCCCTCCCGGCGAGGCGGTGTGCCGCCACCGCGCATTGGACTCGGCTGCCGGCCACCCATTCCTGCTCCGTAGCCGCCTCCGCCGCCACCACCACCACCAAAACCACCGCCGCCACCACCACCAGGCCTGCCCATCCGCGGCGCTGAAGTGGGTCGCGGTGGCGGCGGCGCCGCATGTTTGTTCGGTCCCAGGGGTCCCCCTGGATTGTCCGGAGTGCACACCTTGGCGTGGTGTTGGAAGGCATCAGGCCTGCATGCGGGCAGTGATGTAGTGGGGGTCAGGGGCTGTGGGGTGGGGAATGTGAAAACTGAAGGGGAGTATGAGCCTTGATGACGGTCAGGTTGTTTAGTTATCTATGCATGCATGTATGTATGTATGTATCACCTGATTGCAAAATCCCGAGGAATGTAAGTAGCCTCACAAGTGGCCCCACAAGGGGCACCAATTAGGCCCAGTACCCAACATGCAGGGTATGGCATGAGGGGTACGGCATGAGCGAGACATAAATTGATACTATGGAGCAATTACAGGGAAATATTATTAAATCAAATGGCAATTAAGGGTGAGGGCCACATATATAAATATTACATCAGCGCTGTAGCATGCGGTGTATGACAGCACCCCACGGCTGTCTCCATAGGGGCCCTGGGTCTCCCGGACATCCAGGGCTCAGACCCCGGGAAAGTTTGGGTCGTCCCCATTTGGGTCGTCCTCATTTGGGTCGTCCCCATTTCGATTGTCCTCATTTGGGTCGTCCTCATTTGGGTCGTCCTCATTTGGGTCGTCCTCATTTGGGTCGTCCTCATTTGGGTCGTCCTAATTTGGGTCGTCCCCATTTCGATCGTCCTCATTTGGGTCGTCCCCATTTGGGTCGTCCCCATTTGGATCGTCCCCATTTGGGTCGTCCCCATTTGGGTCGCCCCCATTTGGGTCGTCCCCATTTGGATCGTCCCCATTTGGGTCGTCCCCATTAGGATCGTCCCCATTTCGATCGTCCCATTTGGGTCGTCCCCATTTCGATCGTCCCCATTTGGTCGTTCCCATTTGGGTCGTCCCCATTTCGATCGTCCCCATTAGGTCGTCCCCATTTGGGTCGTCCCCATTTGGGTCGTCCCCATTTCGATCGTCCCCATTGTGGTCGTTCCCATTTGGGTCGCCCCCATTTCGATCGTCGTCGTTCCCATTTGGGTCGTCCCCATTTCGATCGTCCTCATTTGGGTCGTCCTCATTTGGGTCGTCCCCATTTGGGTCGTCCCCATTTCGATCGTCTCCATTTGGTCGTTCCCATTTGGGTCGCCCCCATTTCGATCGTCCTCATTTGGGTCGTCCCCATTTCGATTGTCCCCATTTGGGTCGTCCTCATTTGGGTCGTCCCCATTTGGGTCGTCCCCATTTCGATCGTCTCCATTTGGGTCGTCCCCATTTGGGTCGCCCCCATTTCGATCGTCCTCATTTGGGTCGTCCCCATTTGGGTTGTCCCCATTTGGGTCGTCCCCATTTGGATCGTCCCCATTTGGGTCGTCCCCATTTCGATCGTCTCCATTTCGATCGTCCCCATTTGGGTCGTCCCCATTTCGATCGTCCCCATTTGAGGTCGTCCCCATTTGGTTCGTCCCCATTTTGATCGTCCCATTTGGTCGTCCCCATTTGGGTCGTCCCCATTTTGATCGTCCTCATTGGGGTCGTCCCCATTTGGGTCGCCCCCATTTGGGTCGTCCCCATTTGGGTCGTCCTCATCTGAGTCGTCCCCATTTGGGTCGTCCCCATTTGGGTCGTCCCCATTTGGAAAGCAGCTCCGTGCTGACGGATGACCCTCCAAGCTAAGGTTACCGCAAGTGTGTTGGCTTTTCCCAATAATAGTACCACATAAACACACACACGCACACCTACCCATGGGCATGTACTCACCTAAATGTCCGTGCACAGATGGGGCACGACACCAGCGACACCTTGTCCCAGTACGCATACATCTTGCTATTGAACTCATCCACCTCCTCCGCCCGTGTGGGCAGTACCCCGCGCTCCAGCTCCGGTGGCACTGGTGGCAGCGGCCGCTGCTCCCGCCTCGGCTTCTGTGACTCCACCATCATCCACTTCTTCTGACATTGCGGGATGTGAACCATCAGGCTCTGACTGCCGTACTGCTGGCCGCACAGGTAGCAGGTGAAGCCCATGGGGCGCTGACCTGCCGTACGGGCCGGTGATGCAATCCCTCTGGCGCCGCCACCACCGCCACCACCACCACCAAAACCACCGCCGCCACCACCACCAGGCCTGCCCATCCGCGGCGCTGAAGTGGGTCGCGGTGGCGGCGGCGCCGCATGTTTGTTCGGTCCCAGGGGTCCCCCTGGATTGTCCGGAGTGCACACCTTGGCGTGGTGTTGGAAGGCATCAGGCCTGCATGCGGGCGGTGATGTAGTGGGGGTCAGGGGCTGTGGGGCGGGGAATGTGAAAACTGAAGGGGAGTATGAGGCTTGATGACGGTCAGGTTGTTCAGGATCGCGCGTGGGGTATAGACAGGGGTGGGGAGGCCGTGCCATAGACCAACCCATGGGACGGGGGACATGGGTAAAGGTTCCGAAACAGCCAATCCAACCCGCCTGCGACGTGCGGATGAGACATGAGGCACTCCGGGATATAGGCGGCTCAGATGTGGCCCGATGGGGTAGGTGGTGATGGTGGTGTGGGCGGTAATGGTGGTGATGGTGGTGTGGGCGGTAATGGTGGTGATGGTGGTGTGGGCGGTAATGGTGGTGATGGTGGTGTGGGCGGTAATGGTGGTGATGGTGGTTTGGGCGGTAATGGTGGTGATGGTGGTGTGGGCGGTAATGGTGGTGATGGTGGTGTGGGCGGTAATGGTGGTGATGGTGGTTTGGGCGGTAATGGTGGTGATGGTGGTGTGGGCGGTAATGGTGGTGATGGTGGTTTGGGCGGTAATGGTGGTGATGGTGGTGTGGGCGGTAATGGTGGTGATGGTGGTTTGGGCGGTAATGGTGGTGATGGTGGTGTGGACGGTAATGGTGGTGATGGTGGTGATGGTGATGATGGTGGTAGTGATGGAGGTGTTGGTGGTGTGTTGGTGTTGCACGCGCACTCCAGAGGCTGGCGGTACACTGCCCACTCCAGCCCCGCTACATTCCCCCCTAACAATGCATCTTACAAAAAACCGCAGTGCATGTGCTCCAGCCTTACGGGGTCGCTTGTGGGTGCAACAACAACAACAGCAACAACAACAACACAACACACACATCGACAAACGGGCACACACTAAGCCGGCACGAGCAAGACCTCCTCCGGCTCTCATCCCCACATCCGCACAGCCTACCGTTCTGTCAGCCCCTAGGCCCCTAGGGAAAAACACTCCCCAACTATTCCTCCTCAACCTGCTGTTCGAATTTTGAACCGTCCCTTCCCCCTTAAATCCAAAAAACATTACTTGGGCAGTTTGAATTTAAACCTCCCCTGCGCCAGGCAGTCAAAGGATCATGTGGTTGCCCGCTGCGGAGGTACCTACCTAGCACACGCAGCAGAGGCGACACCCATCCATCTACCCACCCACCCACTGACAAACCTAAACGACCGCCTCACCTACCGACCCAACCGTCCAGGTCTCTCACCTAAGTTAAGTCTTACCGCACGGGTGTTGCTTTTTCCCAACAACAACAACACCCACAGAAGTACGCGCACACACGCACACACCCACCCATGGGCACGTACTCACCTAAATGTCCGTGCACAGATGGGGCACGACACCAGCGACACCTTGTCCCAGTACGCATACATCTTGCTATTGAACTCATCCACCTCCTCCGCCCGTGTGGGCAGTACCCCGCGCTCCAGCTCCGGTGGCACCGGCGGCAGCGGCCGCTGCTCCCGCCTCGGCTTCTGCGACTCCACCATCATCCACTTCTTCTGACACTGCGGAATGTGAACCATCAGGCTCTGACTGCCGTACTGCTGGCCACACAGGTAGCAGGTGAAGCCCATGGGACGCTGACCTGCCGTACGGCCCGGTGCACCGCCGCCGCCGCCGCCCCCGCCGCCGCCACCACCCCAGGGCGAATTTACACTTCGACTTAGCTTGGCTGCAGAGTAGACAGCCTTGACCTGTACGACAAAACGGGAAGAGCTCCTTCATTCATAAACCCTGCATGTGGTGAGCGTTGTTACTGTGTAACGCCCACCGCAGTGTAACGCTCACTTTTCAGCACATGAAAGAGTGAATGGACGGTCAACGTGTTACCCTGATCCACCGGTCGAAGCAGACCACCGGTACAGTACTGCCCGCCCCGAAACACACCACATGCAGACGTACGACACGAGGTTGGGAGGAGGACGGAGCCCTGAGAAGGTCAATATGTGGTTGGGCTATGATTGGTTGGTACGGCAATGAGTGGTTGGGACTGCATGAGTTTGTGAAGTCGCACCGGGTGCTGGCTTTTGGGGTTGGTCGGGGCTCTGCTTTGCGGGGGCGAGACAGACAGACAGACACACAGACACACACACACACCCCTGCACGGGTCCCCAGCGACCAGCCCTCCCCTTCCTGATCGTACTCCTACGCTACCCCCTCTTCCTCCGGGAGAGATCCCCACTTTGGATCTTGGATCTTGGACCTCGTCCAAACCCCAGTCTCTTCCCTTCCCCCCACAGAAGGAGACCACCTTTCATCCCTCCCTCCCTCCCTCCTCCCTTCCATTCCTCCCACCTCCAGCTAACCCCCCTCCCCATCATCAGGTCCGCTCCCGCTCCCTCTCCCATCCCATCCCCAACTTCGTAACGCCCCAGCTCTGTCTGGCAATATGCCAGACAGAGAAGGTACGGCCGTATGACCCGGGAGGGGAGTTGTCGTACCTGCGCCAGCCGCTGCGAGAGGGGCACCTTGGTCCCGGAAGCCAACCCGGCTCCCGATCCAGACGGCCGCTGGGCAGCACCTGCAACGAAGGGATGGGAGGCGGTTGGCGGTTGGCAGTTGGCGGTGGTACGGCGGCAGGGATAGGGCCGGCCGGGCGGGACAGTGGAGACGGAGGGGCCTATTGGTAAAGAGGGCGCGCGCTGTATGGGGCCCGAGACCGGACCGGGGCTGGCGCCGGGGCCGGCGGTGCACGGCGGTCCCGTCCCGCCCGGAGGACGAGAGTCATCGCTGCAGACGTATGAGTCAGCGGTCTCTCGCTACACAACCGTGGTAACACCCGCTCGATGGGGTACATACATACATACATACATACATACATACATACATACATACATACATACATACATACATACATAAATAGCGATCTTTGGCAATAAGGCGTGTGCGACTTTTTGTATGCCCGTGCTCTTGCATTGCGTCACGCCTGCCGCCATACCGCCCTGTTCTCGTTAACCCCCCTCTCTGCATCAAATCTCTCTAAGGGGGCCCCGCGCTTCTTTGGCCTTTTGCCCTCCCTGGACAGACCCTGCTGACCCAGGATTGCTTGAGCGAGCCATGGGGCGTGGGTCGTGGGTTGGGAGGAAAGGTTGGGCGAGCCGCCGGGGGGATGTTGGGAGGGGGGAGTGTGAGACCAGGGGCCGCGAAGCCATTCCCCCGATGACGGCTGTGCATGCTTACCTGGAAGAACGACAGCATTGCCGGAGTTGCAGCTGTAGAGCGCGGCGCCCGACTGGCTTGCACGCTGGCCATAGGCTTGGGAGCTGGAGGGACGCGCCCCGGGCTGCTGCGAGTAAGAGTCTAGGACACCTCTCCCGGAGGTGGGGTTGATTGAGCCCGTGCTGTTCCTTACAGATTGCTGGCGTGACAGCGATTGCTGTCGCGCGAGGCTACCGCCAGTAGCGTACGGTGAATTATTGTAATCCGAATAATACATTTATTAGTATTGTATGGTTGTGAAATTTCCTGCTAATAGGACATGCTCGCTGGCCGAAGCACTAGCGTGTAGAAGAAGGTCAGCGGCCGTAGACAGATGCGAGAGTTTAGGTGCGAAGATGGTTGAGTAGCTTAATGATTACTTGTTAAAGATGCCACATAATAGTAAGGCCTTGCTGCAATAGCTTCGAAGTGCTGCTCGCGGTGAGTCAACCGGTGTCGCCAGCAGCAGAAATAAGTTATTCAAGGCAACAATCGTTGTAGTAGTAGAGCTTGATGCTACGCATGAAGCAGCGGCGGTTGCGCGACACAGCGACACGGTTGCCGTTCACGGTACGGTGCAATTTTGCCATCAAAGCTCTAAACATCTCCATAATAAGCATTTAGAAAACGGCATATCCTATAGGATACTTTCTGTAATAAGGTTAAGCCAAGTTGAAGGTTGTTAAGATAACACACCAACTGAAAAACGGGCGGACTCCTTGAGGTCCAAGGAGGCCCTTGCGTGCGTTACTTTGAATTGACATCCGTAAGAAATAAAAACCATTTTCTAGAAAGACGATGTGCTTTCCGGTCCAAAGCTTCAGACCCGAAGCGAACGACATTTGCTTCACACAGCTCCCACCTATCCTATTATCGGGTCAGGGATTATCACTACCTGAGACAATACCTGAACATGAATAGGAAAGGGCTTTGGTATTACAATCCCCAGACGACGGAAATGGCCTTTTCCACTCAACCTCTGAGCGTGCCGCGCCACCAGCGGCGCGATGGCCAGCAAAGCAGCTCTTAACATGGCCGATGGTATAAAGCGGCGGCAAGCGCCTTGGATGCTCATCCATGGTTGTGTATCACACCAGTACGCTTATCATCGTAGCGAACGTCTCCACGGTCATCCAACTATAATCAGATGAAAATGTTGTGGCTTGAGTCCCTAGGGCAATTTTGTAGACGTGCCAAGTGTGGGTTTCGTGCCGCAGCATTCTGTTGGCTTTTCGTTCGCTTTGGTTTTGTTCGGTACGTCTGCCGATCTCGCTCAAGTTGTGGCATAAATCTTGGACTTGGCAAACCAGTGTATAGCCCCGTATATTATATGTGTCCTGATCATGTTTTAAGTCTTAACGAAAAATGATGGTATCGCTGGAATCGGAAGCTCGGCAGATGTACGAGCAAACACGTCTCCTTTGGGTGAAACTACAATGGATCTTATGCACTATGAAAAGTATTCACGTCAGCTTTTTCTACACTCCTTGGCATCACAGATCACACCCAAGCCGGGCCGCATGCTTCTGCACAACTTTCCACAAAGACGCGGCGCTGCCTATCATGCTTGCGCGCATGGAAATTATATAGATTATCAATGTACAAACATACCCCACCGATTGCCAGGGCGATGCCGCGCGGTCAATGTGCAGGCGGCCAAGAAGGGCGGCGATAAGAAAGGTGGAGACAGAAAAGGCCAAAAGAAGAGCGCACTGGCCGACCTCATGAAAAAGAAAGAGGCAGCAGCTTCAGCAGGGCCAACAGTTCAGACGGCGCAGTACGACACCCCTGAGGCCCGCATGCTAGCTTTTCAAATATGCGATTCCTACTGGCGCCTCACCAAAAAGTAAGCGGGGAGAAGCAAGCAGGACGCGCTCCGCGCATGCCCAACGCCCTGCAGCCCACGGCCTTCTTTTCTTCCAAGCTTTTTCTGCGGGAATCCCCGCCACCAGCGCCCCTAGTTGTCCCTGGTCCCTTTCCTTCTCATTCCTCTGGTGACGGCAACCGCAGGTACCTTCTAGAAGGTGTGGATTTCAACCGGCTCCCCACGGTACTCTTCCGGGCGCCCTTTGCGCTGCTTGCCCACAACCGCTTCCAGGCGAGCGAGCAGTGTGGAAGGGAGGAACCAGGGAAAGGGGAGGAAGGCGGAAGGGGAGGGGGAATGGCAGACGTGGACAGAAAAGACAGCGAAGGGGGGCACGTGCCGGAAACTGCAAAGCACTGGATATCTGTATGTATGCCTGCATGTGTGCGTGTGCGTGTATGTGTGCATGCGTGCGTGTCGGTTAGGGTTCGTGCCGAACGTAGGAGGCCAGGGGAAATGTCGGAATGGGATAGGCGGCACGGCTGTACGGGCACATTGGACTACAGCCTCCCCGCCAGGTAGTTGCGATGATGCACTACCGCCTCAACCGCCATAACCGCCACCTTGGTAGTTTTACGGTTATTGTTACCCTGGTCTCTAGCCTGGTTGCCAATGCCGTGGAATGGGCTCCATGGTTTATTTCGTCGAAGCGAGTGCGTCACCTTTCGAAACACGGGCAGCAAGAATCGCCAGGTTGTGAGAACTCTTTCCGGTTGTGAGAACTTTTCGGCGGCTCCCTTGCCATCTCCATGAGTGCTCTTTGTCTGGTGCTGCGCCGTTGCCATAACCGTCACGCACGCAGGAGGGCGTTACGGACCCCATCTACACGTACGGCAACCGGTGGGTTTTCTGTGGCGGCCTGACAATTGGGTTGTCGTTTTTATTGTTTTCCCGCCAGGCGGGTTAGTAAAGGGGGGGTTGTACGGCGGAGCGCATCGACGTTTGGCGACGTCTTGAGGCGGCCTCGAAGGACGACACGGTCGGGGTTTATAAAACACAATGTGTTTTTTCCCCTCCCACTTCCCTCTCTTTCCCCCCCCCTTCCTCCGACCCGACCCGCAGTGCTGCGCTGGATCTGTTCGAAGTCACGTGGGACGAGCTGCTACAGACGCCTTCGCGCAAATCTGCCGCGGATGACCCCGACGCGCAAAAGGTAAAAGAATTCCCGTAGATTGGTCAGTTGATCAAGCTTTTTTTTGTCAGGTAGCCTGATCTTGATCCCGAAAAGATTAATTTGTTTACGCAGCCGTACATGCCGTACATGAGACCAACGGTTTGATGACAGCGCTCAGACGTAGACCGTGCATGCTCCTTTACAATCCATGCCTCCATATACCTTAATCATATTTGGGAAGTGCTTATTTCCAAATATCCAATCCAAATGCAAGTCATTAGCAAAATGTGGTTGCGGCAAAAATCGTTTTATTAATCATATACCTCACTCCAGATACCTTCACTCGCCAGTAGTTTGTCCTGTCCTCCATATACTCTCGAAAAGGAAGGGAGGGCTACGCGCTCCATTCCCATTTTTCTTCAAACCTTATTAACCAGGACCGCAACGGGCTGTTGGACAGAGCGGCGGAGACGGGGGTGGTGTCGGGCTTTGAGGTGTGGCGGGTGTCCAAGAGCGGTCGGCGCTTTAAGATCAAAGATGGCACCCTCTTCAACATCATCGATCGGGAAGGTGTGAGGTGTGGGGTTTGACACACACGCGTGCGACGCAGCCCCCCACCCCTCCCTCCCCTCCCCACACCGCAGTGTGCTGTACCTCTCCGCTTGTTCTTCCACCCCCGAGATATCGCTCGGGCGCTCGCATTCGGATTCTGTCAGCAGGAATGGCAGCGGTCGCCTGCTCAGCTGCTCCGTCATTCTCTCCACCGCAATCTGGAAACCCCCTCCCTTAGCGGCTTTTCCTTTTCCTCGCACGTTCCCTTCCCATTCAAGCCCATTTATTTTGGGTTTGAGGGGTTTTTTGCATCTAATGGTCCCACAGTCATGCCATTCGAAATGCGAAGTGAATTTCCCTTTTCAACCACCATTTTAACACCATCACCATCATCAACAACAATAACGAAGACAACAACAACAACAACTCCCACCGCAGGCAACAAGCTGGGTCAGGCGGCCGTGTTCCACAGATATGAGCTGGAAGATGGTCGCGAGGTGCAGATCACAGCGCCGCCACCGGAGGCCGAAGCGGGAACGGACGGTGTGGGTGAGGAGGAGAGTCCGGCCATCCCCAGCCCGGCGGAGATTCAGGGGGCGGAGGCGGCGGTTTCGGACCAGGCGGCGCACGTGAGGTCTCTCAAGGAGCAGCAAGGCCTGACAAATCAGGTACGGAAGGATTTTAGCCGTGGTGGTGATGGTGGTGGAGGGGACTGGGGGAAGTGGGGGCGGTCCGGTAGAGCAACGTACGGCTGGTGTGCTGCTGTACTCAAGAGTTTGACTCGCATCCGCCTGAGTGTGATTATTTGCTTTGCTGTTGCCCCATCCCTTTCCTCCACCCCACCCCATCCCACCCCACTCCTACAGGACATCCCCGTGCAGTTGGCGGTGTTCGAACTCAAGAAGCGGAAAGAGCACCTCGCCAAACTGCAGAAGCAGCTACAGGACGCGTTGGCCGCATCCTACGCCCTGTTCGACGATGAAGACGACGAGTAAGACGAGGAGTAAGTCAGAGGATCGATGTGGTGCTCGCGAGGCCGAGGAGGAAGAGGACGAGCAGGACGGCGGATTAAATGCACGACGGAAAGCGTCAACTGCAAACGTCCAGAGGAGGATTGGTGGAGGAGGGCGAGGTGGATAGGAGAGCGGGAATGTGATGACGTTGGGGTGTGGCTTCGGAGCAGTCCAGGCGACCTCCCATAGGAAGGCATACATGGCGTACAGATCACACAGCTCATTTAGGTGGTCGTGGCCGTATTCCTTGTGGTGAAGGTGCTGGCGGCGGAAAGCGCGGCGGTGAGAGAGGAGCTGTGCTGCCCCTCTGCCATTTGGGTTGATTAGCACTGAGGCGTGGCGTTGTGGGTGCCCCTCCTTCCCCCCTCCCTCCCTCCCTCCCATGAGCATGTTGTACTGCTGCTGGCAATGAAATTGTGTATCCGACCCACGATCCATGACATCGCACACGCAGGACCTGGAGGCTTTTTAAGCCGTTGTAATCTGCACATCTTTCTCCACGCCGCCTTGTGTGCTTGGCCACTGCCCTGAACCGACGGCTGCGCTGTATTTTCCTACCCCAGCAGCGGTGCACCGTCGAGAGAAAACCGCGACCCACGGGTCTTTCTGTGCGGGGTGTTTGCGTTCTGGAACAAAGGACGGACATGGAACTTCACAGACACGCTTCTCTGGATTACCTGATCTCCTGTATACGATCATTCTACTTTCTCCGTCTACAAAGCTTCTCCTGAAACCGATCCTCTCTTTGACCGGAACTATCTCCCGCGCGCTACTCCCCCCCCCCCCGCGCTATACTGCACCCTCTCCTCCCGCTTGCGCTCTCTCATCCCGCCGTGCGAACAAAATCCCCTCCGCCAACACACACATGCACCGACTCATTCACCATCTTCCTCTCTCTCTCAAGAGCATGCATGTACACCGTCCTCTCCTCTTTCTACGCACGCTTGCTCTCTCTCTTCCTGCACGCGCAGAATAGCTCATTTCCCCCCGCATGCAACCCTGTTGGTTTCCTCACCGCGACGTCCCCTCACATTTCCGTGCTCATGCAGCAGCGGCCCGATGTCTGTCTGTCTGTCTGTCTGTCTTACCTATCTGTACAACGACTCTGACACACAACCAATACCGACCGTTCAACGCTCCTAAAGCCCCACTAATATAACCTCTCCTTACACACCTGTGTGGATGTGTGTGTGTGCGTTTGTGCGCGAATATAATACATAATACATATGCCTGTGAGCTACACGGACTGTGTGCACACAGAGAACACGTCATGCACAGCGCAAATCTAGCCTCGGCCGGCGCCCTCATGTCCATGTTTCCTTCCCTCCTTTGCCTCTCAAGCACCCTCTGTCATCCTCCTTCCACATCTCACCTCCACCGATCGAACCGCATCAGACGCATTTTGCTTAGTCGAACCCAGAACACCACCGCCAGACCCACCCACACGCACACCACATCGGACAACAACGAGTCCCCGAAGTAATGCTCGATCAGGTCGTTGATGCCGAACTCTGGGGGGATGTAAGGCAGCAAGAGTGGCGAGGAGAACGAAGGAGGAGAGTAAGGAGGGGAGGACGAGGTCTAACCGGTGCAACGGAAAAACCAATCAGGCTCAGGCCGATAAGGAATGAGAAGGGGAGGCAGTTGGAAGACGAGTGCGGGAATGAGTGCGCGAGCATGACAGGACAGGGCAGGGCAGCAGCGACACGGACCCGGTTTTCTAATACAAACCATATTAAAGCTATAGAGAAAAAGGTGAAAACTACACTTATTTAAGCCAATTCTTTATTTAAACTCCCCATTTTTTTTCAAAAAATAGGCAGCGAGACCTTGTCAGTTGTCAGACGGTCGGAAAACGTCACACGCCTATGCGCTCCGCACCAGCAGCAGCACCACCACCACCATGACCCGCGCCATGACCAGCTCCAGCACCATCACACCAATGGTTGCTATGATTAGAGGACAAGGAAAACTGGCGGTTTGGTTCCACTGCTACCGCAACCAAGAGACGCAATCCCTCACCACCATCTCCACCGCACCTAGTACGACAGACCACCGCACCAAAACCCAACACTGACACGCTCACACCCACCCAAGCTGATGAAGCCCACAGCGAAGAGTATGGTCACTCCAACGGTGGTGAGGTCCGCCTCCAACTTTGCCTCCATGTCTTGCAGCAGCGTGGGGGGGAAGGGGGGCCGGTACACAGCCGCCTCCGCCAGGGACAGCGGGTGACCCGGGTCGGAGTCACACACCACCTGTACCACAAAACGAGTGAGCCAGGGATGAAGAGGAAGGGGTAAAGGCAGGGATGTACAGACAGACACACACACAAAAAAACGTACTCCAAGCTGCAATCGACATGCAGACGCGTGCAGCAGATATGTATCGCTGAATGTGTTTTGCTACAGCAGCAGCTGTAGTAGCAGCAGCAGCAGTACTAAAAGCGGCAATAGCAGCGCCAGCCGCAGCCGCCAGCCGCAGTGTAGTGTGTGCGTACCGCCGCTTTCCAGCAGGTCTGACTATCCAGTGCCATCCAGTATTATCCGATGGTGTACTATCCTGTAAAACGAGGTCCTGTACAACAGCGTCTGCAGTCCAGCCCCTAGGCCCGCCACATGCTTAGGCGTCCGTCACAGCCCTCACCTGAACGTCGCCGCTGGGGTCCGCCACCAGTGTACACATCTCCCCGTCCACATCATCGCCGCTGTCCAGTTCCAAACTTGACGAAAAAGAAGACACCGGAGAGGACAGCTCCAGCACACCCAGGTCCTGGAAGGATGCGGCCGCCGCTGTGGGCCCTAACCTCCCGGACGCTGTTGGTTGCGCGTCGCTCGAAATAGTCGCCGCCGTGGAGGCGCCAGCTGTGGACAGTATGGCAGCGCTGATACCAAGGGCTTTGGATTCCGTGGCTGCGGCAGCGGCATGGCTCCCCGCTGATGGCTCTACTGCCGACGCGGAGGTATTAGCAGTCAAGGTGGTGGTGTCGGACAGCGCCGTCTTTGGCGTCGCTGCCTGATGATGGCGCAACTCCTTTCTTGCCTGTTAAGCCGGAACAGCAGCGCGTGTGCAGGCGTGGAGTGACCGGAGATAAGTTCAGAGAAGAATGCGCACGTCAACGAGGAGAACCGTACCGGATACTGCTCGCCTATTCGCACGTGAAATGGATAGAGCACAGATATCTGCTGTATTCGCCTGCTCCACGCAGCTTCAGGGCTGGCCAAGCATGCTTGGGCAAGAGTCCTTGTCTTCATCCGACCTTGAAGTGGCCACGTCGACTGTCCTCTGCCACTAAATTCGGCAGCTGCAGATACTCGGTGAAGTTGGGCACTCTCCATGCGAAGGACCTAGCAATATATCGCCCAAGATGATAACGACTGTGCAAGGGCTTTACCCCAACATCTCGAAAGACAAGGTATGTTCATATCACAGCTAATTTAATAAAATTATGGCATCTGCAGGTTCCCGGAGTATTGTGTGACTCCTAACGGTGACAAAATACCCCTGGAACGACAACTTGTGACCCGTGCAACAAACGACAATATGTCGACGTAGCAAAGACCATGCACAGCGAAAAGAAAAATTAACACATCTCGTGACAGCGGTGCCCACGGATTTGTCATCGCAGCAACGCCGTACGCAGCATCTATGAATCTTGCTCGCTTGATAGAAGAGAGCTCTCTCTCTCTCGCTTTCATCGCATTCAAAACGACTATGAGTTGTGATTGGCTTAGGAATGGGCACATCTTGAGATATACACATTGGGCCGATAGAGAGACTTTAAACTCGTATCAACGTGCGATGTGCTTGCGAGGGTTGGTGGCAGGCGTGTTACGCCGTTTCCCAATTGCATCCATGGGACAGGTTCGTAGAATCCTTCAGATTATTTCTTGCCTCTGACAAACTTTGCGGATCCAAGAAGAAAGAAAACAGTATCTATTAAGCAGCTGGTTATATCGTGAAACAGCTTCCTAGCTGGACGAATAGATTTTTGATTCCGCTACGCAATTGCTGGCAGACATCGGCAAACGCTTCGGGCACTTCAGGGCACAGGCCTCACGGGGCCGGAATTTCGGAATTTGACCTCGTGAATTCCCAAGCAAATCTGGGCCAAATCCCAACGGGATTTGAGATTTGACCCCCAAAACAATAAGCAATAAAATAGTCATGCAAAGAT